CATTAAAGAAAGGGAGATTCTAACTACTACCCCCAAGTAGTGGAGGTCCACCTCGAACACCCCCCTATAGCCCCAACCCCCCCTGGTTGGTCCTGGAAAAAGATGGATAAAAAGAGGGTAAAGGCCGAAGCAGCCCTCTTACCAGACCTCTGCGAGCTTGATAACCCTGGCCCGCAAGGCCTATAGAGCCGTATTCAGTCAATAGAAGGCCTAGATAAGGCATTCGACTGGCTTGTCAAAGAACTTACAAGGATTGCCAACGCTAGCACTCCCCGAAGGAAGCTCAACAACGGATTTCAAGCCCCCTGGTGGACGAACGAGGTACAACAAAAGGCTCAAGGGGCCCGGGAGGCTGAACGTATAGCTAAGGCCATACCTACGGCTTACAACAAGGCCCAGCTAAACCAAAGACTCCGGGACCTTTCAAAGGCTATACGACAGGCTAGAATAAGGACTTGGAGGTCTACCCTACAGGAAGCTAGTCACAACGAATCACTCCTTTGGAGCCTAGAACGGTAGGCCCGTTGCAAGAGCTTCCAGCCTACTAGCCCTCCTAGGCTCCCGGCCATCGATAGCTATACCACCTATACCCAGAAGGCCCAAGCCCTAGCCAACCGTTTCTTTCCAAGCCCGCCAGCCGATCTCTCTAACATCCGAGATCCCACCTTTTCCCAGCCGTGGGAACCAAAGATCGCAATAAGCCAAATGGTTAGTGCCAGGAACATAGAAAATGCTATTGCCCAGGCTGCTTCCTGGAAGGCGCCGGGTAATGACTACCTCCCTATAGGCTTATTGAAGGCCTGTGGTAGGCCATTATATAAGATCCTCGCACTACTCACTCAGAGATGCCTCGAACTACAATGGGTACCGGCCAGGCTAAAGGAGGCTATAGTTATAGTGCTTCCAAAGCCTGGTAAAACCCCAGCTGACTATCTTACCCCCGGAGGCTACAGGCCTATTTCTCTCCTTCCTACCATTGGCAAGGTAGTAGAAATAGTGGTTATCAAAAGAATCACGGAGGCAGCTGAAGTCTATAGCCTATTACTCGACGAACAGATAGGCAACTGAGAACATAAGTCAACAGACCTAGCCATACGGCTTGTAGTGGCCCAGATCCAAGAGGCTTGGAGATACCATGCTACGGCCTCCCTATTGCAGTTATATCTAACAGGGGCCTTCGACCGGGTAAATCATACCCGGTTACTGGCTACGGTCTGGGACCTTAAGCTTACAGTGGCTTGTAGGTTGGCTACAGTCGTGGCTAACAGGCTGGAAGGCTACACTCTTATTCGACGGCCAACTTGCCTCGGAAATTAACATCCAAGCTGGAGTGCCACAAAGATCACCACTATCACCAGTCCTCTTTATACTATATATAGCCTCGCTATATAAAGTACTAAAGGAAAAGCACCCTCTGGTTAGCTTAGTGAGATTTGCAGATGACACCAACCTCCTAGCTTTTGGAAGGGACCCCTATATTAACTGCTGGCAACTGGAACAAGCCTGGGCTACATGCCTATAGTGGGCTAGATCCTACGGAATGGAATTCAATAGGGCTAAGTCAGAGCTGATCCACTTCAACAAAGGCCGAAAATAGTGGTCTGAACCACTACAACTAGCCAAATCTAGCCACCCTTAACTATACTATAGTCAAACCAACGGCTTCAGCCCGGTTCCTAGGGGTCTGGCTTGACTGGAGGCTTTCTTGGAAGGCCCACGGAGCTAGCATAGCCACCAAGCTAAGAACCCAAGACTTTGCCCTATCAAGGATAGCAGCCAAGACCTGGGGCCCGGGGCTAATCAGGGCTCGAGAGGTCTATACCAAGTGCATTCGCAGTGCAATAGCCTATGGGGCATCCAGCTTCCACAAGCCTACAACACTCAACGGCTCACCACAAGGCCTAGCCAGGGACCTAGCAAAGGCCTAGAATCGAAGCCTACGCATCGTAGCCAGGGCCTATAAGGCTACCCCTGTACGGAACCTCGAGACGGAAACTTGGATCCCCCCCTAGACCTTTACCTTAACAAGAGGCTGGCCGACTTCGAAGATCGGCTCAACAAGCCTACTCTACAGGCCGGGCTAGGCCCGGAGGCCCCGAGACGCCCACCAAAGGAAATCATCCAAGGGGCCTGCAACAAGCTTCAACGAAGGTTCTGGTCGCTACGGGGCCGGCCCTGGAGCCTAGAAAAGCCAACAGATGCCGAAAAGGCATCGGCTATAGTGGCCAAATAGAATGCCGAGGCTAAGGCCTTGGGCCCACCATTAGCTAAGACCTAGAATGACTGGGCACTATTAAGAGCCTGGGAGGCTAGATGGAAGACCCAAGTCCAGGGACAGCCAACTAGGCTAGCTGATGAAGGCCTACCAACAGTCCTCTTTACGAACTGGAGCCTATAGAAACACTAAGGCCTTAAAAAGGCCAAGAGCTCCCTACTAGTACAGGCTCGTATAGGAGCTATAGGCCTACGGGACTTTCTTTTCAAACAAAAGGCCCGTAACCAGCCTACCCCCTATTGCGAATACGGAGAAGCCCGAGAGACAGTGGAGCATCTCGTGATTTGGTGCTCTATACTACCTATACCAAGAACCTGGCCTAGACAACTAATACGCACCCACTGGGATCTTAGCCTTGTTTTACAAGGCCTAGGCTACCGGAACCGAAGACTTCTGAAGAAGGTATTGGGTTGGCTGATGAACTCGGGCCGGCTAGGGTAATACAGGCTCGCTTGGGACCTTGATGAGGAACTGGAAGCTAGGGAGCCCGGCTAACTATACCCGTGGCCACGGCTTAGCCGGGCTAGTACCCTACTAGCCGTTGGCCCAAGGCCTTCCCAAGGCCTTTTTCCTTTACTTGCAGCAGCGTGTATCACTGGAACCATGTCTTTCCTATTACTTCCGACAAAGGTTTTCACCCGGCCTAAACGGTACGGTTTTTCCTTTGTATATAGCAGTAGAGGGTCCGGCGCGCCTTGTAAATAGCGAGGCATAGCGGAGTAGGAGAATATATATATAATCTAGTATGCTTTATATAGCTGGATAACTTTATCCCTAAGCGTTAGCTTAGGGATCTGCGCTTTATAGCCAATAAGAAGGAGGAATCTTAGCTCTTTTCCTATAGGCTACAGAACTATATTAGAAAGAAGTACATACCTCTTCCTAACCTTCCTCTTTCTTTTATTTTGGCTAACTTAGTTTCTCTCCTCTTACTACTAGCCTTATATATGCTAAGATACGCCTAATCCTTACTAGAGTTATATAGGCTTTCGACATTAAGCTAGCCGAGGAAACTAAGAGTTAGGATAAGAGAAGCAAGATGTACCTTTTATAGGGAAAGGGACCTATGAATGTATTCTTAACGCCGAGGAAATCGGAGGTTATCTAAGATCCATATATAGCGGGAGCTAATAACTATAGGGCCTTTACCTCTATAAAGGCTAGGCTAGCTATAAGAGTAAGTAGGCTAAGGAGCAAAGTGCCTATAGTAACTATAATATAACATAGTATATATTTATTATAATTAATCTTACTAAGCTAGTTAATATTATCGCCTCTCTTATTTAAGTTCTAGAGCAACTTTCTAACAGTGCTTATATCTTAGGCTATTACTCACCTGTAGAATTTCTGCTAATCCCCTATAGTGCTATATCTATTCTCATCATTCCCCTCACCAGGCCAAGGGGCTATATACAGCAGCTTAGGCCTATACTAATACTCGACGATATGCACCTGTACTGTTAAGAGACGCTGACAGGTATATAGCTAATATTGGCCTGCAAGAGCGAGCTTATCAGGAATATATCGTGGACTTTCTTCGCGTCTTAGAACTTAGAAACGAATACCAGTCTGCATCGGACATTATAATGAGAATAGAAAACGGGAAGTTGATAAATCTCGAATAGGGTAAGAAATACCTACTTTCGGTTAGAAGCAAGGAAGCTAGGAAGGTGACCGAATTAGGAACCCTTCAAAGATATAGGATGTGTGGCGAGAGTTAGAGCAGGAGAGTGTTATTTGTGCTCAAGGTGAAAGGCTAAATACGCCTAGCAAACTAAGAATCCGCTTATATATACGCGTTTTTGAAGGCAACAGTGAAACATAAAGACTATAATAGTATTAATGTTCAATAGAATATGTTGACTGCGACTATATAGAGAGACCCTAGAGGAGACACCGTTACTTGACCTTTGTAGGCTATAAATGTTTTGGCTGTGAAAGCTCAAGTACTACTAACATACTGAGAGTATCTATATTACTAAGAAAATCATATTCACACTTGCACTTCCTCCTTAAAAGCTAAGCCGCCTAACCTCAAGATAACCTCCTTCTAGACGGGTCTAGGGCTGAAGCTCTGATGAACAGCCGATTTCAGCACTGTCCCCAAGGCCCGGCGCTCGGCAACTCCACCATGCCACTCGATGACCATGACATTGTAGTACTTCCACGCGTCCGGCGGCGTAGGTCAGAGCACTTTGGAATCCTCGCCTATCAACTCCGAGAGAAGAATGACCTTGAATGGCCCCTCGGACTCCCAAAAGCTTGTTTCATCAAACCCGTCTAGTGGTAACCTTCCGTACCGAAGTCCGTCCCTACCAATAAGGTCTCCCCGCGGTCAAAAGACAATGATGTTCTGTATCTTGAGAAAGATTGCCATGGTCTAGAATTGTAACAGGTGGTATAGATATAGTCGTAGCAGCTACTCGGCGCTAGCATTGTCTATTTCGGTAGTAGTGTTAACAGGGCAGAGGTCTAGGTCTAGAGTGGGCATGGCCCGTGATGTCCGTAGGCCGGGAACACGACATTTAAACGGACTTTACCGGCCGTAACCCTCTATATCTGTACTACTATCACCCTCCGGGAACAATTCCAGATTCTCCGCGGGATTCCAAACAGGACTTACGACCCCGGTAGGACTCCTCTTATATGAGACAATCCACGTCTAGTCGCATAGCCAGCCGTACATGTCAATGGTTCCAATACGCAAGAACCTAGCCGACTCCCACCACCCGGCCCAAGAGTAACTTGGAAACCCGCGTCGACGGCCAGCCACCGGGCCGCGTAGTAGAACGTACTTGTCGAACAGGCCGGTAGGGAGGCCCTGCAGCATGCGGCACCGGGACCTTTGGGATAGGCGGCGTAGGATACCAGCCATGGCGCGGAGGGCGTCGGCGTCGTTGGTTAGGGCGCGTTAGGTGTAGTAGCAGAGGAAAACGCTTGTATTAATGCGCGGGGTCTTTGGTGGTAAGGGCGGCATCGGCGAGCATGGATATTACGCTACCTTCCTGGCGTCCGAGGGTGGGGTTGTTGATATAGACTTCGAGACACTCGCTTGTGTGGTAGCGGAAAACGCCCGAGTTGGGGAAGAAATATAGGATTTGCCAGGATAGAACGTGCTCTTGAAACCTATGAAGTATTAGTACCCTACTTAGCACTAGTGTTCTCGAGGTTCTGGCATAGAATATTTTTAGACTGGTCGAAGCTAAGATGAAAGGTAAGGAAAGGAAATGGATAGTTAGTAGGTAAACATCTAAGGCAGGGGTTACGAACGTCTATGACCGACTTTTATATATAGTCCCCTTCAATTAAAGTTCTATACCTATATAGATACCTATAGAGACCCCTTGCTTTACCTACTCGATAATAACTTGTCTTGCTCGCTCCCCTGGCTAAACGCTAGGGAGGCTAGCATTGGCGCGTCGTGGCTATTTGCCACTATAATGGTAATCTATGCTCGCTCGTTAAATCTGATCCATGACGCTAACGCCCTTTTCGAGATCATCTAAGCCGTTTTGCAGGAAGCATAGCGCGTCGATCTAGAGGAAGCGGATGTTAAGTCTCTTGACCAGGAGCCCTAGATATAGCTGAGCGCCGCGTACTGTATAGGTTCGGTCTTTTCGACGATGTAACCTCTAATTATATCGATAAATAGTAGGAAGCGTAATTTAGGGAAGGCCTTGCGAAACATTGTCGTATACGGAAATATGACATAGGTGTGGTAAGATGTATAGTGGTCGATCCAACCAGTTACCCTCGACACGTCCAGCTTAACAGGGAGTCTTGGGAGGAGGTACGAGTGGTGTAGGCTTGCGCCCAAGGCGGACGAAAATGAATTCGACCCAAAAGCCAGCCAGACCTCCTCCTAGCCAGTTATGACAAACCCGCCTCTTGTGCGTGCGATGGTTCGGGGAGTCCAGACCACTTGCACTTCGTCGTCGGGAGACATGGGGAAGCGGAATGGGTTGAGCTTTCTGTACAGCAGCGTTGCCTCGCATGCTAACAAGCAAAATATCCGATTGTAGAACACATCCTATTGCCTGGCACACATGGAAGGCCCCCCGTCTACCTTACCTTAAACAGTAGTAGATAGCGTCAAACTTATCTCTGGCGGAGGTGCTTGAACAGAGCCTCTGATTACTGCCTTTCAGAGTTGAGTGAAAATAAGTATGGGGCTATGATTTCCCCTTTCTTCAGCACAGCGCACGCAGTAGACATCCTCAATCAACGACAGTAGATAGCGCCACGGTGAACAATCTAAGCGCCAGAAATTGCATGAGATAATTGGGTTTGTGCCCATTGACGATGAGGGCTGCAGGCAGAAGGTAGAGGGGCCAGGTATTGAAAGTGTTGGAAAGGATGGGAGCAGCAGTTTCGTCCCGTCTATATATACGACGTTGCATGTGATGGGACTTGCAGAATTGCTAGATCCTACATGGATTCCAGCTTCTCGACCGTCAGGAGTTTTCAGTATACTCCTCGAAGCAGCCGGCATATCCGGTCAAACGGGGATGGACCTGGTGGGCTATGGTTTAACACGCGCAAATGAAAACCAGTTTAATAGAGTGAGTCAGGAAAGTTGGATGTTGAAGACGTGGATGAATTAACCTCCGAGTCAATTACCAGTAGATACTAGATAGCAAAAAGGAGTCCAAATGGATGCGGCATGCATGGTGGGTTGTGAAAGGACAAAGAGCCACATCCACATTCCACCTCTTCGGACTTCCTGTGATTTCTAAGATTAGTAGTGACCTGCCGATGTTCAAGGAGCACGGAACTTTCTGCTCAACTCTGACTGCATTGCTGTATCTTATCATCGGAGAGCCAGCCCATTACATTGCGTTATGGCAGCCATTACGCAGGTCATGAAGTGCTTGAGTGTGGTGTAGATGCTGACATCTTGCTGAGCGTTCCGTCTTCAATCCTTCGAGCGCTCTAACAAGGCAGCCAGAGGTCGTCGCCGATTTCAGGGTTCCATTGAGCGCTCAGGAGACCTTGTCATGACGGTGGAAATACACAGCTGATTCGCGACTGAAATTGCCATCCCTCCCGCGGACCCTAAGCTGGCCTGGCATATAATATATCCCATTGCTGCAGGTCTATATTAAACGAAGTCCCGTTTTGGCAGCCGAAACTTCCAGGAGAGGGCGCGTCCCGGTCCTAGCACCCAACTGCCGGACTTCGCTTTCAGGCTGAATGAGAAGCGACCCAGAGCACCGGTTCCTCTGCGAAGTTGAACCCGGTTATCCAAAGCAGAATATAAACATCGCCAAACACCACGGCGATCTTGTATCAACGTGTCAGGACACCCCGCCGACTAGAAATTTGTAGCAGGCAGATGCCAGGTCTATGCCGTTGCACGGGCAAAGTCGACTTTACACAACCCCTTTCCCAGCTAGGAAGGTCAGCAGCACGCCACCTGCGCGACCAAACTCTAGATCTTGGCATACGTCCGATAACCATCAGCCACTGTCTCTTCCCAAAGCACCCCCGCGTCCCCTGACACCCATGCAGAAGAAGCCTACCACTTTCTATTCCTGTCTGTGTGACCGTTCCAACTGTGTATCCCAGGCCACTGTGCTATGACCGCATAATCAAGCCACAGACGTCGTTTTTGGCCGCTGCCCCGGCAGCAACGCCGATGCATGGTCGGCTCTGCACGCACTTATACGAGCTTCGGCCTGTTCCATAGTATGCCTGCCCTGCCGTAACATCAGAGCCCGCTGCTGCACCTCCGGCCGTGCCGTGGCAGGATTTTACGAATAATGCCCGAACGCAACGGCATAGCCAACAAAAGCTCTCCTTTGGAAATGCGACCTTGCCATCATCCTGTCAAATCCGGCCTTTGTTACTACTACATACCACCAGCAACCTTGCTGCCTGCTTCTGCACCCGCTCTGGCCGCGGCATGCCGACATTGGCGGCGCAGCACGCGGCATGCACGGCGACTTCCCCGCGGACTGCATCACGGGTGAGCCAAAGCACGCAAAACACCAGAGCACACGAGGCAGTCCCATCTGGGTAGGTGAGATCCTGGTTGGTACCTAAGCTGCAGCTCTTCGAGTGTGCCCGCCATAGAGAAGGGGGGATCAAGGAATGGCTATCTGAGTCGTCAGCACAAGGACCTTCCACCTTGCACGTCGAGGTGTCACAGGCGCAGGATATGGGACTCCCGTAAGGGGAAGGTCACGACATCGCACAGCAGGATGCTGTCTCGTCGAGTGGGAGATAAATAGAGGGAGTCAACTCCAGGCTCCCCCCTGGAGATGGCCATGTGCAGAGCCACAGTCCTCAGGCTCTCTCACCAATCGTCCCGACAAAATTGATATTCAGGACAGTGCTCCCTTAAGCCCCGATTCATCATGCAGCTCCTTACTTGGCCTGGCCTCCTCCTCCTCCTGCCCCTTGGGCTCGCGGCACCCGTGATCCAGCCGCGGGCCGCCCAGCTCATCCCGGGCAACTACATCGTCAAGCTCAAGGACGGTGCATCCGAGAGCGCCCTGCAGGACGCCATCCGGCATGTCAAGTCGAGGCAGGCCAAGCACGTATATCGCGCCGGCCGCTTCAAGGGCTTCGCGGCGCCCCTGAGCCCGCAGGTGCTGGATGCCGTGCGCAAGCTGCCCGAGGTAAAGCTTCTCCCCTCCGCTCATCACCATACATACTAGTAGTATCTTCAATTTTGATACTTACTAATGTGTACCAACAAATAGGTCGAGTTCATCGAGCAAGACGCGGTGGTGTCCATCAACGAATACATCACGCAGGCCGACGTCCCCTGGGGCCTGGCGCGCATCTCGCACCGCACCGTCAACGCGACCACGTACGTCTACGACGAGTCCGCCGGCGAGGGCACCTGCTCGTACATTGTCGACACGGGCATCTTCGTAGACCACGCTGTCCGTTTTTCTTTTCTTCCCTTCTCCCACCCCTTCCCTTCCCTTCCCTTCCCTTCCCTTCCCTTCCTCCGTCTCTCAGTTTCATTTCCCCCCCATGCGCCCGGTACCTTAACTGGCTTTTGTAAGTAACAATTGATTAATTATATCAACCCAGGACTTCACGGGCCGAGCAACCTTCCTAGCCAACTTCATCGACTCAGACGATACGGACGCCAACGGGCACGGCACGCACGTGTCGGGCACCGTGGGCGGGGCGACCTACGGCGTGGCCAAGAAGACGCTGCTCTACGGCGTGAAGGTGCTCGACGCCGGCGGCGGCGGCACCACGTCGTCGGTGCTGGCGGGCATCGACTTTGTCGCGTCGGATGCGGCCAACCGCACCGCCGCGGGGCAGTGTCCCAAGGGTATTGTCGCCAACATGAGTCTTGGTGGCGGGCGGTCGACGGCCATCAATTCTGCGGTTGCCAACGCTGTCGAGAGGGCCAGGGTGTTCTTTGCCGTGGCGGCTGGCAATAGTGGTGGTGATGCGCAGTTCCAGAGCCCCGCGAGTGAGCCGACTGCGTGTACGGTCGGGGCAACCAATAAGACGGATGAGAGGGCGCGCTTCTCGAATTATGGGAGTGTTGTGGATATCTTTGCGCCAGGGGTCGATGTGCTTAGTAGCTGGCCTGGTGGTAGCGGTAGTGAGAGTGTGGGTTTTCGCTTCTCCTTTTTTCATTTTCTTTTCATTTTTCTTTTGTTTTCACCTTCTCTTTGTAGGGGGTGAAGCTGTGGAGGGGGGAGTGAAAAGAAAGAGAGAGAGAGAGCTGACGTCCAAATCAATCCTGGCAGAACATTATCTCCGGCACGTCGATGGCCAGCCCACACGTCGCTGGGCTCGGGGCCTACCTGCTGGCGCTGCTCGGCCCGAAGACGCCCGTCGAGCTGTGCCAGTACATCCAGGACACGGCCACGCTCGGCACCATCACCAACCTGCCCGACGGCACCATCAATGCCATTGCCTTCAACGGCAGTCCTGAGTGATGTCTGGATCGGTTGGCTCAGGAACAGGCTCGTTGTTCAGATTTGCATAGCTTGTTCACCTGGATCCAATAGCAAGGAATCTATCTGTGCGGCATTCACGATGTGGCACCAGTTAAACATAGGGCGCAATGATATTAGATCTGATGTTGCGGCAATGTGAGGCTGCTCTTTGGTTTGTTGATTTGGAGACGAGATAGTGAACAGCCTACAAGTTCAGGCACAATGTAACTTCAGTTGTTCATGGTCTGTATACTGCTGTGTAGCTTAACCGTGACAAGTCAAGATCGTTCTAGTAGGAGGAACACGAGAAGGTAATTCTTGTCAAGCAGGCTATTTTGTATATCAGTCGTCTGTTCTCTGTACCTTCTTGGAGGCCTAGGTGACCTCCCTAAGGCTAGCGCCCTCGACCTGCTGAGCTTCCTTGAAGTGTTGAGCGCATGCTTGTAGTAAGCAGCAGAAAGACGAGCTACGAAACCAAGTCCTTCAACGTCCCGAAGAACCGAAGTACCTAGACTGGAAGAAGTCCGGATGAACGCGCCCCGCGAGCACCACGCGTTCTCTCTTCCAACTAGCGCGTCATTTTGGCAGTTGGGCAGGCCAATTTTCAGTTCCCTTCCATCCCATTCACGGCACTTCTCGCGGCCATCCTGAAAATTCACTCGTATTTTCCCCTTCTCCTCGAAGAATAGCAAGGTCTCTGTGTGGCCGCGGTGTCATTTCTCTCGACCGTTCTGTATTCCCCCCGCATTTCCTCTTCCACATCGCGCTACAAGTCGGTTTTCGAATCCCGAGGTTCAGATCGCGGCTTCACTACCCTCGTCGTCATCATCTCATCGGTCTCTCATCCTATCCACTTCGTTACATTCTCTCAATCCCCTCATCACAAGAGAATAACATCGTCATGCCGGGCGCTAGATCAGGTCGCCTCGGGCGCAAAGCGTCCGGAAGGCGAAGCAGCCAGCCCAGGCCAACCCCGTCTGGACCGTCCAGCCCGTCCACTCCTCCCTTTCTCCCCGTGGCAGCTCCCCCGGATCTGCACCCCGGTGATGCGCGGCACTCAATCCTCGCGATACAGATGTCTCGGTCCCAGAGCGGCCGGTCGGCAAGCAACCCGGTAAGTGCGCTTGTTCACATCATCTCCATGCTGTGTTCGTCGGTCGGTACTATGAATGAATGAATACTAATCAAGGATCTCTCTCCACAGAGGAACAATCGTGCGCAGCATCCCCGGTCGAGTTCGCCCCTGGGCGCTAGAGCCCAGCAACAACAACAGCCAGGTGATTTCAGCGATGCAGAGGACTCTGAGGGCGATCTCACAGGGCTCATGAATAGAAGCCTGGAGAAGAGGTCAGCCAATGCTGGCGATAACAGCGGCAGTCGCAACAGCAATGACGCAGGACATGTGAGCCGTCGTCTGTTCACATCCAGCGATCTCATCCCATCCTCGCCTCCTTCCGGACCTTCCGGGCCTTCCGGACCCCCGGGACCCGCTTCCGGAACCCAATCCGGAACACATACCCCGGTCGCCGATCATCAGGGTGCGGATACCACCGACGTTGAGATGGCAGACCTAGATGGGATGGAAAGTGCGCGCGCCCATGCCACCTCTCACACCGCCGCCCGCGAGCATCAAACTCTGGAAAGCGCTGCTGGGATCGATGCTCGCGATTTCGCCATGGACCACCCGGCCCCGCCCGCAAACGGCAGGGAGGAGGGAGATGAAGATGAAAGTCGCCCGCTTCGCGCCGCTTCGGGACTGGCCCAAGCCGCCGCCGAAGCGCCCATCGTGGTCGGGCCGCCGCCGTGGTGGTGGTCCTGGTCGACGACACGGGCTGCTGCTGCTGCCGGTCGTGGTGGTAGCGACAGGAACCGGCCGCGGCGCAACCGACCTGGCACGTCGTCGGCGCAGCAGAGCGCAGAGACACCCTCTGGGATTTAGGAGATCCCAGAGGAATTTCTCGCGCGTCTCGCGGCCGAAGACGGCGCCAGAGGCCAAAAGCGACAGGCCGATCCGCTGCCTCCGTCAGGTGAGTCTTGAGCTTTTTTATTTACAAAATAAATAACATTCGGTTGCTGTGGGCTGACAGCTGACAACCCGCGCAGCCAACGAAGCCGCCGCCGCTGGCGAGGTCGGAACAGACCTCACCAGCCCGACGAAGCGGCTGCATCTGGAAGAGGAAGATGCTGGGGATGTCGACATCCCCATCGACCCGGTCCTGCTGGATTCGGAGACGGCCGCGCTGGCTGCGGTGGGCCAGCTTGGCCATGCGGCAGCCGAACCGCCCGCCGTCGCTGCGCCAGACGAGCCCGTCCCTGCCGAGGGTGGTCCCGCCGCCGCTGGTCCCGCCGCCGCTGGTCCCGCCGCCGTCCCGGTTCCATATTTCGAGCCGATCGACGAGGAGATCAGCCGGCTGGTGAACCTGATCCTCGAGAACGGGGCGCTCGCAGCCCAGCCTGCCCCGGCCGAGAACGATGGTGGCACCCCGGGCACGGCACCCGCCGACATGCCGGCCAACGATGGCGGTGCCGCCAACGACTTCATGGTCAACTTCGTGAGGTTGGACGACGGAACGGCGGCAATGTCGGCGGGTGCTGCTGCTGCCGCCTTGGACGAGACCGACCTGGCCGAGCACGGCTTCCAGACCACGAGCGCGGCACCCGTCGTCGCGGAGAGCGCCGAGCTGCTCCCGTTCCCTTGGCCGCTGGAGATGCCAGCGAACAATATCAACGATCTTTTCCCGGTGATTCCGGTGATGGTCGACCCTGGATCGACCACAGCGCGCGTGTGGTGTCCAACGAATATGAGCGGACTCATTGATCCGCATTGGAAGGAGATGCCCCGGAATTGGAAGCATCCGGTAAGTCTTTGCTTTTTCTTTTCTTTTCTTCTTTTCTTCCTGTTTGAACTTCACGAGGTCGGTCATTGTGGGCATCGGAGTTGCGTTTCTACACAACCCGATCTAAACGAGTTGTCGTCCAAATAGCTAACCTCCCACCTTTCCCTCGCAGGGCGACCCAGGCGAAGGAACCGTCGAGCCGCTCGACCTCCGGCTCCCCGACAGCGCGCTGCCCTTCCTGCTGCACCAGCACCTTCACTCGCTGGCCGCGCAGGGCGCCCTCTTCCGCACCACCGTCGACAGCCTCAACGAGCTGACCCAGCTGATCGACGACTGCTGCGGCGACATCGACGAAGAGGTCCGCAACATGGAGATCCCCGCGTGCCTGCTCGCACAGCGGGGGCCGTGCGCCGCCCATTCCGGTGGTAACTACTACCACCACTACTACTCCCACTACAGAAACTACGACAACCCCTTCATGGGCGTCGTTGACGACGAGGATGATGACCTGGTGCCGGAGAAGTCGGTCCAGGAGAATACTACTACTGCTGCTACTGGTAGTACTACTGAAGAGCAGGCTAGGCCTAGCGTGTCCCCGCTGCCGGAGTGGATGAAGGTGCCGAGGCCCCTACGGAAGACGATCGTCGGCGGGCAGAAGTTCGAGAGGGATCCCCGCACCGGTGCGCTGCTGATTCCGAGGGAGTGGATGGACCAGTCGCGGGAGCAGGTGGAGAATGCGGCGTGGTTCCCCTGGGAGAAGAAGCGCATGGAGAAGAAGAGGAAGGGGAAGGAGAAGGCGAAGGAGGAGGAGGTTCCGGTTCTTCAGCCGCCGGTGGTGGGCGCTGCTGATGCTGATGGCCGAGAGGTCGATCCCGCCGCCGGCAACCGCATGGAGGTGAATGTGGGTGTCGTTGGTTCCGAGGAGGAGCAGGTCGACAGGGGGATGATGGACAACGAAGTCATTTCTACCCGTGGCAACATCGAGGCCTTGATCTGCCGGCCTGTCGCGGTGGAAGAGGACGGGAACAATCTTGACGTCGGCGCCGAGATCGGGATTCAGACAGAGCAGGATCTGGAGCAGGGAAACCAGGACGTCGCCGAGGCCGGTTCAGACGTAGCCGCCATTGACGTTGACATGACGGCCGATGATGAGGAAGAAGTGGCGGGAGATGAAAACGATACTGCCATCGCCGCCATGGAGATTGACACCGACAACACCGCATCTTCAGAGATCGAACCGCCCGAGCCCATAGCTGAGCACGCCACCGCTGCCGGCGAGGACCAACATCCTAGTAGCCCCAACAGAGCCACCAAACCCTACAGACGGGTCTCTCGTTACGCGTACAAGAGCGAGTCGGACGACGAAGGCGAGAACAATGACCCTGACCCCAATCCCGTCTTGGATCCAAGCGCGGAGGACGACAGAGGGGGCGAAGTTGAGGGCGAGGGCCCTTGCGATGTTGAGGAAGCGGACGGCGACGGCTCAATGGATGTCGACAACGGTCAGGTCGGACACGCGGCTGAGTATTACGACGATTCCGACGACGAAGTGGTCTTGCTCCAGATACCGCCCTCTCCGTAGCCTGAAGCGACCGAAAGCCGTGCCGAGATGGCTGCCGCCGCGCAGCCCGCAGACTCTATTCCTCGGTGACGCCTAGCCTGGACCCGGCGCTGCCAGTAACGAATCGAGAAGCCATTCCAGTGGCAAGGGCAAGGGGCGTGGTTTCGGTTTCCCTTCCGCTATGCCTGGCCGCGATTAACGAGTTCCTTTTCTTTGATAAGAACATGCGCAAGGAACAGGAAGCGCGGAACCAAGGTACCTGAGTGACACGGCACGTTTTCCTGGGCAGCAGCATGTTGAGACCCGGGCAGTCCGGGATATTTGGCGAAAAACAAGACAATCGAGACGAGAAGAGGGGAAGAAACTAATCATTGTGGGCGTATAAAGGGTTCAGGTGGCGGTGGGAAGCATATCTGGCGTTGCCACGAATCTCTTAAGGTTCTATAGCAGCACGATACCCCGACGTGAAAATTGGAAGGGCTGGATACTGGCCATTCACTCTGAGTCGGAATTCATTGGGCCATTTCCAGCTCATAGACTCTGCGGGTTTCCACCCCTTTCCCTGGAAGTTAACATAACGAGCCGATCAGGCAGATTGCCGGTCATGTACGGAATAGGAATATGAAACTCAACTTTGCCACTAACCAAGATTCATGCCGGTCGTCTTGTCTCTCTGTCCAAGCTGCTCTCAGTGCCATGTCTTCATGCAAAGTTCATGGCGTGCCAAAGACTGCCTGCCCGGCTTCTTCCTTCTCGCCATATGATGCTTTCCTGCCATGCGTCCTGGTACATACGACCATACCTGGTAGAAAGCACGGCATCCCGTCCGCTCTGCCCTAGTTAAGCTACCAAGGGCCGAATCAGTACTCAGGTCGGTGACGACTGGGGAATCCTCGGTGTTGTATGTTTTTTGCTCATTTTTGCTCCATCGTCGGTCCTGGCGGAAGAGGGTCAACTTGTCGAGCGATGACGGCAGATCGAGGCGCTTTCTGGCGAGCTGCTATCTCTCTTCGGCCCCTGCGGATCAGAGCAAGTCATCAATCCAGGCGGAATAGCATGGCCAGGCCATGGTGAGTGGAGGCCTTTCGCAGAAGCCGTCTTGGCAACCTGGATATTTGCCATCAACGGCTATGGCAGCGTAGACAGTAGACACTGGGTCGGGTGTGCCACGGGTGAGGTACGGACCCCGACTTCCGAGTTATAGAGCGTAGAAATGCCGATGCCACCCAGGCCGGACATCCAAGCATAAAATGTCCATCTGTCGGAAAGCTTGGTGCCAGCCAGCGGCCAACATCGAGCATGTTGACTGCCGAGGTTGCAGGACGGTTGCGTCTCAACGAAGCGCAACTGAAGTCTCGTGTGTCTTAGGTCTAACTGATCTTCAAAAAGACCAGGCGTGGACTGTCATGCCGTGTGCAGTTGACGGGCGGGACAGGAGCATCCGAGTCCACTTGTAAGGCTCAAGGATCGCCATGGAAACATCCCAACTCGGCCACCCCGCGGAATGTCTTGCAGGGAGTCGTGGGCATAGAGATTCTGAAAACGAACCAAAGTACGAGTCATTGTAGACCAAATCGTAAATCGGGGCATCTGGTCGTTGAATGCGGAGAGCGGCTCTTGCACCTTCGTTGGTGGTTTCCCAAATGCGCAATTATCGAAAGTGACAGTCCCTACCATGGGTGGGGACAACTCCGGACAGGCCCGTGCGCGTGCATCTTATCTCGACTTCAAGTTCACCTAATAAGCTCAGCACTCTTCGAATCCGGGAGCCTCGTCGCCCCGGTCCGCCGAACGAGGAGTTTACTTTCCTTGCCCGTTCGAAGTGTCTGGGGCAGGTTGTCTTTCGGGCCTCATCAGGCAGCGGTGCACGCCTTGATCCGGCGCGCAGGTTTGGTGTTGTCATGTTCGGCAGTTGAGTTCACGCATCGGGGTCATGCAATGCATCAAGAGACGAACCAAACACATCGAAATGCCGACAAGCCGAGTTGCCGACTGGCGTCGCACAGCATCCAGCAGATAATAAGTTGACATCCGGCCGGTACGCTTCGGTTGGTCATCTCACATTTTTTCTTTTCCGCATCTTCACGTGTGAACCACTGGACCACTGGCACATCAGATGGCAGCACGGGGTGCTCGATTGGATTTTCCATGTCGACCCCTGCATGCCGTGCTGTGCCAAGGCCCGCATGTCAAAAGCCCAGACCACAAGCATCCAGGGGCCAGGGGTGAAGGGGACTTCCCGCGCGTCTTTTGTTTTTGTCCAACAACAGATGAACACCTGGCTCGGCAATAAGGTTGGGTGTCATTATTATGGCACGTCGGAGCTCAATGTTGCTCCCCGAGCTTCATTGAGAAGCGGTTCTGGGAGTTGCACTGATGTCCCCATAGCCAACAGGCTTTTCCTCAGTGGAGACTGGTGAGTTGCCGCCAAGAGAACTTTGGTGTGTTTCAAGTTGAGCAAGCCCCAGAGAGTCCACACTGGAGCCACTGGACTGGAGGTCTCGATTCTGTCATTCTATTTCCTTCTTCGGCATGTTGAGGTCGAGCAGAACATCGCCCCGTTCTTGAGAACCTGTCCTGTACTGTCCTCCAACGGACTCGGGCAGACATGGAGCTTGCTAGACGCCCTAAGCGCCAACGGTGGTCTCTCCCTTCAAGGCCCCAGGTTGCCGCTTTACACCGTGTTATCGCGGCAGTATGGCTCAGGGGTCTCTTTAAGATCAGGGTCTGCGTGGAATTCTGGCTCAGCCTCATCCCCGGCCGTTTTGGGCATGCTTGGAGATCGAGACTGGTGGTCCACAGGCGCCACGCCCAGCTGTTTGCCCCCACTGCAGGGCACTGTGGAATGGAAGGGGTGACGATTTCTGTCGTTTCATGCTCGCTGTAACCCAGCCCGGAGGCGGAGCTCCAATGAGAGCCATCCATCAGGGGCTCTTCAGGCCCCGGCTCGGATCGCTACCGGCCAGACCCATGTGGGCATCAAGCTCCCCTGCCGAGAGTGGCGGGCAATATCGACGGCATATATCTTGTCTATTTCTCCCATACTTCTGCTGCCGTTCTTGGGAGATTCCTGCCGCTCGCTGCTCTCGCGTCAACCATTTCGTTCTTTACCAAGCCCGGTTCTTGTGTTTTCGTCTATTCATTCCTTTCTATTCCCGGTTCTGGAGAACCGCGGCTCATTCCCTTCTATAACACCCTGTGGGCTTCACATTCCTTTCGGACGCTGGAACCGGCACACCCGATATCGTTCACTTTAGACGGATCACGACTCATTACTTCACTCCTTCGAGCGAGGCAGATTTAAAAACAGAAGGCTACCCCCAAGATAGTCATCCTACCAAACCGCAACCATGCGCACCCACGCCATCTCGCTGCTGTCCCTCCTTCCGCTGGTGTCAGCGGTGCCAGCACCCGCCTACCCCGGCTTCAAGACTATCTGGTCAGATGCCTTTGAAGGCAGCGCAGGCTCACCCCCGGACCAGGGCGTATGGAACATCATCACGGGGTGCGTCTTCCCTTCACTAACACCATCCATCCGCTTCTCTCGACTGACTAGTCGGCCCCCTTTCTAGCCTCCATGTAAACAACGAAGTCCAAAGCTACACGACCTCGAACCAGAACCTCCAGCTCTCGGGTGGCAGCACAGTCCAGCTCGTCCCGCGCCGGTCCCCCTCGGGAGAATGGACGTCGGCGCGCATCGAATCCAAAGCGACCTTCACCCCCGCGCCGGGCAAGCTGACCCAGTTCGAAGCGGCGATCCGGTTCGGCGACCACGCGGCGGCGCTCAAGCAGGGGATGTGGCCGGCCTTCTGGCTGCTGGGCGACGCGGTGCACCACGGCACGCCGTGGCCGCTGTGCGGCGAGCTGGACATCATGGAGACGGTCAACGGCCTGCCGACGGCTTACGGCACGCTGCACTGCGGCGACGGCGCCCGCGGCGGGCCCTGCAACGAGCCCAACGGCCGCGGCGGCACCGTGGCGCTGCCCGACTACGGCTGGCACACCTGGACGCTGCAGGTCGACCGCACCAACGCCGGCGGCGACTGGAGGGGCGAGACCATCCGCTGGCTGGTCGACGGGCACAAGTTCAAGGAGATCACGGGTGCCGAGATTGGCGACCAGGGCATCTGGGCCACGCTGGCGCACTCGCCCGTGTTTATGATCTTGAACGTGGCTGTTGGCGGCGACTGGCCCGGCGCTCCCAGTGCCGCTACCGCCGACAGCTGGGGCAGCATGATGGAGGTCGAGTATGTCGCCGTGTACGAGACAGCTTAGGCACCCTTGCTTGCTCTTGCTTGCTGCTGCCACCTTTTGTTTCTGCATGACGGTGCGTCTTCTTGGGGGAAAAATAAGCGGGGAGTTTTTGGATAAATGGCAGGGTTGGATATCTCAAGATGCTCAGGAAGCGGATACCAAGGTCTTTTTGTTGACAGCGACGGCGTCACGGTGGCGTGGTTGGGATCCCGCTTGATGCGAAAGGTGGTACTTTGTTGCTAGTGCTTTCAGTAAGCGGCCTGCCTCCGTAAAGTGCAAGACTCGGAGGCTTCGCATTCTGGATGTGTATATTCTTTTCCGCCTGTACATGCGGCGGGCCTTGACTCAATTCGAGCATCATCTTTCTGGCGCTCCCCCGGGATGTGGTGCACAAGACGGCTTGCAAACAAGATGCCGCTTCCTAGACCGAGAGGAGGACCCGTAAAGGAAATACTAATGAGTTCTGAAAGGTTAAAAGAAAGAAACAGCAAATAAGTACGGAAGAGAGAGAAGTAGGGTGATGGCTACGACAAACGTGCTGGGGACGTAAGGGGTTGCAGGATGGAAGAAAAAGTACAAAAGACTCGACGTGGGCCTGATTCGAACAGACGCTCCCGAAGGAACAAGATTTCTAGTCTTGCGCATTAGACCACTCTGCCACCACGCCTTAAGATATAGTTGCTCCAAAAAGACATATGAAACTAGTTCCCAGCGACTACTGGACTCCAATGCTTCAGGGGGCACCAACATCCCCAGGGGCACATCCACACAGCTCTGGTGGTCCGCATGCCTGCCGAGCAACTCATTCTCGCTGGAATTTTCTAGTCATTTCACCTTCAACGTAGAGAGATACCCTCATCTCTTTTCCACCCTGGCGGTCGCTCCGATGGATCGAATAGGTTGGAACTTGGTGTTCGTCACTGGTCAGTCTGAGGCGTTCAACCAACGAACTGTATCACTGACAAGGTCCTACATCCTCAAGTCTTCGAAGAATCACCAGATTAGATGTCTTCTTTTGTCTTCCGCTTATTCAGATCACTAGCAAGACCATGAGCCTCGACATGGAAATCTTCACCTTCCCTTCCATCCCACCACCCCAACTCTCCAAAGGTCTAAACTTCTAACCACCACCAGCCTTAATCAAATCCGCCGCCTTCTCCGCAACCGCATATACCGTCGCCTGCAGCCCATACCCCACAATCAACGGCATCACACTCGCATCCACCACCCTCAGCCCGGCCACGCCATGCACCCTCAGATCCGGCCCGACACAACCCCCCCACCGCTCCGGCATCATCGCGCACGTGCCCGAGGGGTGAGCAAGGCTGGGCCAGAACACGCCGCGGTCCGCCCTCAGCTTGGCCAGAATCTCCTCGTCCGTCTGCAGCTCCTCCCCGGGCGCAACCTCCCTCAGCTCGGGACCGAACTTGGCCACCATCTCCGGACTGGCCCAGAACTGCCTGGCCCGCCGCACGATGGACACGACGTTCTCTGCGTCGAGCGGGTTCTGGAGCGTGTGATAGCGCACCGTGGGCAGTCCGCCGCCGCCGCTGGTCAGGTTGTTGTTGTTGTTGTTGTTGTTGTTGTTGTTGTTGTTGTTGTTGTTGTTGTTGTTGTTGTTGTTGTTGTTGTTGTTGTTGTTGTTGTTGTTGTTGTTGTTGTTGTTGTTGTTGTTGTTTATGTTGAGCGTGACGGTGCCGCGGGAGACCGGGTGCAGCAGCGGGGCCGGGGAGAGGCCGTTTCCCCTGAAGGGGGTGGCGGTGATGGCCGAGTCGGAGGAGTTGAAGAAGCGCCGGGCGAGGATGGCGCGTTGCGCGAGGAAGCCTTGTAGTAGGGTGGGCGAGGTGGCGTAGATATTCGGAAGGAAGGACAGCGGGGTCTGGGCGAGGAGACGCGCTGCGCGCGAGGAGGCGTTGGCCGGGGAGATGAGCTGGTCGAGGGAGTAGGATACCAGGGTGTTGCCGCTGCCGGAGGCGATGGGCCCCGTTCGGTTGGCCAGGTATTCCGCCCAGACGGTGGCGTTGTAGGTGGCGTTGGTGGCGATGGTGTCTGGGTTGGGGAAGGACTGGTGGGCGAGGGAGAAGCGCAGCAGCGTGGTGGCGTGGTCTTGGAGGTTGGCGCCCACGGCCGGCAGGTCCTTCTTCACGCGTACCCCGGCCGCGTGCAGCACGGATGCCGGGCCAATGCCGCTGGCCTGGAGCAGCTGCGGGGTTTGGATGGCGCCCGCCGCGAGGATGACTTCCTTCTTTGCGTAGACGGTGCGGACAATATTGTCGGTGGTGCGCGACACGATCCGGACGCCCCTAGCCCGCAGTGGCTTGTGGTCGTCGGGGCCGAAGAGGATCTCGGTGGCGGTCTGACCCGTGACGAGGTGTAGGTTCGGCCTCGTCGCGTTGACCGGATCATAGTACGCCGACCGGGACGTCGAGCGGGTCATGGTGCGGGCATCGATGGTCTCCGGCGACCAGGACGCACCCGGGCCCAAACCGGCGTTGAAGCTGGGCAGCAGCACAAGGCCCGGCTGCTGTCTGAGAGCGGTCCAAAAGACGGCAAGGTCGGGATACCGGAAGTCCGAGATATGCGTGTGCACTGGGCCGTCCCCGTACACGGTGGGATCCCAGGTGACATTCCAGCGCCTGACCGTCTCCGGGGATGGGGGGATGAATGTGGTGCTCTTCCGGAAATACGGAAGCAAGCCCTCCCAGCCCCAGCCTGGGTTGCCCAGCTCCTCCCAGGCGTCGTAGTCGGCCCTGTCACCGCGGGCGTAGCCCATGCCGTTGACCACGGACGCGCCGCCCACGACAGCCGCAACCGCCACGGACGATGTCGTGTTGTTCAGCTCGGGGTTGGGAGCCGACTGGACGCGCATCATGACACTCTCATCCACCGCATTAGAAAACCAGGGCACAACGGCCTCGGGCTTGTCGTCAAAGTCGCCCCGCTCGATCACAAGGACGGTAGCTATGTACGTATGCAACATTATGTCAGACGTTCCATAACCCAAAATCCCTTCCCGACAGTGAGGGAGAAGTTCGCTAGAAGGTAGAACTCACTCTCCCGGTCCTCCGTCAGCCTATTGGCGACCACCAGCCCGGACGTGCCTCCCCCGACCACGACGTAGTCAAAGACACTCCCATCGAGATCGCCATGCTTCGGCCCAGCGGCAACGGCACGACCGGCAGCCAGCAGCCAGCAGAACCACAAACGAGGCATCGTGCCTCTGTCACTCTCCCACGAGGGTCTTGTCAAGCCGCGATACTCCTAAGCAAGCCAATTTCCTTAGGCCAGGACGCGGAAGGCTAAGCAAGGATGGGAAGGATTAGTACATCTCAGAAGAAACAGACCTGAGCATGAATAAGTACCTAAGTAAGGCTAATAGTTCCACAGCTGTCTGCCTGTCCCGCGTGTTATATCATCCAGGAGGACCACGGGAAACCAACCCAGATCAAAAGCTACTAAGCCATGCATGCAGCTACTGTACCTAAGTGGAAGCTTGCCGCCCCCCAGACGATAGCACACTGCATACAGCGGGAAATGCATGCATGCAGCGCGCTGACTGATCAAGCCGCGTGCGGTGAGCAAAGGGCTGGCTGGGTAACATTGGGGAATCACACCTCACCTCATATGCCCGGACAGAGGCCACACTTTATTAGAGCGGCGGAGGCTGGGTCGTTACCCAAGCTGACGGTAAGACGACGAGCAACTCCTGCTTGGCAACTGCACACCTATCAAGCCCAGCGAGTCTCGACCTGGACGGTCCCCGACTGACTTGGAAAATAGTCTCGTCAGCTGAATGTCTTCTGCGTGTTCTGAAGGTGGGATCCCCGCCAAGGCTGCATGCAGTTCATCAGCAACGACATGCATGGGGCAGAAGACACCGGGGCAGCAACTGCCCCAAGCCGACGCCGCAGCGAGGCTCATTTTCAAAACCCCAAATCGGATCTCAGCTCGGTCAACACAAACAAATTCTCTGTCGATTTTCAGGGGTATGTTGTGTATGTCATATCTTCATCCGGATAGACTGGTTACAAAAAAAAGCAAGACACATGAATCCCAGACTCCTCCTCCCCCCAGAGCTGGTGGTAACAAAAACCGCCGGAATTAAGAGACTCTCTCCCGTCCACACACCACGTAGTACTGATATTCCTCCTCCGCCTATCGCTCGCACATTTACTTTGCGCGAATTCCCCCATCCCCCACTGCCCAACAACAGTGGACTGTGTGACCTTTCAGCCTTGTTGCTTTGATACCACCCAACCAAGATTAAACAGAATACACGGCCTCTACTTCGACATGAAAGCCAATGGAACCCGAACGCCGAAAGACGAAGAACGAAACACAATAGCCAGGACAAAGAACGAAAAAAAGGGAGTAGCCGCAATGGAAACGCGCCGTCGATGCCCAACATATCGGTTGCGGGGGAACCATGCAACAGCTTTAAACACTTCCGCCTGCTTCATATCGGAATCGCAGAAGGGCACGTAACGTATTCTCAGAGGCAAAGGAATGTGTACAAAGGCCGCCAGAGACCTGGAGCGGCCAGCGCCGATCGGGGCAACAGTGGGGATGCTGCGCCGTAAACAATGGCAGAAACGAAAACGGAAAAAAAGTTGAGTTCGCCCCGTGGAATTGGGGAGATGCATGTCGTGTGGCTGAATGGGCAGACAAAGCCTGGGCGGGAGCAGCGTGGCCTGGTATGCGATAAGCCATCGCTGCCAGAATATGCGCTGCGGCGCTGCGAGGGCGAGCGAGACGTGTATACTGCTGATGGCATGGAGAGTCAACGCCATTCCCCTCAAGCTTCGCCGTGGCGCTCTCGCAGGAGCCAGTTAAATAGGTGCCGGGTGTAAGGCCGGGGTCACGTTATCAGAAACCGTTCCCCCAGTCGAATTCCTAATCCGTCGCCCCAATCGTCGTATCGCCCTCCATCGAGAAGCCCTGGGTGAAGTCGAAAGTGGGATCTTCCGCGGTGTTGCCGTCCTGCAAGAACGTGTCGAAGTCGAAGCCGTCCAGGACGTTCTCGCTCTGCATGGGGTCGGCAAAGCCGAGAGAGAAGTCCTGCTTCGGGGTCAGCAAGTAACACAACACGCGAGATGCCAGGCTCTCCTTACCATTCCGCCAGTTTCCAAGAAGCTGGTCCCTTGGTTGGGATCCGAATGCGGCGGCGGTGCCGCAACGGGAGCAGGCTGCGCGGGGGGCACGGGTGCAGTAGGCTGACCATTCGGCACGCCCTGGCCTGCGTTAACATTCTGGTTCTTGGGGAACCCAGCCGGGTTGGCCGGGGTGATCGGTGTGGCGGGCGTCGGAGCCTCTTGGTTGGCGTCGGGGCCGTCGGCAGCGGGAGTGGCCCCGGCATTGTTAAGATTAGGGTTGCTCTTCTTCGGCTGTGGGTAAGAGGGTTAGCCTCAGACGCTGCGGATCACCTCACTGCAGGTTTCGCTACATACCTTGGCCTTGGTGGACTTTGTCTCCTTCTTCTTGGGTGCCGCCTTGTTCCCTTGCTGCGGAGTCGGGGGGGCAGCGTTGGTCACCTGAGGCGACGCGGTCGTGTTGCGTGCATTGGCCGCATTAGCGGCGGCCGCTGCCGCAGCCGGGGCAGAGGGAGGCGGCATGGACCGCTGGTTCTGAGCCGGGCCCCCTTGCATCTGCGACTGGGGAGGCTGTCCAGCCATTTGGCCGTTGGGTCCACCCTGCTGCCATTGCATCGGGACGCCCTGTGCATTCGCCTGGGCCTGGCGTGCAGCTATTATCTGTTGCTGATTCATTTGGTTGAACTGAGGATGCGAGCTTGGCGGCCGCATACCGTTTATCTGGGCAGCAGCCATGTTCATGTTGATGTTAAAGTGTTGCCCCGTGTTGGGGTCCATGTTGCCGCCCATGAAGTTGATCGCGTTGGGAGAGCTTCGAGACTGGGCTGCGCCATCGGGAAGCGGGGATCCCATGTTAGGGGGGTTGCCCATCTGCTGGTTCCGCTTCATCGACTCGGACGGGTTAGGCGAGGCACCGCTCCGCCCACCGGGCGGCGAGGTTCCCTGGAATCCCTGGCCGTTCGGTCCTGGCGCAGCATTGGGGCCGCCGGGGCCGCCGGGACCGTCGACCCGGGGGACGTTGTTCGTTGTCATATCCTGCTCCTGCCGAGCCATCATCAACCGTTTTTTGTTCTGCTGCTCTAGCAACATCAGTTGCATCTGGTAGTCTTGCAGAGCGTGGTTGCTGTTCGCGGTCGCCTGGCCGTTGGGCGCTCCAGGCCTCATGTTGCCGGGACCAAGGTCACCCGGGTTGTAGTATTGGCTGAGCGAGTTGCCGTCGGGACCTGGCGGCACCATGGAGCCTTGACCCTGCGGACCGGCGGCGTGTGGCATGGGTTTATTAGGCATCTGGTTGCCATGGTGCTGCGACATGTTAGTCGAATACATTGCAAGTGTCTTTGCATTGGGAGCGGCAGGGGCAAAGGTCTGCATCTGGTTAGGATTCAGTGAACTTGGGTGCATGGCATTCTGAAGGAGCAGTGCTCGTGCTAAGTCAGGGCCGTTTCCTACCTGTGGCTGTCCAGGCATGCCCTGGCCTGGTCTTCCGTTAGGCATCATGACTCCTTGGTTAGGGTTGAAGGGCGCTCCGCCGTCGAGGCGGGGTCTCTTGGATGGCGACGGCGCATTCTCGGCCGATCCGGGAGAGCCCGGCCCACCGCGGTTCCCCTCCGACGGATCCCGCGGCATCTGCCCCGCTGCCTGTTTCTGTAGTAGATGCATCGTTTGGGGACTGAAGATGCGAAACCAGTTAGCGACCATATGGAGCAGAGGGGGGCGGGAAAGGCAGGCGGAACGAGGGGTTCTTGTTTGGTGTGCCACTCACTTCTGGCTGTTAGCCACGGCCGTTCGTTGCAAATTCCCCGGCTTCATGGCTCCGATGTTTATGGCCCCGTTCGGCATACGAGTCATCATTTGTGGGTGATATTGCTGTGGAGCGAATTCGGAGCGCATTTGGCGAAGCAACTCCCGCTGCTGCTCCTGACGCATACGTGATTGTGCCTACCAAACAGTAAGTCGTCGCTCGACATAACGGATGCATGAATGTGCCAGGGGCGCATCTCCATACCTGAGTATGCTGTACGTATTGGTTGATCTGGCCGCTTGAGCCCTTCCCTTTCTGCGAGTTGAACATGTCCCAGAAGAGGCAGAACCAATCGTACAGGAAGCAGCTGTCAGGCGTGGGCACCGGCAGGTTGGGTGCTGGCAGATCGTCTGGGCGTTTCTGGTCCAACCCGTCCTTGGTGTCTGTATCCATGGCATCGCCGTTCCCGAGCAGATTGCCGTTCTCATCGCGATGTTTCCCCGGGCTGTCCTTGATGACCTTGATGTGAGGATCGGCCGAGAATACCGCGCGCGCGCAATCAAACATGTGATTGCGGATAAAGTAGTCGTAGATGTACGTATTCAGCAGCGTCGTCCGCCCCGAGTCGTTGAGCTGGATCTGATTCGGTGGCTGGGACGGTGGTGCAAGGCCCCCATTGTTCATCATGTTCATCGGAGGTCCGACCGGGCCGCCCATGTTGTTCATATTGGGCATGTTCGCCATGTTGTTCATGGCCACGGCGGAGTGCAGACAACGGTCTGCTCGGCGGAACTATCAGATTGAGCAGGGGTTTTGGTTGCCGATGTGGATTGCGGCGGCCAAAATTTGTGGATGAATGTTGCAAGTTGTGTTTGGATGTAGATGAGCTTCCTCAGTCAAGTTTTGGCAAACGGTGACGTGTTGCGCGAGAATTATATGCGCAACCGTGCTCGTGGAGTAATTATGAGACTGTGAATGTCGCCACCGCAGGCGGTTAAGCGAGGCTTCGCCGTTGGCGGCGTGTATTGATGAGGACGTGTATCAATGAGCAGTGTCAGCTTGCAAAAGCCGCTGTTTGACGAACCGCCGTGTGAACACTGCGAGTCGGTCGGAATGCAAGGCAGGGAGCGTATGGGCGCGATGAAGGGCGTCGCGATACTGGGTGGGGTGTGTCGGTGGCGCTTGAGTAGATGTGCGAGAAAGGCGGTTTCGATGCACGACCGGGCTCCGGTGGGAGGCTTGGGCTGCTTCTTCAAGGTGGGATGATTAAGGCTGACAAAAAGTGGGAGAGTTATCGAAGCGAAGTTGACCCGGAAGCCGATACACAGGCTCTGGTGCTCTGACTCCGACGGGTTACTCCGTACGCTTGGGCAGGGTCGCTGCGTCTACCCTCTTGAGGCCTGGCGATATCGCGATTGTCGTCCTCACCCGCGACACTGCTTGTCCGCTCCGGCAAATTCGGTGAGCGTCGACGGGGCGACGTCGTGGACATCAAACTAGCATGGTTCGCGGAGGCCAGTATGGAGTTGCAGAGGAACAGGGACCAATGTGGGAGCGGAAGGGAATAGGAGGACTGGGGCTGGGAATTTTGGAAATTTCGGCGACGCCTGGGGCGTAATTGGGGGGCCGGCGAGAACTCGAGAGCGACAAGACGATTGGGGATGTCTGCCAATCTCTTGTTCGGAACGGAGCAGTTGCCCTGCGCAGTTTCTGGCACGGCTTGGACGGTGCCCTGCGTAGATCTCAGCCTTCAAGGGCTTACGCCTGAGCGATCAGGCATTCATGCAGCAAAGCTAGGCCACCAGTTGGCCAGAGCGGCCTTGGCACTCCGGTATATGCACATCGGTTACGGTCACTCAGTGATTGAGATGGATTCAAATGCGATACTAATGGTCCGAGTCTCCTGCGTGGTAGCCAATTTGTTGCAGGACGATGCCACGCTCACCCATCAATTTATGTGTCAGAATCGGATATTGCTAGATAGCTGCGCTCAAATTTGGAAGACGCGCCTCTTCTTTGTTCAAGTGTGTCAGCGGAGCTCCAACAAGATCTATCCTAGCGCCACGTTTGGCAGGGGTCTGACACGCTTTGGCAGCAACATGTCGAATTCGCCGTTGCAGCAAGGTTGCGCATCTCCGACCATTATTACCTTATTAAGGGCTGCAGTTAAGCGTGGGCCTGGCAACTTCGAACCTCGCGATTTCAGCAGGTTCCAGCGCTGAACCCTAATTGCAACGCGCCAATATAAAGCCAAGATCCATACCGTAACCGAGATGCTGTCCAACAGATCAAACAACCGCGCGATCAGCGGCGCGGGTATCAAAGTGGGCCGGTGGTAGAGCTGTCGACTGCAGGTCACATTTGAAACCTCACAAACAGCTCTGACTATGACGATAATATAATCAGCGCGGCTTCAGTCCTGCTCCGGGAACCAGATCATTCTATTTCAGGACGAGGCTACAGTCCCAGATCCGGCGGCTGCAGCCGACCTTGTCTATCAGCCTCTCGGTTCCAGGTCAACTTAACGTTAGGTGTGGCTGTCCTGGCTGCCTGCAAGCCCTACCGTAATCTGGGGAGGGCGCCTCCACACCGTTCCGAACGGTCAGGATGCGACCCCCTGCCTTGCATTAGTTTTGAGGACGCTGTAGGTAGGAGCTTCCTACACGGCACGCAATGTCTCTTGAGAGTAAGGTACCTATATGACAATCGATTCGTCTTAGATTACTATTCTAATACTCCTACCGAGTTTCCGCTCTCTCAGCCCATTTACGGCTCCTCATTATGCCTTACTGGGGTTCCGTGTGGGGCAGATACCCCGATAATCGCATCGACTGATCAGGCCGCTTGACGCAGGGTCCATCCATCGGGAGAAAGCGACCGGCAGTCCCACTGTTACCCGGTCGCCCAAACTCAGATTCAGGAATGCGGGATGTGCAAGTTAACCCATCAAGCACTTTCAACCTGACTTAGATGTTATGACAACTTGAACTGCCCATAAAGCTACCATTCACGGACCAGGCTGGTTGCTCATAACTCAGCATGGCCATGAGCCGGCCGTGGTCTATGGGCGTTCTTTGACTTCTGTTAGGAAGGGTAAGGTACCTTACAAAAACGGCAGCTAAGAAATCAGATACATCACGACTAAAGCATTGGCAAAGAGACAAGCAATCTGTTCAGTACTAGTATGCTATATTCAGCAATGGGTATTACATCTCTATCGTTTTGCGCCAGCCCATTATCATTCCCGCCCTTTTAAAGGGAACATGCAATATGCTTCTCCCAGCTGCCGTCCTCACGGAACGCGCGGTCCAAACTCACAAGCGCCATGCCCATGGTACCAAACCCAATCCTCAGAGGCCTGTCAACGACCACGAGAGCATCTTGCGCCTCATCCAGCATACCAAAGAAAAATGAGAAAGTTGGAAAACAAAACAAACCTAGATCAGAGACTACTCCTAAACCCAACCCCCCTACCACCCAACTTCTCCTTGAATTCCTCAACACAGATCGGCCTCCTCCGACTCCCCTTCCCGCGATATTCCCTCGGATCCTCGCCGTAGGAATACGGATCCCCTAGATAATCCGCCAACACGGCCTTCGCGCGGTCCGCCTCGTCGCGCTTGACCTTGGCCCAGCTGCAGAAGTCGAGCTCGACCGTCCACGTCTTGAGCGATTGGCTCACCGCCTGCTGCTGCTCACTACCCCTACCCCTCGGAGAATCTGTGTAGGCCAGGGCGCACTGCATGTTGTAGTCGCGCGCGATGGAGCAGTCCCTGCGCGAGGCGGTGCAGCTTGCGCAGGTCAGGTGCAGGCGGTATTCCGGGTGGGGGGTTCTCCTCCTGCTGCTGTGCTTTGGTTGTTGTTGTTGGCGCTGGTGCTGGTGCTGGTAGGGGCGGGGGTTGAGATTCTCGGTCGAGGCGTATCCAGCGCCTTGACGGTGGTGGTGGGGGGAGGCATCTTTGGAGGCGCAGCCGCCCATTTTCGTGTCTGGAGTGTGTGGCGATACTGGTGATCGCGGCGATGTTGGCGATGGTGGTAGTCCCGCCTGGGCGAAGATGTGTGGTGATAGACTGTGAAGACCGTGGAACAGCACTAGACTGCTCCCCAGGCCGGCGGCCATCGCTGTTTTTATTGTCGTTTCCGGCTGAGTGGTCATGAACTGAGGCCGGTTGCTCACGGCCGGAACAGACGGGTTGTGCAGTGCAAGCATCTTGAACTATAGTGTTGGTGATGGGTCGACAAAGGGATGGTCGACGGTGATCAGTCGATACAATGGCCGAATGGCGGTCGACGGCCTATATAGCTGGTTTGTGCTTCTGAACAGTGAGACGGGTTGAGACAGAGACCCGAGGGCGGCCAGACGGGTGACCGCCCCCAGGTATACTCCCGAGATATGCATTTTACCGCCCGCAACAAAGCATCAGGCAGCTGATCCGCGGTGGCGGTTACTTGTGCAACAAAGATTTACATGTGGCTTGCGCCCAAAGGTTGCGGCAGAGCTATTCGTCGCAATCGGGCGTGTGACCTCCGATCAGTGTTGTTCCCGCGCTCCGGGTGAGGCGCAGCAAGCGCAGCGAGTGGCAACGCACTACATGATTGCGTGTGGCAGGGCTGTGCTACGTCGGCTACGAATTGTTTTTTTCTGCAAAAGCCCGGCGCAACGCTGCGCCAACATACAAAGGGTGTTGGAGATGGCTGGGCGATGTTTCTCCGAATAGGATGGGCTCGTCATCCAAGTATCGGGTCGCAATGGTCAGCTTCGAGCTGGCCGTCACACAAGCGTTCGATCTGCAACAATGGAAGAGGGGATGAACCAGCTAAAATTCAAGGCTGCTGTAAATCAGCCGGAAACTGATTCACGGCAGTGCAAGCGAGTCTGACTCAAGTCTCGTCACGAAGCCGTATTCCAGCGGCTGCATTGGCGAGGCCTCTGGCCACGAGTGATGCCCCGGCTAACGGATGCAAAGACACGGAACCTCTGTCCCAAATACAAAATGCAAAGAGACACATAAAAGATAGGCTCCATTGGCCCCATTGCCCTGATCGGTTGAGCAGTCTTGAGTCCGTGGTCCCCTCACGTTCCTTGATCTGGCTGGTCCGAGCGGGTCGGGCCTATGCAGAACTCCCTCCGCTGATCAGCGATATCCGCCCGCAGCGGCGTGACTCTGATACAAATGTACACCGCCGTATAACCGAATCGCTGCATCGGGCGGTGCCAATGATCGTCCTGGCTACAGTGATGCAATAACTGTGCCCATCATGACTCTGGGACGGCCCGTGGGCGGGCGCACCTCCCGGTTGGCATGATCACCACTCGAGGCGCGAACTCCTGGCTTCTGTGAAACCGACGCACCAAGACGGCCGTCCTGGTCTAGCACCGTGTACAGCCACTAGTCATCTTCTGGCGGGAGTTCGTCGTCGATGTATCGTATTAGGGTGATGCGCATCTCGGTCGTGTCGTTCCCCCGCAGCACGTCGCTGATGAAATGGGCCTCCACCTGCATCTGGACCATCTCCAGCGCGCCCCGCAGCACGCCGCACAGGATGTTGGAATACCACAGCTCATCCTGGGCCCGGCCGTCGTCCGGCAGCTCGACAAAGTCGGCGAAGGGGTTCTCGTCGAAGACAAGCGAGAATTGCTTGCCATCACCCGTCCAATTTGTGATCGCCGGTGTGATGTTGAGGAAGATCTTGAAGCCAACCTGCAGACCATCGCGGTGTCAGACATGATCAACAAACACCACGTGTCCGTCTGGCTAGGACAAACCCACCTTGGCAATCATCTCTGCTGTTTCCCGAAAGTTGGAACACCGCCTGACGGTGTTGGATTTCGCCAGGTAGTCCTCGATCAGCCGGAGGCCAATGTTGTAGCCCATCTTGTCTAGCTGCTTGTTCACCTCGACATAGTCGCTATCAAAGTCCTTGCAGAGCTGCGCGACGATGGTGCCGTATGTGAGGACGACGAGCTCGGCGTTGACCTTGTCCATACGGGTCCTGGAGGCGTTAGCAAGTGCCAGGCCTAGCGTTTGAGGGAATTCTTACTTCCAGACCCTGTCGCAAGAGGAAAGGTCAGCATGGTCGCTCGAGGGGTAGCTGTCGATAGGGGGCTGCGAACATACTCTTCCCCCAAGCGGGAGGCTTTGCTTGACGCCATTGAGGACGAGGTGGGCCAAATAGCCAGTTCTGTGTTCCAGACGGTAGGGCAACCACCACAAGGGAATGCGCGAGCTGGCGATGAACCGAGGAATACTGGCTTCACAGTAAGACCAGACTGGGACGATGCGGATCGAGAAGCTGTCCTGGTCCAGGGGTCATGATTGTGTGGGGAAGCGCCCCACGACGGGCCCCACCCCTGCGCCAAGAACTAGCGGAACGCGAAGGATCTAAAATCGAGCGAGCTTCCAGGTTGCGCTTCTGGACTCGAAGCAGCACGAAAACGCCAGCCACCATCAGCCTCGCCGATCCCACTTGCGAAATTGCCGCCAGAGAGCACCCCTCGACCACGGAGTACAAGATGTCAGAAAAGAGACCGGCCTCCGACGACCCGAGCGACAGACAGCTTGTTGTCAAGCGGCAGAATGTGGGCACGAGTCGCGCCGTCACCCGGCCCGGCGCTCCAGGAAGCGGCGCGCTCATCCAGACGGTATGTCTCGGCCTTCCGGTAGCCAGGCCATCTTGAAGGTCTTGTTGATGTTGACTGGACGTAGGAACCCAGGACCAGCAACCTGCAAGCTCCCCTGATGGAGCTATCGGGGCACACTGGAGAGATCTTTGCGGCTAAGTTCGATCCAAACGGGAATTACATAGCTTCCGGGTCAATGGACAGGACAATAAGTGTGTCATCACGCGCTGCTAGGCTTACACGATGGGCGGCTGACAGATGGGCAGTGCTATGGAGGACGTACGGCGACTGCGAGAACTACGGCGTCCTGAGCGGCCACCGCGGTGCGATCCTCGACCTCCAATGGTCCCGCGACGCCGACATTCTCTTTTCTGCCTCGGCCGACATGCACCTCGCGAGCTGGGACCTCACATCGGGGCAAAGGATACGGCGCTACGTCGGCCACGAAGAGATCGTCAACGCAATGGACATCAGCAGGCGCGGAGAGGAGCTGCTGATCAGCGGGAGCGACGACGGGACGATTGGCCTCTGGGACCCGAGGACGAAGAACGCGGTCGACTATATCGAGACCGAGTTCCCCATCACCGCCGTCGCCATGTCGGAGGCCGGCAACGAGATCTACTCGGGCGGCATCGACAACGACATCAAGGTGTGGGACATCCGGAAGAAGACGGTTGTGCACTCGATGATCGGCCACACCGACACAATAACGTCGCTGCGGGTATCGCCGGACGGCCAGCAACTGCTCTCGTACGCCATGGACTCGACAGCCAGGACGTGGGATATCAGGCCGTTTGCCCCTGCCGAGCGTCACATTCGCACCTTTGACGGGGCGCCGTTGGGGTTGGAGAAGAATCTCATTCGCGGCAGCTGGGACTCGGATGGCAAAAAGATCGCGGTTGGAGCAGGAGACGGCACGGTCGTCATCTGGGGTAGCGATTCAGGGAAGCTGTTATACAAGCTTCCCGGCCACAAGGGTACGGTCAACTGCGCCGAGTTTGCGCCAGTGGGCGCTCCTATAAGTTTGTCTTCCCTTTTCCGGGGTGGTGGTGCTCTGCTAATGCTCTTCCTTAGTTCTGTCGGCGTCGTCGGATCGCACTATGCTGTTGGGCGAGTTGAAGTGAGGCTATGGCTTGATATAACACGGTAGGCTCCATACTCCTGCTCCATCGCAAACCGGCTACACTACGAGCCCTCTGTCGGCAGATGCATGACGTGGCGGCGCCGTAACTTTAGGAGTGCCCTCACCAGTCAGTGGACGGGGGTCACCAGGGTCGATGCACCCGTCCCCCAGGCGGATGTCTTCTGCTCCGTTCGCTGGCATTTACTGGTTAGGGGGATAGATGCGGATGCGGCGCGAGGAGCTAAGGAACCGTTGTCACGTCGTATGTCCTCTGGCTGGGATGCACATCAATGCCCTCGCGCGGGCGAATCAAGGATCGAAGAACGGCGATGCGAGGAAGCGTGAAGCAGTGGTGTAATAATGATACCCAACGTCTAGATTGGAGTTCTGCGAGAAGCGCACAACTGCGTCTGACAAGACTTCAGGTTGTTGTAGGTATCGACGTCCCTATAAAGCGCACGGACTGTACGACGATACGAGGTGTTCATTCGTTTTAGAAACTTTACATCCATCCGCTGTATATCTGTCCGAAGCGAGCCACTCTCGTGTTCAATATCTTTCCTGTCTGCCGGTATTATTGCAACGCCTTCTGGAGTCCGTACACCTGAAGCAGTCGCCGAGTCCAGGAGCATCCTGAAACGTCGTGGGTGCCCCACCTCGATTCATGCAACAGTGTGTTGTGAGCCAATCACTTGGTCGCAGCGTCATCTTCTGCCGTCAGGGGCTCCCCGCCGTCAGACCCTGTCTGCGACCGCCATCAAATCGAATCGTGGGGTTGGAGGGACGGGAGGCCGAGACTGCAGGTGTGCTGCTGTGAGAGGGATACCCGAATGCATGGCACGCGTTGTTGTGATGTTCTAGCGCGATCATTCGCTGTTGGCGAAGTGACTTGCGGATCGTGACTACGCGGAAGAAAAGACTGGAACACGAATTCTCTTCTCCTTGAGATGGAGGTAGGTGAATACCGGCATTACGGATACTACACTACGCATACGCCAAAGCGCCATCCACGGACCAGGAGTCTCGAAGGGCTGGTTCCCTTCCCCTTCCGAAATGAGCGAAGGACATTCACCATCCACATCTGCTTCTACCACTCATCCACTCCAGCTCCAAGGAAGCCGGCTTGTGCACCCTATAACCCGCTGTCTTGGGTGTCTCCAGAGCAGCTTGCAGCCAAGCGTAGCTTACAACAACCCCCCCTGCATCGCGAGTCTCATCTTCGGCCTCGTCTCATCGACTCACCCGAGCCTCTGCCCCTAGTTAGTCCCTTTTAGCGTAGCCTCGTCTCCTCTAGGTTTGTCCAGCTTTTCGCGAACAGCAGCTCCGTGCACCCTCCCCAGACCACGGGACATTGCCAGCCAGTCGAGGCCCGCGCCATGCTAGGCTGCATATCCCGAAACCAAACATGGTGACGTGCCCGCCTATGGACGACGCTCCACGCTCACGATCTTTTACCTTGCTTCCTTTTTTTCCCCTACCTATTGTTCTTGATTGTCTGTAGCTTTTCGCTTCTCATCACTCGTTTCGCCACCCAACGAAGTCCCGCTCGTTCTTTCTTATACATACGAGGCGTCGCAGGCAGCTTCACAATTGGGTTGGAATTTTCGTCCATTGCTCTTTTTCTCCTGCTTTGGGAATTGGCAGTCATCGCAGGCTCCGGCAGCCTGATATCATTGGGCGGTGTCTTGCAGCACTGGCTTGCTTGCTTGGGATATACAAGGAGTTCATGATACCCACCTCAGGCGCATTCGGATTTCCACTTACATCACTTCCTGCGAAGGGCTCGCCCAACATCAACAGATTTGCAAGCACCGGTGAATCAACCCCAGTATGATCACAGGGCTGTCCCGATAATAAACACAAACGAGCACTCGCTATTACGCCCACCAAAATGAACCGCTTCAACTTCTTCGCCCGCGGCCGCGACGCCGACGACGTGGAGCGCGGCATCGGCCAGTCGCACGCCAACGCGCCCATCGACTCCTACGACGATGACGACCGCGCCCCTCTCTCCCCGCGTGTGCGTGGGGACCACGTCCTGCCCGACGACCTCGAGGCCCAACACTCGGCCGCCGCCACGGCAGACCGGGAAATGGCCGAGCGCAACACGCCGCAGACCCGCTTCCTGCACCGCTTCCGGCCGCCCATCCCCAGCTTCTTCAGCAGCGGCCGCTACCCGCGCCCCACCAGCAGCCACTACTCGGGCGACGGGCTCCGCGGTGCGCCCGGCACAGTCATAGGAGGAAGAGGGGTGGAGAGCCCCAAGAGCCCTGACTTTGCGCGGGCGTGGACGCAGGGGCCAGCTAGGGTGGCGCCGCCGGCGCCGGTGGTGCACGCGCCGAGAAGGCATGGGTCGAATTCCAGTTCGAGTTCGGGATCGGGGTTGTCTTCGGAAGAGGAGGAAGAGCGTCGGGAACGGAGGCGGCGGCGGCGGGAACATAGGGGACATAGGAGGGATGGGAGTGGCAGTGGTAGTGGCAGTGGCCGATCGAGGTCCGGGAGATCAGGACGGTCGCATGGGTCGGGCAGTCACCGTTCGCGTCGGGCCCGGGATGAGGCGAGCAGAAGCGAGCGCAGAGCGCGGCGCGAGCAACGGCGTGGGACAGATGGGTCTGGGTCTGGGTCGCGGGGAAGCAGGTCGACACGGAGCGAACGCCATCCGCCGAAGCACTTCCTCTTTTGCTTCCCGTGGATCAAGTCCCGCCGGATTCGGGCGCACATCCTGCGTTCTTTCGTATCGGGGCTGTTTCTCGCTCTGTCGCTGGCAGTGTGTAAGTGCCCGCTTCGGTCGGCTTCCACCCCGTTTGTGACCATCCAGAGGCTAACCCCCTACGCAGACCTCGCTCTCACCTTGACCAAGAACAACCAAATCAGCAAGGAGTTCACGATACTGCTGGTGGTTCTCATCCTCGCGGTTACCGTATTCTTCTGCCACAGCCTCATTCGCCTCTGCATGCTCGTGGTCAAAGCGCGCAAGCGGGAGCAGGCGACGCAGCAAGGACGGCTCCCGGAGATGGTTGGCCCCGGAGGCTACGCTATTCCCCGCGAGCCCATCCCCGTGGTGCTAGCCCGGGACGAAGAGGTTGCGGGCATCGAAAGCGAAGCTACCAAGACCAAACCGCCCGCCTACGGCATGTGGCGTGAGAGTGTGGTATGTATGAGGCCCGGACGGCGCTACTGTCCATTTGCTAACCGGGACCTTGGCAGCGAGTTGATCCGGATCGCATGTTCTGGGCGCGCAACCACAATGCGGCAGTGGAAGAAGAGTCCGATGTCAGCAGCGCGAGTGGGCCAGGGAACACGATCAGCAGCAGCGGCCGCACGAACATACCGCGTCCGCCGTCATATTCGTCGGATGATGGGGTCAGCTACGTGGTAGACGCACGACCAAGGTCAATAGCGCCGAGGGGCCATGCTCCCCACCCCGGGAGCTCGCAACCTTCCGAGAACGGGAGATCGGAAGTATCGTCATCGTGGATTTGATGGCTTTGGGGTTGAGGCATCGGGAAGGTCCTGTGGCCGCGGGAGCCGGTCCGGAAGTGAGCGGATGTTGATGATGCCAACGGTCATATATAGGCGTAGCAGGCGTACGCCATATGAATGCGATCAGGAGACAACGAGTGCCTCGGCCTTGCTCATGCCGACTTGTCTATTGTTGACGCGAGAGAAGCTATGATACAGATGCCGCTCTCCTTGATAGGTCCACGTGTTGCAAAGGCCCTGCGGCCAATGCGGCGACCTCTAGCTTCGGATCAAGGAGTTGCGATGGTCCGTAGGAATAACCGAGTCTGGAGATGGATCCAGACCGAACCCGGTCGCCTGCTGTGGAATTGCTCCTGAATCTCTGGGCACCTCCGTTGCCCTTGGGTAAATTCATCAAGCGATGTCAAAGATGGGCGCAGCATGTAAGCATTGCTGCAAGCTGCAGCGCTGAGTGGCCGAGGGAACCAAGTTGGAACACTGAACACATTGTGGTGGTTGAGCAACGCCCCTGTACCCTGGGACTCTTCGCGGATGCGAGCTCCCCTGGACCAACCCGTTCTAGGCTTTCCGGTCCGCGGTGCCTCGTCTTGCCTGCCTGAAGAGGTTGGTTACAGTACCTATGTCCTTCGTACCGCGGTACGGGTTCTGCAGGATGCAGGATCGCATGCCCGTGGTTGGGTTGGATACCTGATAGGGAGGGGGAGGCACAGCAGACAGGGGTCTCTGCAGCGGGGTTCACAATCACAGCCAAGCAAGACAGCTTTCAAGTCCATGCTGCCTGACAGACAGCACTAGCACTGGCTGGCAGCCTGTTTGCCTCAGTCTGTGTGAGCTAGACTAGACTCTGCGATCGTTATACCAGAAATCCTACTCGAGATGTCTCTCGGTCGAGGGCATACTGTGTACACGACGGCATCTTCACTCGGAATCTAGTCTGTAATATCGCTCGTCTCCATGTCGTAGATCGTAGCGAGCAGCCCCGCCATGACTGGCTCCACAAGACAGCAACACGGCGGCAATTATTATTTGTTGGCGGGATCCGAGATCGAACAGATGCTGGGGATTTTTGGAACGCGCAGCTGGTTGAACGCAGGGCGAAAGCAACTTCTGAGACATGCAAGCCCTGACCGGCACAATACGTGCTTTGAGCTGACAAAAGAGAAGGGGTAAAAGCAACGTGGTTGGACGGATCGAGGGATGGAAACCTTCCTGCCCGCAGCAGCACGAGTCAGACGTGGGGCTAGTCACGAGCCAATGTCGCCAACCCCCTCCGTCCATCGCAAATTGGAGGTCGCGACTGTGCGTCCAGTTGGGGTGGTTCCTGGCCCACAGGAACCTGCCATCCACCAAGAAATTTTCCCCTAGCGTGCCCTGGGAGCTGAGAGACTGTTGCATCGGACCTGGATGTTGCTTGGCTGCTGGGTGAGGAGCTCGTGGCGCTAGGGGCCCAGGCGAGCGAGGACCGTCGAGTGTCCATGCGGAAAAGTGGAAGGCTGCGGTTCGGTGACGGTACCTTGCCGGTACTTCGCGATCCAAGACATCCCGGCACCAAGCGCTTCACCTCGGCACATTCTCCAAGCGGATGGCGCGCGGGGCGAGGGAGGGGGGCAAGTCACTCGTTCGTCACTTAATCCGCTTTTTTTAGCCTTTGCCTCTCAGAGCCGTGCCCAGCACGTTGCGCTATCCCTCCCTTCCCCGAGTGCCCGCTGCCCCCCCATTGTTCCCGCTGATTCCGCCGCTTCTCTCCCTCTTCCCACTTGCAAACTCAAATCACTTGTTCGGGTGCTGGCGAGGAAGTCGGAAACGAAGTTCGAAGTACGGTCGAGGCTGCGGTGTCGGTCGAAGAAGGCATCAACGTATCCCAGGAAAACTTGAGGATCCTGTTCCATTCTTGTTATCTTCTCTCCATTTTACCGAAGGTCAGTATCAGTCTTCTTTGCCACCACCAGCGTCAACTCCTGCTCCTTAAAGACACGTTTGCATGCGCGCATACGGGGGGCGGCGGTGGCCTTATATGCTCGCCCTCGCAGGATCGAGATCAAGGGTCCGATCTGTTGGGCCTTGGGAGGGATACCATGCGGCAGGACAGATGCGCGCATTTATCGGGTCCCGGGCCTTCGGTCACCATCAAGGTATCTCCCGCACCTTGATGGCTATTGCGAGGCAATCTCAAACCGTCTGTTTATCGGAACGTCATTTGCCCTCTGCAGAGCGCATGACGCAAACATGGTCGGGTCGCACAATACCGTGGCCGTGGAACCGGCCCTCCCTTGCGCCGCGATGAGGGGCTCCTCGATACCGAGCCTATCAGATCCTGTCGGCCATATATCCAAGCGAAAGCCCTCACAACCATGACTCTGATCCAATCTTCGAGGGACCTGTGCGCGCTTCCCAGAGTCGGATCGGGACCTCCCAGGCATTATGGCCGATACTCGGGTTCCGACAGCTCTCGCCGCTTGCAAACATGTCAACCAAGTTGCTGAAAGGAGACCGCGGTGGCCAGTCATGGCGGCGTGCTAATCCATTTGCAGACCCATCCCATCCACCATGTCGTCAGTCTCTCGCCGGGCGTGCTACAAGTGCGGTGAGCTTGGCCACCACGCCGAGGCCTGCTCCTCGCCCCACCGGCTTTGCTACAACTGTATGATCCATGAAGGTTCCCGTCAGATCCTCTTCGCGGCGCAGTGACTGACACACGAGGGATAGGCAAGCAGCCGAACCACGAGTCTAACGAGTGCCCGATGCCTCGCACTACCAAGGCCAAGCAATGCTACCACTGCCAGGGTCTCGGACACGTCCAGGCCGAATGCCCGACTCTCCGTCTGAGCGGTGCTGGCGCCGGCAACCGGTGCTACAACTGCGACTCGATTGGTCACCTGGCTGTAAGGCGTCCCTTCTCTGCTCCGGTGTGTGTGGTTGGCATGCTAACCCGGCACAGCGCAACTGCCCCAACCCCCCGGTCGTCGGGATGGGTCGCGGCGCCATGGCTGGCCGCGGCGGCTACGGACACCCCCGGGCTGCGTTTGCCGGCGGCCCTCGTCCGGCGACCTGCTATAAGTGCGGCGGGCCGAACCACTTCGCTCGTGACTGCCAGGCACAGGCGATGAAGTGCTATGCCTGCGGCAAGCTGGGCCACATCTCGCGCGACTGCACGGCTCCCAACGGCGGCCCCCTGAACACGGCGGGTAAGACGTGCTACGCCTGCGGCGAGGCCGGCCACATCTCCCGCGACTGCACGAGCCCTAAGAAGGACGTGACAAACGGCGAGGTGCATCCCGACGTCGACATGACCGGCGCGCAGGCCATTCCGCCCCCCGCCGCTCCGATCGCCGCGCCGGTGGCTTAGTTAGCGCCAAGGCCCTACGCATCAGGAGTCTACCCGGGTTGGAATCCCGTCTCTCCCGTAGCACGTTGGCCTCTGACCCATCCGCCATCTCCTTGATAATTATTTTTTTCCTTCTGCTCTGGAACACGGGCGAGGCATGACACGACATCAGGTTTTCCACGGCGTTTTCGGTTCCGGCTCGTTTCACGATTGGGCTCGCGTTTCTCTGGTCTGGACAACACGATGAAATGGAAAAAGGACCTCATGTCTCTCTCGCCTCGGCAAGCATTTTTTGTTCGAAGACATTGCATATTCGCCTCTAGCTGGGCTACAACTAGACGCGTTTGTTTGGTTGCATCTCGGAAACCTCTTCTTCCCTTTCCCCATCGCTTGTTCTTTTTCTTTTCTTGTGCATTTTCCTTTCTCATTCATTGCCTCCCAACCTAGACGCTATTTGGAAACAGGCACATTCTGAGATACCCCCCTTTGGTTCGGAAACACGTTTCGGGAATGGTTGTCGAGGCCCCTGCGGGGTGCGCTCTCTCTCGGGCACCGGAAGCCCGGCGGGGTCTGTGTGGACGCAACGCCAGGCGGCAAGGGCAACAAGAGGCCAGATCGGAAGGGGCAAGATCTTAAGTTCGGAAGGGTGCGGTGAAGTGAAAGAATACCTCAAGCTGGTGGGCCATGCTATGGTCGGTACGGGGCGATGTATGTGAAGGGAAAATACATCACTCTTCAGACGCGGCGATTAGCTGGTGCAATGCACATTGTGTGAAGTTGCGAATCTTGTCTGCTTCGTGGTAGAAACTGTTGCCCCCAACCTGCCCACATCGCTGAACTGTAGAGCCCCTGCGGATTAATCGATACTTGTAAAACCGCTACAGCGTAGACCGACCCGCCATCATTACTTAGTACCCAATGCTTCCCACTCTCTTCTCTCCTTTTCCCAACCTCAGATCATCCAGCGCAGCAGGAATCACTCTCCACATCCCCTCGACCTCCCCCCGGGACAGGGCCATCACGCCTTCGGCGCCACCCAGACATCACACGGCACCCTGGACCATCCCTCGGGGAGGCTGCCACCCAATCTATCCAGCGTCCCTTTCACCAAAGCCTCCGCTTCCACTTCTTCATGTTCCGCCTGCACCTTCTGCTGCTGCTTCTCCTTATTCCTCTTGTTCTTCTTATTCTTCTTCTTCGCTTTAGGCGATCCACCACCACCACCAGCACCACTACCACCACTACCACCGTTCCCCTCCATGTCGCGGCCGAGCATGACATTGCAGCACAGAACCTCCAAGCCGACAAAGACCCCGAGGCAATGAATCAGCCCTGCCACCTTCCCGGCATGCGGCGAGTCGGCGCCGCCCGGCAGGACAAGGTTGGCGAGCAGCCGGGCCGGGAACGCGAGCAGACACAACTGGATTAGGAAGAGGCCGGCGTGGGCGGCCATCGTCATGGTGGTAATCCAATCAAGTCGCGGCGGTGGTATGTCGGGTGCGTTCTTGTTGTTATTATTGTTGTTGTTATTATTATTATTCTTGCTGTGGTGGTGGTGGTGGTGGTTGTCATTGTTGTTATTGTTATTATTGCTGTGCAGCAAGCGGAAAAGGAGGGGGAGGAGGTGATGGTGGTGATGGAGGTAGTGGTAGTACTCGCGCGGACCGCAAGTGGCGAACCACACTGCATCTTGGAGGATCACGAAGACGGTGCCCGCGAGCAGGATGCCTTCGATCCCTGCCTCGGTCCAGAAAGATGGGTAGAGGAGGGCGGTGGCGGGCAGAATGGTGATTGCACTGTGGTCGAATAAACTGCTCACGGACTAGGCGAGCACTGAGAGCGAGATGTGGCGCCAGCGCGCGAGGTGCTCAAGCGGGTTTGTGAGCGTGTGGAAAGGCATCATCTTCTGGAAGAGTAAGGTGTGATGGTGGAACGGAGGCATGGTCAGAGAGCGATGCGTCCTGAGGCTGGGTGGAGGGGGAAGTTGGCTTGGACTACTACTGCTGCATCGCATAGTGCGTTCACCGTCCAGCGTAGTCGTTGTATAAACAAAGTATCTATTGACTTTCCCGTCTGGGATGGTAAAGTAGAGGAGGGAAGGTGTGACGAATTTGAAAGCTGCGCTCTCGCATAAAGTATGCTGTAGTATCGGAAGGTGCAATTCGTTCGATGAAGGGGCTCGCAGTTCCGCAGAAGCAAATTTGTGTTATGGGCAACCAGAAGTTTAAATCGAAACGCTGAGTTTTCAAAGGCCGTCTCGAATGTGTAAGGTACTCGGACCGGAAACCAAGGTATCTAGGCAGATGACGCTGGCTACGAGGAGGTTTCAATATATATTGATAGCATTGTTTCGGAACAGCACTGGGACCATCCGACTAAGTTACTACCTCTGTAGGTGGTCTCAACCGTTCGATCGCAAGTGATCCGGATGTAGTAGATTCTCTGGCATATAATGAGGAAATTCTCCGTCAAACTTTCCCGATCCCGGGGTACCTGCCCACGTGCTGCCTTCCACCTGCTGGTGTTTATCAGACGAAACCGACTCGCCGACCATTAACCATGAAGGCGACTCGAACTACTTGCCATGTTTCGGCTTCGGAGTTTCACTAACTGGGGGAGGTTCAGATTCTAGACGGAGGCCAAGTCTGGGCTGCTGGAACGCATGAGCTACAGTTCCACGCGTCAATGCGGTTCATAGTAGTCGTTCTAGCCGTGCGTATAACCCATGAAGATACACTTATTATAATTACTGCTAAGTTAGAGGCATCAGGGAACTTGGCCAACGTTACCTGGAGCCTGGAGGAGCTCCACGCGGCCCCGGCCTCACATGCAGCTCCCCGCATGACCAGCTCTTGCCTGTCCAACCCCGCGTGGGCAGCTCCAGAAAATGGCAACTGCATTCGATCAACACGCAGGATTCATTTGGCTTGGTTACACTCGCAGATCGTCACCCAGGTAAACAAAATGACGATGCCCGTGTCTCTGCCGATCCTTGTGCTGGCAGGGTTGCCAGATGACATATATCATGATACCTGCATCGTGGTCAATCGAGCCTGTACTGAACTGGACTTTTCGCTGCGAAACCACTCGTGATTGATCTCATCACTGCAGTTTGAGAGAGGACATCAACTCAGCTTGTCGTCTAAGGGACGGCGCCGTCTGAATTCCCGGGACCGAATCAATTCATCGACATCAATCACAAATTCACCATGAAGAGAGACCACATCCGCCAATTCTTCCTGACAGGCCTGCTGGCCGACATGGCCAGCTCGCAGTCCTGTCCGGACTACTCGTCCTACTCGAAAGCCCGCCACGAGCCGTTCTCGACCGGCCGATACGCCCTCTCGTACCAGCGGCCGGATCCCGGCTGCCGCACCTTCAACTCGTCCACGGTCGAGACGCTGCTCGGCAACATGACGGACGCCATCGCGGACCCGGATCTGTACCGGCTCTTCCAGAACGCCTTCCCCAACACGCTGGACACGGCCATCCGCTGGCGCGGGCACGCAGCCAACAACTCGGCCGAGGAGCTCGCCTTCATCATCACGGGCGACATCGACGCCATGTGGCTGCGCGACTCGGCCAACCAGCTGCAGTCGTACGTGTCCTTGCTGGAGCCCGACCCGAAGCAGGCCGCCAAGCCGGACTCCATGGCCTCACTCTACCGCGGCGTCATCAACCTCCAGGCGCGCTACCTCCTGACGGCGCCCTTCTGCAACTCCTTCCAGCCGCCTCCGGAAAGCGGCATCCCGCCCGCCACCAACCCGGCCGCCTCCTCGGACCGCGTCTTCCCGCCTTACTCCCCGGAGCAGGTATTCGAATGCAAATACGAGCTGGACTCGCTCGCCGCCTTCCTGCAGCTCTCCACGTCCTACTACGAATCCACCCACGACCTCTCCTTCTTCTCCTCCTTCCAGTGGCTACCCGCCATCCAGTCAGTCCTCTCCACCGCGAAATCCATGACAGCAGGGACCTACGCCAGCAACAACACCGGCACCGTCCTACCCTCGCCGTACACCTTCACCCGCCAGTCCGCGCGCTCGACCGAGACGCTGGCCAACGACGGACTGGGCAGCCCCGTGCGCGCCGTCGGCCTGGTGCGGAGCGCGTTCCGCCCCTCGGACGACTCGACTTTCTTTCCGTTCCTGATCCCCGCCAACATGATGTTTGTGCGCTACCTGGCCGGCGCGGCGCTCATCGTGCAGGAGCTCGGGGACGACAGAGCGCCGCCCGGGTTGGCCGAGGAGATGGTGGCGTTTGAGCGCAGCGTGAGGGAGGCGATTGAGAAGTTCGGGGTTGTGCCCGTCCTGTCGATCGACGATTACGAGTCATCGTCGTCATCGGATGGCAATGGGACTACGACTACTGCGACGGTCGAGACGGTGTATGCGTACGAGGTGGACGGGTTCGGGTCGGCCGCGGTCATGGACGACGCGAATGTGCCCAGCCTGCTGGCGGCGCCGCTGTTTGGGTATTTGGGCAGTGCAAACGAGGTGTACCAGCGCACGAGGCGGCGGATCCTGAGTGGCGCGGGGAATCCGTACTTCATGCAGGGGTCGGTGATCAGCAGCGTTGGGGGCCCGCATGCCGGGCCGGGCATGGCGTGGCCGATGGCGAGCATCGTGCGGATCCTGACGTCGGATGATGACGACGAGATTGCGAGCGTGCTGAAGGAGATCCTGGGTTCCACGGATGGGCTGGGGTTGATCCACGAGAGCGTCAACTCGAATGATGCGAGTCGATGGACGCGGCAGTGGTGAGTTGTCCTTGGCTTCCATACACTGGAATAATTCACAGCGACGGTGAAGACTGACTTCGTTCTATGACAGGTTCTCGTGGGCCAACGGACTGTTTGGCGAGATGATCCTCGACTTGCGCCTGCGGAAGCCGCATCTTCTCCAGCGAAGCTACCAATGATGTCGTTCGCAGTACAGCTATAGACATAGTGACCTTAGCAATCGAGTCATCGCCACAGAGGCGCGGATTTAGACCTGTGCGTGACACGCCTCAATTTGGCGGCGCTGCGGTTTGGATTCCAGTGTTCTGTCTAGTACTGTCTAAGCCATTCTACCGTCTAGTGGGATGATCACCCTGGTAAGGTAGGAAGGAATGCCCCTTGTGTCCAGTTCTATCATCCAGTTATCCAGTTTATTCCCAGCTGTTCCTGTTTTTAAGTCCAACTAGTAGTGGAAGACCGGCGGCGTGTTTCGTGGCTTCCCCCCCATGCGCCGGCGTAAGAAGTGTTCCATGTCCCTAAGCAGGAAAAAAAGAATGCCCGCTAACACAGCTCGCCATGAGCTAGAAGAAACCAAAAAGAAAGCCATGTAGAAACGAAAGCGGAAAAGCCAAAGGGAATACGCAGTGGTATCAATAACGGTGGTCGTTCGAAACAAAGTCGTCATGGGGAAAAAAGTGCATCGTCAATCGCTCCTCGTCGTCTTCTCAGATGGGACAGACAACCCCGCCCCCAAAAAGAGGCCCCTCCCCACCCAAGCCACTCTTCACCCCCCTGGGTTAACAAGTTATTGGATCAGGCGTACAGCATCGGATCCTCCCTGACCTCGAAGTCGGGCGTCCTCCCCTCGCGGACAGCCTTCAGCGCGGCGTCGTCCAGCGGCAGCATGCGGCCGCCGCCCTTGGACCGCGAGCCGAGCTTGGCCATCTCGCGGCGCATGCCGTGCTTGACGGCGTCCAGCACGGTGTCGACCAGCTTGCGCGGCTTGTACGCGGGCTCAGTGCCGGCCTGGTAGACGCCCGTCTTGACGAGGATGCTGTACCACTCGTTGCGCGCCGTCTCGTTCATGGCGTTGGTGCCCTTGATGTCGGATTCGGGCGTGTCGCCGACAAAGTACACGGTGGCCGGCGGCTCGCTCTCGGCCAGGCCGTGCTGCGTGGCGCGCCACTGCTGCAGCAGCCGCGTGGCGAACTCGAAGGTCGACACCTGCGGCTTGCCGAAGGCGTGCGTGCGCAGCTTCTTGCCGCCCGTCGTGTCCTCGAAGACGGTTTCGACGATGCGCCGCAGCGCGCCCATGCCCAGCCGCGCGTGCTCGTGCGCCGCTGACCACAGAACGTCGTTGTGGCTGAAGTAGATGGGCGGGCCCTCGTCGAAGGTGGCCGACCGCGTCTCGAGCCGGCCGCCCTGCGACTGCGCCACGTCCAGGATGATCTGCAGGTCCGACGCCCAGTCGCGGCTGTCGGCGAAGACGAAGACGGCCTCGATCACGATGTCGCTGAGCCTGCCGCCGGCGGTCCGCGCCCGCAGGTCGCGCGAGTTGGCGTACTCGGTCTCGGTGAGCTTGCGGAACGGCGCCGTGGCCGCGTTGGCCTTGAGGATGTCGCCCGGCGTGATGACGTCGCGGAAGCCGTACGACTCGGCCACCTCGCGGCACTTCTCGCCCTCGCCGCCCACGACGAGCACCGTGTTGTACCGGTCGGCGAACTCCCGCATCGGCGTGTGCCCGCAGATGAACTGGCCGGGAGACACGTCGATCTCCAGCTGCTTGGAGAGGTCGCGGCAGCGCTCGGTTTCGAACTTGCCGCCGCCGTTGGTGAGGAAGATGTAGGGGCTGGTTGCAAGCAGGTCAGTTCTGTGTCTCAACCCTGGGTAACCGGGCCACGGGTGGTTTTGTTTTTGTTGACTTACACCTTGATGCCCCACTCGTTCTCCCCGTTGAGCATCCTCATCGCCTCGACGGCTTCGGGAATCGGGCGCCCGCCGCGGATGAGTACGCCGTCAATGTCAAAGGCAAAGGCGAAGTTGTCTGCCACAGACGGGTCGGCACCGGGGGTCACCGGCGTAAGGGGGGTCACCGGGCCCAGCAGATCCTCGGTGTCGCCCGGAGAGCAGGGAGCGCTCTCGTCGGTAACAGAGCTCGACGACGACAGCGCCGGTGACAGAGTCCCGTCCTCACCGGGCGACTGCACGCCGAGCTCGTCGAGCCTCCTCCGCGCATCGTCGAAGGCTTCGGCAAAGCTGCTGCTCGACGCCTGCCGGGGGCACATGGCCGGCCTCTGGGGGACAGAGAGAGAAGACATGGTGGAAACGGTGGATTCAGACTAATAAAGGAATGACTGGCCTGGTTGCTGGAACGACAAAAAAGCGCAGGCGTGATGTAGTGATTCCACCTAGTAGTTGTACATCAGACTCGGGGAGAACTGATGTGTGTGATGCCGGCTGGGGAGCGCTGTTCCGAAGATGGCAGACAGAACTGGACCGCCCGGGGACCAGTCCCTTTTATAGATAGAAGCCATCTATAAGACGCCCGACCGATATCAGTTGCGCAACACTTGGTGGTGGGCCGCTGTCTGTAGTGTAAGTGAGAAGGCATCAGCACGGACCGAGCAAGGGTCCTCGACTCCTGGGGTATTTGTGGGCTGGTGGATCATTGGGAGGCGCAAGGCGAGGGTACCACGCCCGCCTGGGTTTCGGGTTTACCATTCACAAGGGTAGTGTTTAGGTAAGAACCTGAAAGGGATGGTTCGTGCGAGCATCAGATCGAATGAAGAGGATCAGCGACGCCAATCCGCGAGAGGTTTCTGCAAGCCCAACCACAACATCGACTTGCCTTCCAGTCTCCACCGCAAACAGGTCTCATTCTGACGAGCTGGTGTCTCGTTGCTCCATCGGATACCCACCACCTCTTTGGGACCGTTGATACACAGTACTTCGTACTTTGGTCCAGGGGTCCAAGGCAATACTGCATGCGGGCAGTATAAGGCAGGCTGCCGATGGGACCCAATAAGGCGAGGCCAAGACGGGTAACGCGGCGAGGGAGGTCGATACAGGACAGATTAGCCCCCGCTGACTATGACGGGAAGGGCATGGTGAGATCTGACGAAACGACCCTTGACTGTGCTCCTACACTTGTGCGAAAGGCTGAGGGGTAACCGGAAAGTGAGGGGCAGCGGTCGTCTCCGTCGAACGTGGCCGCAGTCGCGTTGTTTGTCCACTGCATGTGTCAACAACCTGAAACCGATCAGGTTCATATTTCCATGGGTTCTGCCAGGGACAAGATCTCAAACCGCAAGGCTTCTTTCCTGCAAATTGGCGATCGACGCTGTCGATTGTTGCTCGTTCGCGGTTCCCTACATACTTCAGGCGTAACCGTGTGAGACAGCCGGAAAACGCGGCGGCGGGGGCGACCGCCAAGTCGCCGGTCGGATGCAGTGCCGATCCGATGACGTCAAGGCACCTCCCGTCCCTGGGCGAGTATTCGGCCGTAGTGGGTCCCGGTTTGTCCGATGGCCCACAGCTCTCCGGCCAACAAGGAGCGCCGAACACTGCGAACAGCGCCTTCCGACGACCCTTGGCCCGTGACATTCCGTACTCGGCCCGCGCCCCTGTTGCGTCTTGGGAAATCTCGTCCTATCTGCGAAGCCAGCCTGAACCGCTTGCAGGGGCTAAACGCCGCTATTGGACTGTTGCTGTCGAATCTCACAATTTCGATGAGACCTCATCCTTTACACAGTACATCCATGTCAGTTCATCAACTGTGCCGGTGGCTGCCGCGAATCCCTCTCCACTCATGACATGTGAAGGAGCGGAGTGGTCTGAGGCCTCCAGCTTAGCGGCATTTTGGTCCCTCGATAATCCTGTGCGGGAACGTTATCTGTCGATCAATGCTCTGTAATGCGGTTCCGAGTTATTCGAAGAACAGTGGGTGAAACGCTCCCTTCTCGGAGTGGAACAGAAAGACGCCGTCGAGTCTGTCGGACCAAGGCAGCCCTGCAGTGAGCGCCGGTCCGAGAGATATTCACCGTCATCACACAGTGAGGCTCTGGTGCAAGCCAGGCATCGGTCACTGTTTGGAGCCAGCACACCACGCGGTAGCCGTGCCTGTAGTCCAGCATATCACCATCCGCTCATCCCGACTTCCGCTCGACGCGATGTCGCGCCAGGATTAACTGATTGCTGCTTGGGTTCTTTCCAAAGTCTCCACGAGATTGCTCCAGCAAAAGTTCCCGGCAAAGCAAAGCCGTGGAACTCAGGTTGTTTTTCTCCATGCTCTCCAAACGCGGCTCTCCACCGTCGAAGCTGATCTCTACTGCGTGTGTGCTTAGGTCCTTTTCTGAGCTTCCACTTCCCCAGCCTCCAGTTCCCCAGTTTCCCCAGCTTCCCCAGGTGTTGTTCGTCTTCCCCAGACAAAAGCTGTGGAATTGCGATCTGTAACTCCTCGTGGCATATCCGTTGATGGAACTCATGATGGGTGAGCGATATGACAACGAGTCAATCACACCTCGACATCCAGGGTCCTGGCCCCTGCAGCCCAGTGCTGCACATCACAGGATAGCCAAGCTCGAGCCAAGCCACGGACCCTCGACGTCGACACAAAATCAGGGTTTTCAACGGAGGGTCGATAGTGGATCCATCTTTCCTCCTCTATCCGTACAGTACGGAATACGCATCCTCGAGGTACCGTATCCGACGTGTACAGATAACGATAACGCCAGCACGCAGGAGAGAGGCAGGCAATCACTGCGCCCGCTCCCTTCTGCCGATCGTAAAGTTTCCCCAGGGGGAAGTGGCAACCCAGCCGGCGTCCTCGACCGCCGCCTGCCGCTTCTCCCGGTCGGCCAGCGCCTCCTCGGCGCTCATGTCCCAGAAGGTGGGCACCTCGGCTCGGTCGACGCGCAGCCAGCCCTTCCAGTCGGCCGTCACGGCGACCTGGGCAGCCGCCGCGGCCGAGACACCTCCCGCGGGGTTCAACCCGCCGCCGATGACCACCGTGCCCCACCATTCCCGGTCGTGGCTGCGGTGGTTTCCGTAGAGCATGTATTCCTTGATGGAGGCGACGCACCTAGCGGCGTCGCTCGCGCCGCATCGGCGAGCACGGATTATGTGGACATGCTCAAGATCGGCTCGCTGGACCGTCGGGCGGCGTGGTGCTGCATCGCCGGTTTCGTGGCTTGTATTTGCATTACCTAGCGGATTTGTTGCGAGCAGCCGCAAGGGCTCGAAACGCCCCGTGAAATCGACAATTGCTACAGCTTTGTTGTGCGGTGCACTGATCAGGGTGGCGACCAGGACGTAGAGCAACTCGCGATGGCGGCCCGTAACAGCCAGCGGGGCTGACTGTGTCGCTCGGAAATGACGGTTGACGAGTTCATTGAGGACATCAATTGGAAACACCTTGAGTTGAATGCTTGTCGTCGGCGCAGGGCCAGCATTGCTGTCGTCGTTGTCGTTGTTGGTTGATGCTGCGAAGCTTGTTCGTGCGGAAGCGAGCACCTGAAGCGGGAGGACCAACTTAGTAATTGTTGTCGCCCGTGGCTTGAACCATGCACCTCCGGAGTCCAAAACATCCGAATCACCCATTTTGAGCTTAAAAGACAACCACGTACCTCGTCCAGAGTCGTCTCCTCAATCTCACCGAGCACCCGGGACCCGAGGCTCGCGGCCGTCGCGCTTCGTACCGTTTGCATCGTCGCGGGGTGAGGTGCCGCCGAAAGGTTCGACCTCGAGACTCAATGGCACCGGCCTGCCCGGCTTTCCCGGCGCAAAAATTGCCCGCCCTGGTGCAAGTCGGCCCAGATGGCAAAGTCCGGAAGACGGAAGACGGCCACCGAATCGACTTGTTGAGGGATTGCGAACTATTTGGTCTACTGCAGTATGAGTGCGTCGTGCCGCGTCCGGAGTTGGCCGGCAGCCCGGTGCAGTGCTGGCCCGTCCAGCGGTGGTTCCGCAGGTACGTTTGCAAGCTCCTACTCCATTTTTGACGCTGCCGAGAGCGGCGCACGCATATGCCAGCGTAGATCGAGATGCATCGGATTGTTGGGCAAGTGTGCTGATGCAGCGGGTTTAGATGCCAGGACAAAAAAGGCAGCTTCACGGCGGAGACAACCACGTGGGAAGGAACAGCTCTGGCCACCACACCAGATTTGAGCACGACCGAAGGGCATGGCAGAGAGCACTCAGACGCCGAATCACATAGTGCGGCAAAGAATGCTAAATCCGTCTAAATTTTCATCCCGGAACGACGCTGCGCTTCCCCCCATGTCGAGCATGACCCAAGAAAACGGGCATGGTTCTGTCCACTGACTGAATTGCCGGCCTTGTCTATCCATATGATACACAACCGACCCCCCTAGCGGTCTCGCGGCCCTTTCATCCCTCGGTCATATGTACACCGGCATTTGCTCAGTCATCCCACTCGCAGTGCCTTCTTATGCCCCTTGCCTGGCGGCGCGCGTCTCCTCCAGCTTCCGGTAGTAGTTGTCGCGGGCAACAGTCCGAGGGACGTGGTAACCGTACCTAGTTGAATCGTCAGGAAACCCAAATCTGTCGAGGGCGGCTCGAGTTCATCGGCGGTCGTACCAGAAGCCGTTGGCCATGACGAATCCGATTGCTGGAGCAGCGGTTAGTGTCCTACTCTGCTGACGGCGGTTCCACGGAAAGAGCTCACAGAAGGCAATGCCGAGATCAGTGATCAGTGCCCGGCGGAGCATCTACCGACGGTCAGCTCTTGCTCGCACAACCTTCCTTGATCAGGCGGGGCAGCGGGAATTGGCGGCCATGGAGGCAATCAATCCCTGGGAACGTCACGTACGCCGGTGATGGGCCGAATCGCCATTGTATCGGTGTTTGTTTGGTGGTGAGCGTGAGCGGAGAGGTTTCGCGGCCGGTCGGCAATCGTACGGTGCGTGGTTTGACGATATCGTCAATTGAAGCTTCCCGGAATGGGCTGATGTTGGAGCTTAGGTGCACGTGACCAGGCGGTTTCTCCCGGCCGTTTTGTGGCTTATGTAATCGCGTCTAGTTCAAAAACGCTGGAATCACTGTTCGGTCAACGGTGCCGCCCCAAGCCATGACGGCAACGCCTGAGCTGCGGTTTAAAAATTGCAACAGATAGCAAGAAGGGATATGTACAAAGGAGGGGCGACATCGGCACGACATGAGAACATCGACCGAGTCGTGGAAGCGGCCCCGAAATGCGCGTCTCCTGACGGAACCTGACGCCAAAACACCAGAACGGCAAGGAGCCCTTCGGAGCCCAGCAAACGCCTGCTAATAGCGGCTTGACCAGATCACTTCCGAGAGTGAGGGTGCCCGAAAAAGGTCAGAATTCACGTCCGGACCCCGTAACAGAGCAAATCCCAAGAAACATGCCACCCGGCCGAACAACCATTTCATCAGCTGGAACATCTCCCATCTCGCCTTGAGTACATCATCTCGTCCCCTAGACCATCTGGCGTGGCTGCGTGTGCGGCAGCATATCCTCGTACCGGCGGCTCTTCATTTCCAACTCCCCCGATCCCATATCGTACTCCGAGTTGTTGTTGTGCGTATACGCATGCTCATCGCTCGGCATCGGGTGAGAGATGTTAAACCGGTCAAGCTTCGTCGCCGCGGCCCGTTCGGCCCGGCGCTTGCGCAGGAAAATACAGGCGGCCACCGAAAGAAGCGCAATCACGGCCGCGCCGATACCAACGCCGATGCCGATCTTAGCGGCCTCCGTGAGTCCGGAAGAGCCCGAATCGCCCGACTTCTCGGCGTCGGACACTGTGCCTGCTGCAGAAGCCGATGATGTAATGCTGGTGGTTGCCTTGGTCGGTACAGTTGCTGAAGTCGATGCCGTCGACGTTATGGTAGATGTATCGAGCTGTCCCACTTGTCAGCACGAACCTCGGTTCCCAGCTGCGGGCCGACACATACGGTCGTGCTTGCTGAACTTGATGCAGTGGTCGTGGACGACACTTGCGATGAAGAGGACGAGGCCGAGGTCGGTGCATCGGTTGAGGTCGGCGCCTCGGTCGTTGTAGGAGCCGCCGGAGATGTCGACTGTGAGGTGGTAACCGCATCCCCAGCGGTAACAGCTGGCGCCTCGTTAGCTGCTGCGCGCCAACTTAGGCCATCAATCTGTGCTGTGCTGAGGAACCACTTACGTGCGCAAACAGCGTTTGCTGCGCTGACGACAGTTGGGGCATATCCAGGTGGGCAAGCACCCACTGCACAGTCACGGATATTGAAGAACCAATTCTGAGCCCGGCATAGGCAGTTCATATCGTCTGCTGCGCAGTTGAACGTCCCCGCCATGTTCATCGCATTGGTGTAACATTGTCTCTGTCCGAGCGTCAGTCATTCCGGATAACGACAGGCGCCTTGAAGACATGGGCTGAGGCAATTCTGGTATGTGTTCTGTCCACAGCCTTCAAAAGACAATGCGCCTAACCCGAGGGTGGACTTACACCGCAAGGATCCAAACTGTCAACGGCCTGCGCACTGGCAAGGGCTGTCAGCGCCAGCAGTGTGAAGGACTGGATCCCGAGCATAGCGTCTACTTGCGCTGCCACGAGATACAATGTAAAGAAAGGGCGGGCTTTGTATCGAGTAAGGAAAATAGGACACCCGGGTACGATGCTTTTGCAGAATGATGTCGGTGGAAATGGCCGCTTGAGTGTATCTCTTCTAACGATTGGTACTGGAATGAGAAGTGATTGCCGACTACGAAATCGGTCCGAGGAGTGGTGCTTGAGCGTGAACTTGAAGCGAAGGGAGCTGCGAGGAAGGAGTGATCGCGCTCATACGAATCGAAGGGGTTACGTGTGGTGGGAATGAACGTGATGGATTGCAGTCAGGAACGAAGTGAAGCGCAAAAGGCTGGCAACCCAGCAGAAAGAGTGTATACCGAAGGGAAGGAGATCACGACGCCGTGAGGAGAAAGTGGTGAGGTTGCCGATTGCCACTTCCCACAGTTGGAAGTTGTGGGCTTAACACCAACTGACGGGAAAGAGCGTCCCATGTTCTGCCAATCAATCCGGGGAAAGAGCAGCTCAGGGCTCCATGCATGGACCCGTCAAGCCAAAAGTCCCATGCACCCCTGGGACCCTGTGGAGATGCCAGGGCATACGTGGTTTCGCGATTGGGAAAGTCAGCCACAGCTGCAGCCACACACCAAAGTGAATCCATTCCTATCACGTCGTGAGCCTCTTTAAACCCTATTGTCCTCGGCAAAGTAATTCTATGGCGATGATTCGATCTTGTTGGGTTTGTTGTAGAGGTATAAAGAGCACGGCTAGTTTGTGTCCGGTCTTACATCGAGATAGTCCCGATATAGAATTGCGGGATGAGATGATGCCGCATATGCAGGTCAATTTACCTGCAGCACGGTGGTTCGCTTCCAGGCCGACGGCACGCCCGCCGTCTCGGGACTCCAGTTAGTTGTGAAGCGCAAGTGGGATGAAGCCTTCCTCATCCATAGATACTTGCGGTTGATGAAGCTATGGCACATGAACGCTCCTTCGAGTTCTTATTCCTGGATTCATCAAAGATCCTCGCAGGGTCCAACAGTGGCCCCACAAATGGGACGGGAGTTTAGTACGACCAGGGGTTAGCGAGTGATGACGGACGTCTTCTGGTTCTGTCGCACTGCTGAGGAGTGTGAAGTCGAAATCAGATATGAAGGCTGGAGTGTCTCTGCATCCCAGTAAGCTTTGCAAGCCGCCCAGGTACCTAGGTATTACATTATACCATGGCCCCCGATGCGCTCTCAGCGCTCCGAGTTAGCTTGGCCCGACTTCAACTCTCATCAGCCAAGCCCGCCCCGCAGTCCAGCGGTTTCAGATTTGGATTGGTGGAGCGGGTGGCTCCTGTTCCTGATTTCTGCCTCGGGCTTGGCATGGATTCAAATGAAGGAGGGAAGTTTACGGAAGCACGGATTACACTCGTGTATATGAGAACCTAGGGATACGTGAAGGGGCCCCGGAAGTCTATCGTAATTTATATCTTCCGCTCCAGGAGTTTCGTGGCGTCATTGTTTCGCTGCGAGATCAAGCGAAGAGGCCAGGAATCATCATACATGACCAAAGCCGATGACTACTGTGTATGGCACTATGCGCAACAACGCGGCGGCTCGCCTGGTCCATACTCCATTCTTCTGAGACAAGATCACAAGTCTCAACAAGAGAGCAACCGCATATACTGCAGCCTGAGCAGCTCCGGTAGGACAAGTTAGTTGACCCTGCATTTGTGCAGATCACCCTTGGTTTCACAAGCGCTTGTTGGGCCTTGTAGCAAAGGCACTGATTAGCGCTCGAGGCGCCGACAGCAGCGGCAACACAACAGCCGTCATCAAGGGACCATCGATGCAAGTCACTCCTCTCTGTCTGGCGTTGATGAGTTACAGACCTCTCGAACTGTGTCCGCTGCGCATCATGACCGTTCCCGTAGGCCCCGCCATTTGCTGGAACGTGAGCGAGATTGCTTTCAATGCGCTCGCTCCGAATCATGCCACAGGTTGGAAACACCTCCCAGAGGCTCCCACCCTGCGGCTGCAGCTCTGTAGGCTTTGTATTCGATCGGATAATGACATCATGGTGCTACCACTTCAAGGACCGGAGGTTGATTCTTTGGTTGTGGCGACATTGGAGGCGAGCAGATATCAGCTTGAGGAACCGACCTTGTTGGGGTCGAGTACGAACGGATGAATGGAGAGGATGACGCAGATTTCAACAATGAAGAACGGTCATCGGGTCGGAGACTTCGTCGCATACGTTGAAATGCCACGACTGCTGAGCTGCTGGGTTAGTAGTTGAAGTGTTCCAGGGGTCGTGGCCTGCCCACATTGGCGTGGATGAGGGACGACAGAGGCCTGAAAGGGCTAACAGCAGCGATTTTGGCCCGTTACAGACCTGTCTATGGTAGCCTCACAAGTCTATCAGTAAAGACAACAAGAGCAGACAGAAGCAGAAGAGTAACAGCAAGTATTGTCCATTGACCACGGAGACTGCAAACCTCAGTCTGCTAGCAGACGTCACAGCGAACAGTCACATTGATACTGCGTTCTCCGATGGGAACCAATGTACCAGGACTACAGCGCGATCTGTTCCAGTACCCGGTATTATCCTCGACGGTGTTTGCTTTATTCTGGGCCGTCCTATTCAAACCCCTATTAGGCAACTCAGGAGCCATTGTCTATTTATACGTCCACGTTGACAAAAGGGACAGTTGCATTCAAAGCAAACTCATCATTGAGCTGGAGACGTACCTTTGCAACATGGGCATTTATTCTTGTACATTGGGGTCCGTAGATAGGTGAGTTATACATATAAGGTTTTGAATAGGCGGGTCAGCCCGTTCAGGTACAAACATGGTCCTGACCTTGGCTACATGAACAGCAAGATAGTTGAATGGGGCCCGTGGCTTTGACATCGTCGTTGTTCTGCATAAATACGGTTGCAGGCATCGCCTTGTCTGCTCCGTTCTCTAGACACATCGACACATCTATCAAACACCGGCGTTACCTCAACTGAGCCACCACCTCAACGTTCTTCGCCCGACTCAACGCCCTCAGCTATCATGAAAGCAAAATCCTTTGCTGCTACTTTCTTCTTCTCTATGGGCGTATGTCTCCAATTACCCGGGACACCCCCTCTTCGCCTGCCCCTAGGTAGAAACCTCGTGAACAACAACTGAGTAAGCTAACCCACGTTCATCTTCTAGGCCATCGCCGCCGCCCTGCCCGACCCCATGCAAGGATACAGCATCACGGCCATGGCATGGGAGGTGCCCCTGTTCCCCGGCAGCGACGAGAGGCTCGTCTTCAACGGCACGGTCGAGGACGTGCACACGGAAGTGCTGAAGCACAACCGCAACTGGGACGCCGACTTCCTCGCCCGCTGCACCTCCCCCGCTCCCGCTGGTGCTGGTGCTGGTGCTGGTGCTGGTGCTGGCGGCAGCGTTGTCGACAAGAGGGAGACCGACTTCGGCGGAGGCGCCTATTTCTGCGGCGCGCGCTGGCCGTACGCCAACCACTGGCGCGTCATGCAGGGCGTCGACTACCTGAGCCACATCCCCGGCAAGGTCCAGCTCGCCGCGGGGCCGGGCGCGTGCTCCCGTGTGAGCTGCTCCTATCGTGCGGCGATCTATGTCTGCAATGATGTAAGTTTCATCCCTTGTCCCTTGTCGCTTGTCCCTTGTTCCCGGATCTTGGAGTTCCCGGAACAGTGATTTACTAACCATGGCGGTGTTCGAAAAAAAAACTAGAACAACCGCGACATCGAGCTTGACTCGTTCATTCGGATCGCCGACGGCGCCCGCTACATTGCGGGCTGGTGCGTCCAGCAGCCTGGGCCGACCGTTGCTGGACAGCTGTTCCACCCCGACAACTGGAACGTCATCGTCCGGGAGGACGACTGCTAGACGTCCTACGGGGGGATTCTCTTGGAAAGTGAGAGTTGGATGATGGAGAGTAGAAGTACCGATTTCATTCTAGTTCTTTGTATGTACTAGTATGTTATAGCCTTTTCTTTGTTTTTGGTTAACTTACGCCAGTAGTGAAGTCAGCAGACGTCGACGGTGGCAAGCCCTTACCTCGTGATATCGTTATGCTTAGCGTCTTTTTTTTTCTCTTTCTTTTCTTCTTTCTTTTTTTCTTTTTTTCCCTCTTAAAGGAAGGCTGATGGCACGCCGTGTCAGACACGGACAGCTAGTAGGGCCTATATCACTCAAGTCAAAGGAGAACTTGTATGGAGATATCGTCTCTTAACAACACTCCAGGAGTATGCTTCCCAGGCCCATGATGAGTCCTTGGTACACGACACGACTCGGAGCCTCCACCTACGCCGAACCCGCTGTCCCACGGTGCTTGATAAGTGCTCTATTTGTACATGTTCCCCTTGACATGACGGCGGAAATTGAATCGCAGCGCGGGTCCTTGTCGCCCTGCCGCACTGTTACTGATACAGGGCATGCACTTTACTCGGATGCGCCCCGGAATAATCCTTCTACCACGAATAGTGCTGCCGTTGGGCCGTGATGGGACGGTCGGGGAGGTGGACCCAGGGGCCCTGGCGCAGCTTCTTGGCCACACGCTCCTCGTACTCGCGTATCCGTGTCTTTTCCTCCTTCAAGACGATCGAGATGCCTAGGGTATGTCAGTGAGAGGCGGGGGGCAGCCAGACCAGGCAATCCGAGATAGGGAAGCAGGAAAACTCACCCGCCGTGGGCCTGTGCTTGATGTTGACACGTCCTCTGGCACGGTAGTCGGGTACCTTGCCTCTCCATGGCCCTCGATTCACCCACGCCTCGGCGACGTACATGCGCGTCGGGTCGTCGATCTTGACCCACTTGCCATCCTTGGTCTGTATCTCGATCGTCTTGCCGTCGCCGCTCTCCCGCACTTCTCCGCTCGCCTCCTGGCCCTTGGAGCCCAGGCCCATGCCGCGCTCCGCAATAGCCAGGTCCCGCGCCAGCTCCAGCTGGTACCGCACCTCCTGCGCCATCTTCTTCTTGCTGAAGCGCATCTGCACGAGCGCCTCGGCGACCGTCTTCCCCTGGATCTGGTGCGCGAGCTTCACGAGCTTCTTGGTGCTCGTGGCCAGGAAGGGCGACTTGCTCGTCAGCTGCCGCTCCGTCCGCGCGATCTTCTCGGCGCGCGGCTCACGGCTGTATGGGTTCGTCCCCCGCTGGACCTGGCGGATGACCATCTTCCGCTCCCAGCGGACGCGGCTGCGCGGGTCCGGGTCGACGGCGCGGGCGAGGTGTTCGCGGGCGAGAGACGCGCCGGCCCTGGTGAAGGAGCCCGCTGGGAGGGTGGGAGCTCCATCCTTCTGCTTCGCAGCAGTCTCCTTGATCTCGTCTTCAAAAATAGCAGGTCCTTCAATCCTTTTTGTGAGGCTTTCTACGAGGGCTTTGCGGTCCACTGAGCTGCCTTTCACTTGCTGCGCAATGGAGGACTCGTCTGTCGATTTTGTCTTGCGATTCCAGAACCATTGGTTGGAAGGCGTCGTGTGAATTGGGCGGGCAGAGGCCGGATTGGGCCCCAGGGAGAGGGATTGCAGCGCCGGGAGCAGCGCCGTCGTCGGGGAGGCTGAACGGGTCGGGGCTGCTTGGGAGAAGTCAGTAGCCGATCAGATTGGTATTGGTGCAGCGGTATTGGGGCTCCTTACCGCCCCGGAGGAGCCGCCTCGACGGCACACTGAGGCTCATGGCGGCGACGGCGATGGCATTGACGTTGTTGGGTGGATTTGGCCGTGTTTGAGCTATGTCTGCATCCCGAAATCTGAAAATGTCGGCCGGCAACTTCCGGGGCGGTCCCACGCAGCCGCGCTAACGTTAGTCGGACCCCTGTCTTCGCCTGAACGACTCAAATTTCTCCAACATCGACGAACCACAGTCACGCTGCATACATGTCACTCCTTACTGATACTGCATATGGTCTCAACATCGGTGCTTTGTCTTGGCGATGTAAAACGCGCCGAATCTGTGTCTCGGCTCGCACAGTGGCCTTTTCACCACCGCACAGCATGCTCGGTTATAGATCGCGATTTGGTACAGCCGCCTCTCCCATGCCTTCAACGGAGAGCCTCCTGGGCAATGGAGATGACCAGCTATTCCGCGGAGTTTTCATCCCTTGTAAGTGGATGTTACAGGTAGGTGCGTGACGTGCCAGGACTCTGCCCGACCGACCTGGTGATGGCGCACACGGGAGATCATTGTTGCACCAGCAGTGTGAGTGACCAGCAGTCCGACTGTCCAAGCTGTGAATGACTGCCATCATTTAAATGAAATGTGCCACTCCCATCATCTCTTCACTTTCATTGTCTGCAGACTAAGGGAATCTTTGTGGTTTGGCGGTTCTGTGGGCGTTGCGGCGAGTGCAGGTTCCCTTCTATGGTCGCCTCATCTCATGCTCTTAGTGTTTCCTGTGCATCGTGCAACAGCTCAAAAGAAATCGTGGACCTTCCCGACTTCTCGCACACCAACAAACCTCACAAGCTACTTGGCAGCTACGGTGCCTCGCCTCCATTCAACTACTGGTACTGTACCCAACAACAGACACCATGTCTGCCTTCAACCTCCTGCTGATTCTCCTCTTTTTGGTCCACCTCGTCGCTTCCGACTCTGACCATTGCTACCTCCCGAATGGCCAGCTGGCCGAGTCTGCCGCAAGTTGCTGGGACCCGGCCGTTGGGCCTACAGGCTTGTGCTGCCGGCAGGGCGACTTGTGTCTGAACAACAGTCTGTGCCAACATGGATCCGGCGCGCTGTATCGGGGCTTCTGCCTCGATTCGACCTGGTCGAGCCCGGGGTGCCCGAACTTCTGTGTCCAACCTGGACAGCAAAACGATTCACAGCCGGTTGTTCGGTGCAAAGATGTCGATCGGTGGTATTGCGCGCCGGGCGGGCTCTCGAACGAGCATCTCTGCGAAGTTGTCGATGACAAGGTCGATGGACTCTTCGTCGTGGCCGGTCAGTGATCCACTCTCTCTGCTCCTGACCTGTGATGGCGAGCTGACCTGAGGACCAGATAATTTCAGCGTATATGCCACTGCAGGAACACAACCCAATCCATTGTTTTTAAGGGATTCGGCGGAGGGGAATCCGCATACGACGGACCCGGTCACATCAGAGGATTCCCCCACGGCAAAAGACACACCCACGGCGAAGGACTCTCCTACGGCAAAAGATTCTCCCACGCCGAAAGACTCCCCCACCGCGAAAGACTCTCCCACAGCCAAGGATGCCCCCACGGCGAAGGACTCTACCGAGGATCATAGACCCGCAAGCACGTCTCCTCCCAGTGTCACACAAACCCCTTCTGTCAGTCTACCCACAGGCGTCTATATTTCGATTCCAACGCAATCCTCGCCGGGACCAGTTTCTACCGACGCCTCAATTACTAGCATCGACGTGCCGAAATCCAAACATAGTTCTTCCGGACCAGGGGGCGTCTCCATATCGATTCCAACGCAGTCCTCGCCGGAAGCTCATACCACAGACACGGCAACTCTCCCGACGCCAGCAACAAGATCGGATTCGGACGTGGCCGGACAGAGCTCACCGACAGCGACAGCTTCCGAGGCTGTGCCAGGCACCGAGTCTCCAACGGCAGCGGATTCTAAAACCTCCCCGGACGACGGCAAAGCCAGCTTGGCAGTCCCCATCGGCGTCGGGGTCGGGATTGGCACGTCGGTCGTAGTCGCCGCCAGCGTCTTCGGCTTCTTCTACATGCGCAAACGACGGCGCCAGGCACCCGTCAGAGCGGAGACGCCGCCGCCGTTCGAGTTTCCGCTGGTGAACGACCAGGGCCGCGGTTGGCCGGGGCCGCCTTACGGCACGAGGCTGCCGCCGATGCGTACGTGTAACACCTACGTGCCGGAGCTTGGAGGCTGTGCACGGTATGAGCTGTCGTAAGGGTGGACGGATGGGAGAGGAGGATAATGGACAGAGCTCGATGCGTTCTGTTAGCCCTTTGCTCCATTCGTTCAAATTCAACAAGCTGTTTCGTTGTATGGTTTGAATGCAGGTGACTATTCCCCGCAGATGAGTAGAATCACAAAACCTGATCGATGTCCTGCATCGAATAAGCCTTTACCCATGGCCGGGAAGGGCCAACACAGGATCCAATTTCAAGGGTCGGGTAAGCATGGAGCCGCTACTAGGCACTCGGAGAGGGGCGACGGCCGAACAAAGACCAGCCAACACTAGCAAACACGGAAAGTCGGCCCTCGCTTCTTGGCCCCCGGAAATTCGCGCTTGACATGCACCGGCGCATTCCAGTGCGACCACTCAATCGGGAAGCAAAGCTTGGCTCGTGTCGGCGACTCCATGGGCCGATCCTGCGATATCGTCGATTCCTCGTCACACATGTATTGCGCGCCACTTCGCCGGAACCGAAATAGCAGTGCTACGGAAGCAAATCAAATTTCGATTTTGTTTCTCAGCTGCGTCATATCTGGCAGCTCTTACGGTCTGACCTGCATAGTACCTCCGAGAAGTTGAAATATGAATAGGGGCGCGCCGTCCTGTTTCGCTGGGTTTTGCTTCGATGTCTCTCGCAACGGCGGAAGCTTGATCTGAGACCAGCAGAGTCGCGGTGCACCATCACCTGCACCTGCACATCATCACGCCTCATCCTTCACCAACCAATCTAAGACAATATTACTTAAACTGCGCCAATAATAATGTCCTCTGGCACGGGTCAAACGGTACGTTTGACTCCATACCTCTCCAACACCACCACCCCAAAAATCCATGATACGATCCTATACACCCTACAACTACATCCATGGAATTCCAACTAACACAACGCCACCAACCAGGCCGCAGCGACGCCCCCCAACAAGCCCCCAGGCCCGCCCTATCCACCGTCCACAGCGCCCCTAGGCGGCGTCCCGACCTCTGCCATCGACATCCCCATCAGCGCCACGCTCCTGGCGCTCTTCGCGCTGGGCGGCGCCTCGCACCTGTTCGTCTTCGTGCGCAACAAGCGGCGCAACCACAAGTTCATCTTCTCGGTGCTCCTCTTCGGCTTCTGCGTCACGCGCATCGCTGCGCTCTCGGTGCGCATCGGCTGGGCGCGCGACCGCACCAACGACGAACTCGCGCTAGCCGCGACCGTGCTCACGTCCGCGGGCGTGCTGATCCTGTTCATCGTCAACATCATCCTCGCCGTCCGGGTCGTCAGGGCGACGCACCCGCTCGCGGGGTGGTCGCGCGCCGTAAAGGTGGGGATGGGCGCGCTAATTGCCACCGTCGTGGCCGTGCTGGTCATGGTGGTCTTCTCCTCGGTTCATCAGCTGTTTACGCTGAACCTGGGCATACGCAGGCGCGAGCGGGATGTGATGCTCTTTGCCGGGGTGTACATGGTCGTGGTGGCGGTCTTGCCGCTCGTGGCGATGGCGCTGGTGCGGTTGCTGCCGCGGAAGGGGCCGTACCCCGCGGAGAACTTTGGCACGGGCGGCATGGGAGCCAAGATGGCGCTGCTGGCGTTTACGTCGGCGCTGTTGACGCTCGGCGCCGCGTTCCGCACGGCGGTCAACTTCGAGGCCAAGCCGGTCAATGACCCGCAGTGGTACCACTCGCGCCCGGCGTTTTACTGCTTCAACTTTGTGATCGAGATCGTGGTGGTGTATACTTATCTCCTGGTCAGGTTCGATCAGCGGTTCCACGTCCCGGATGGCAGCTCAAAGCCTGGGGATTATTCAAAAGTGGGAGAGCATGCCGTGGTTGAGTTGGACGACAGGCCGGAGGGGGGCTCCACGACATCCAGGGATAGTGCCGCGACGGCCATCGGGAACCAGAAGCCTCAAGCGCCAGGCTGGGGGTGTCCAGCGGTTGAACCTCCTCTGGAATAACATGTATGTACGGAGCCGAGTGATAGACCATAGAACAGCGGCAGCGAGCGTGTTTTAGATAGATACCCATCTCAGCTCTCGGGTCGTTACCGCAGTTTTTCAAAGACAGGTGCATCCGCTGGGCTAACCGACCTGGAAGTTGTCGGTTGTCAAGCCATTACGATCCAACATGAACGGGGAAATTCAGAGTTGGCCAATCCATTATCACTCACGAAGTCGTCCCGAAAAATAGAGGTGTCATCCTCTCTAGATTCCAACACTGAATCATTGCTGCATCTCCTCACGAAGGTACAGCGTTCTCCGCCCAGTACTTCCGCGCAGCAACCTCAAAATCCTCGGGCCTCCTCCCCAGAATCTCCTCCATCTCCCCGGTCACCACAGCCGTCTCCCCGGCCCTCACCGCATCCCACGCGGTAGCCCACGTCCGCGCCTTCTCCTCCTCCGGCCCAAACACGGCCCGCACCTGCGGCAGCTGCACGTACTCGTCGACCGAAACCTGCTTGATCGCGAGATCACGCCGCCCGGCAATCTCGGCCAGCACCTTCACCGTGTCCGCCAGGCTCCACACCCTGGTCCCCGTCAGCAGCACCGTCCTGTTGATGTACGGGAACGTTGTGGCGGCCGGGTCGTCGTCGGACTCGGTGGTGGTGGTGGCGTAGCGCGCGATCAGCCTGGCCGACGCCTCGCCCAGCTCGTCGCGCGCGACCCATGCGATGCCCGGGCCGGACCCGTCGTGCGGGATGCGGATCTCTGCGGGTTGCTGTTGCTGTTGCGGTGGTTGGTCCGGGCGGAAGAATGCCATGTAGATGGGCGTCGATTCGGCGTAGAGGCCTTCGCGGAGGATGGTGTAGCTCAGAGGGCTGTTGCCGTCGTTGGCTAGCTGGCGGAGATGGGCCTCGGTGGCGAGGTGGGCTTGCATCACCTCGGCCAGGGAGTGGTTTGACGTCGCCTCGCCGGCGAAGGCCAGGGAGCTGTAGAAAATGTGAGAGACCCCGGCGCGGTGGGCGGCGTCGACGGCCGGGAGCTGGACCTTGACGCGGTAGTCGCGCACATGGGATGGGTAGGAGATCAGGAAGAGCGTGTCGACCCCCGCGAAGGCGGCTTCCAGGTCGGATGGAGACGACTCGTACGATGCTTGGCGTGTCTGGACGCCGGCGTCGATGTACTCCTGCGGCGTCTTCTCTGGGTGACGGCTGATGAGGATCACCTTGTCGGCCTGTACTAGTTTCAGGAGGTGTCTGTAGGTGCTCCCGCCCAGGCCGCCCGATGCGGGGAAGATGCCGATGGTTTTCATAGCGAAGCTTGTTTTGTGTGGAGGAAAGTAAGCACGCGGTGAGCGAAATCAAATCGAGAGCAATACTGTCCTTGACTCCTTGTCTTTACCTATCTGGGGGCGGATCATTCCATCTAGACGACCGCAATCTATAGTCAAACCCGTCAGACAACAATTACTAAGCTTTCAGAAAATTGTTTTCTGTTCCCTCAATTCTTGACGTCACAGGTCGGTGCTGTCCACTATAACACCCGGGACTCCACCACCGATATGGAAAGTTGTGAAACTCTTTTAAGACCTTCAAAGTTGGGAAGATGGCGTTATTACTGGGCTAACCTCACACACACAAAATATCATACAATACAGAGTCCAGACCTCTCAGTGAGAAGGCTGGTTCCGTCCCCCATGCGGCGTAGTCTGCTGCTGCCCCCGCTGCTTGCCCCCGTCCCTGCTGTACTTCCCGCCGACATCCTCGGGCAGCGCCCCTCCCGCGCTTATGATCTCGCCCTGTCCCGAGCCGCTCAGTGCGTTGTCGGCGGCCTGGTGCAGCGTCGCGCTGCCGAGACCGCCGGCGCCGGCCTGATCGCCCCTCTGGTCGGGCCTGGCCACGGACGGGATGACGTTTGGCTTCGCGGCATCTTCTGGGACTGTTTGGGTTTTCGAGCTCTGTTATTAGCATACGTCGTTTCACGTGTCCGTGTGGGAAGAGCAGAGCAAGGACAGGAAAAGGGGAACGAACCTTTGGTGCCGTCCTTGGCCATGTCGAAGAGGTTGCCGCCTTGGGGATGGGGGTCTGACATTGTGATGGTGTGTGAGCCTATGAGCTGCTAAGGCGCAGTTTTCAATTGGCTGCCGGTTGAAGTTGATTTTTTTCGATCAGACGATGAGAGTTGATTTAATGAGCCTGGGGAACAGTAATTCGAGAGAGATGTGGCCGACGAGATCTGAAGCTTATATCGCTTTCGAGTTACAGATCTGCAGGGTCAATTATGTCATCGGCACGATGACGACTCGGTGCGCTCAACAGTGACGTAAATACTGGGTAACTTTGTGAGATCTGCCCCATGAATAACTATAGCAAAGCTACCGTTCGAGCGTGCACCTTGTTGGCTTCCTTGGATAAAGTCGGACCAGGGTCACGGGAGCAGGGTCGCGTCTTGCAGGGCTGTGCCGCTGTGGTATTCGACACTGTCCATGACTCTCATTTCATTTGGAGCTGATCCAACTCGCTTGGTTGACGGCTAGGAGGTGGTATCTACTATGTTTGCATATGTGACGGACGGGCGGTGTCCTTGTAGTATAGACTACTACCTACCGTAGGTATAGAACGCTGTCGGACCACTTGACTGATCAATCCTGGCAGGTATCAGCTGGAAAACAACGTAGATATCCAGCTCGTATCGCTTGGAGAAGGGAATTGGCCTAGGAATACACGACGTCTCTCCTTGGGTATTGATGAAAATCACTGGCATACCTCACCGATGTACGGTGTCGTTCTTATTAGTCTTTTTCGTAGGGGAGTTTGTCCGCCCAGAGACTTGGGTCGGCGTTGAGTTCTCTGCGCTTCGACTTCCAGTAGTTACGGACGGGAATGCCATGCATACTATGAATGCGGCCCGAGTTCCCCTCACGCGTTGTACGTGCCAAACGAGGAGCCGGCGAGGTATAGCTGTCGGGAGTGCACCGGGTGGGCTAGGGAAGCCGAGATTGTAGTCGCCATACGAGTTCGTCTTGGGCACGGCAGGACAGTCCGCTGCGTCGAGGCTACAATACCGATCAGCGATGGCGGGAGGGTAGCGTGTTCGACCCTGCTGTTCGGATAAGTAGTCGAGTCTGGTGAGAATACGCCAGAGCCTGCTGAGTTGGTGGCATATCTGGACGTTCCTACTGCTTCCACACCTGGAACTCCGTGGTATGCTCTTCAGCTGTATCACTCCTTCCAGCGTGACAAAAAGGCCTCACAAGCCATACAACGGCCCCTCACAACCGGGGCCTCATGGACAATGCACACTCTGGCCACACTCATTGGTTCATGGGGTTGCTGAATTGTATCGATCTGCCATCTAGCAACGGACACACTTTAAGCATCCGCCGCGAGGGCTGCCATGACTAGATGATGCATTTTCCCAGACCCCGTCTTTCATTCCTTTCCATGAAAGAGACCAAAAGCGAGACAAGCAGTCCGAAGTACGCCCCCACCATGGAATCCGTCGAAAGAGCCCCGGCGCGCAACACGCGCGCCCGGCTTCCCGCGCAGCCCAGCGATGCAAAACCCTTTCCCACAAACCACCTCTCCCCGGCCCCGACACCGAGACACCCACCTCTTACGCCCTCGACATGACACCCCAGGCGCGGATGATGTTGTCGGTGTAGCCGGCGAAGAGGGTCTGGCCGTCGGCGCTCCACGCCAGGCTGACGCACTCGGGCTCGCGGCTCTTCTTGCCGACGTTCTGGAACTCGGGCTTGAGCTCGTCGACCTTGCTCTTCTTCTCCAGGTCGAAGATGATGATGCTGCTGGCAGTAGCAGCGCACAGCCAATACCGGTTGGGGGAGAAGACAAGGGCGTGGATCTCGTCGTTGGCGTTGAGCGAGTACAGGTGCTTGCTCTCATTAAGATCCCACAGCATCGTCGTACCGTCCTTGCCACCGGACGCGCACAGAGATCCATCGGGGGAGATGGTGACAGTGTTGATGTAGCCGGTGTGGCCAATGTGATCGGTCTGCAGCTTGCAGCTAGAAAGCTCCCAGACCTGGAAACGGTCAGCCATGGCTGCACCCGACACAAACTTGGGCCCGAAAAAGCGGTGGAGATAGGGTGTCGCTCAGTGCACGGTGAATGTTGGTCTCATGGCCTGTGGCGAAACAGGCTCTGAAGTAGCAAATACTTGAAGAGTTGCAAAGCATCATAGCGAGGAGGCATGCCGCACGGGGTCCAAACGTACCTTGACCAGCTTGTCCCAGCCGGACGAAACAATCACCGGGTTCTGCGGGTTGGGCGAGAAGCGCACGCAGGACACCCACTCGGTGTGGCCCTTGTCGGTGATGGTGTACTTGCAGTCGCCGAGGGTGTTCCAGAGCTTGATCGTCCGGTCGCGAGAGCCGGAGACGATCTGGCGGTTGTCGGCGGAGAAAGAGACCGAGAGGACGTCGTTGGTGTGGCCGACGAAGCGGCGGGTGGTGGTGCCGGTCGAGAGCTCCCACAGGCGGAGGGTCTTGTCCCAGGAAGCGGAGAGGGCGTAGGCGCCGTCCGACGAGATCACCTGCCACGCCTATCAGCACAACCCCGCTTTCCCATCCATGCAAATCCAGAAGCCAGCCGCTCAAAACGTACGCAGTCGGAGACGATGTGGGAGTGGCCGTGGAGCGACCGCTTAGGGTAGCCGTACTGGGTCTCATCGCGGGTGAGGTTCCAGATGATCAGGGTCTTGTCTCGGCTGCCGGACAGGAGCATGTTCGGGCTGGGAGAATGGTTAGTACATGCGGTCCTCGGCCCCCGAAGCGATTGATCGGCTGCTCGTACTTCTCCATCGACGTGGCCAAGCTGGTGACCCAGCCATTCTGCGAGGTATACCGTCAGCTCCAGTACGAGAATTGGCAGCTGCCTCGGTGCAGCGAGCTGCCAGTCGGTTTAGAGATCACGGCAAAGCGCTCGGATCACTCGAATTGACGCCAACAGGGACGACTTACGTGGCCCTCCAGGGTGCCCTTGAGGATGAGTTGCTCAGCCATCTTGGTGTCCTTCCTGGGGTTCGAGGATCGGTGGAAGAATGGTGAGCTTTTCGCGGTGCCTCGTTTCGTCGGGAGGTCAACAAAAATCGGGGCGCTGCGCCAGCTCTGAGAATTCCTAAATTTTTGTGCGGCCGAAATGGTTAGGGTCCGCCGTGGGGCGGTTTGCGGCCAGCTCGGCCAGCTGTCAGGAGCAGCAAGCTGAACTGTGCCAGCTGCTGACGGCTCTCAGACGCTGTGACGATCCACCATGACCCGCAGAAGCGATAAGATAACTTGAAAGGACGGGAGTGTGAGGCGATGTGGTTGAATTTAGGGATTATCCACGGCCTCACGCTACCTCTTGCGTTGCAGACCAGACATTGCCTACCATATCCTCGGGCTGTTCTTTCCTATGCGCTCAATGTACAGTAACTGCATGGTATTTATGAACCAGCGAATCCAAGCCAAACTGTTCACAGGCTCTGGCTATTATAAGCCGCTGTAAACTCTATGGGGTATCTCGTAGTTCCCGCTGCAAATTCCCAACTCCGATCACCATCCACATGCAGCTTGTACACACTGTGCAGGAGTACTAGTGTAGAAGTCAAACACATCCCGGCCTCATTGGCCTTTCCCGCTGTGACCAGCAGAGGCAGTCTTCCGGACACCCGCTCGAGGCACGTCCCTGCGGGAATAGCTCTTTTCCCAGTTGACCAGCATGCTGTGATCCGCAATCTCGAACCTCCCCTTGTCGCCATGCATCCCTGCTGGCCCAATCTCCTTGCCCTTGGACCTTGTGTCATCATCGAGGAGCTCCCGCATCGCCGCCTCCCACAAGTTGTACCGTTCCCGCTGGGCCGGCTGCCGTTGCGCCGACGCCCATACCTCCTTTTGCTTCGCAATCTTGGATGCGCGCATCAGCCTCCTAAGCGCTCCCTCTCCGGCCTTTGCCTCCTTCGCTGCTGCTTCTCGCATCTTCTTCGGATCGCCGCGCGGAATTTCGTCGGGCGCGAGCGGCCGCTGCGGCTTCTGCGACTGCGGCTGGGAACCGTCCAGCGTCTGGGACGGCGCATCCGGGCCAAACGCACTCCAATCGTCGGACACCGTAACGGCGTCCACGCTTTCCGGCGTGTACTTGTATGTGTGCACGCTTGGAAAGGCGGGGAACGAGCTTGGGATGTACGGCTTTGCTGCCTTGTCGGGCGCTCCGTCCAGCTCGTCGCCAAGGACTGGAAGGTCTCGGTCGAGCGGATCACCGGTCTCGAGAGGCTCCCACTTGGGCAGACGCTTTGATCTCGGTATCGGCGGCTTTCTGTGCGGATTAAGAGTTGATGTGGTCAAGTTGAAGCGCTTGAGGCCCTGCTCAAAGTCCTTGGGTACCGGGTGCGATCGTCGCGCGGCATTCGTGAATGTCTTGATGTCCTGCACGAGCGATGTGATGTCTGTAGTCTGTCAGCGAATCTGTGCAGTGTGCCACTCAACCAACATCTACATACACATCTCTGCCATAGCGGCAAAGCTCTCCATGGCCTCGGGCGCCGCGCTGTCGAAGCCGACCTTCTGCAGCGCCAGCGCAATGCCTCGTCGCAGACCCTTCTTCGCCAATTCATCGGTCGTCACTGCCGGGGAGTAAGACGGCAATAATCCCGGCGGCCCAAGCGAGAGTATTGTTTGCGCTGACTGAAGCCGTTGTCGTTTCGTAGGAGAGCCGGCCCGCTCGGCCTCTGCCGGCCGCTTTCGCGACTCGGTTGCCATTGCCGCCGATCCCTCTCCGCGAGCACTGGCAGCGTGGACGTAGCGAGCACTGGAATGCAAGAGCTTATGCGTCTCGCGTATTGCTTTCGGTATCGCGCTGTATTGGCGTGACGGTTGATGGAGGTGGCGGCAGGAACGTGAGGTTTAACTCGTGATGACTGCTGGTGTTGAGTTGACAAAGTGCAAGGGGCCAGCTCAAGGTGGACCCACTCGATCTTGGCGGCAGATACTTGACCCACAGTGGGTCAAGGTTAACGTTAGTGGAGTTTGCCAAACTGTATGTACAATACATAAACGCCTCCCGAGTTGTGGCTCACAACTTACAAGTCACCACATTGAACAATCATCGTTCACACAGCCAGGCCACGACGAGGTCAGAGAATCTTCATACTGAACTGCCCCAAAAGCTATACAGGGTAGTAGCCCTCGGGTATCCACTGTGCGGCCGTTTCTAGCCAGAGACCGCAAGGACGGACCCGACTGTCACTGACCGTTTCGGTTCATGGACCCAGCCGCGTGCCATAGTTGTTTCTTCGGCGCTTGTAACATCGCACCTTCCAAAACAGTGGCATGTTTACGATCGAGCAAGATTCCCTTCATAAAGTGCGAGTCAGCGACACTCTCCTCCCGCTCTCCTTCCGAAGTTACAGAAAGCTACATGTGGCGATACAGCAAGTGCAATCGGGAAGACGTCCACAAAAATGGGATGAAATCCAGAAAATGCTGCAGCTGGACGACCTTCCGTGTTTTCTCTCCTCTCAATCATCTCATAGTACCACATTTGTTACACGTTTGTTAACCGACTAAACGACTCATTACGAAGTATGCAGGATCTTGAGACTCTCAGACGCGGCGGCTACAGAAACGCTGGACTCACTGAGTTCACGCTGAGGTGTCCTCTGGCCACCTTCCCCGAAGAAATCCTCGAACTTGGCGATACACTCAAGATGCTTGATCTCTGTGAGACTGGACTGGCCACGCTTCCCGCGACACTGGGCTCCGCTCTGCCGAATCTGGAGACCGCCTGCTTCACCAACTGCAACTTCACCGTCTTTCCGGAAGCGTTGGGATCATGCCCCAAACTCCGGAAAGTGGTTTTCAGAAGTAACGGGATGTAGGAGATCCCCGAGACTTTAGGCTCCGCTCTGCAGGCGCTGGAGGAGGCACACTTCGATTGCTGCAACTTCACTGTTTTTCCAAGAGCGCTGTTGTCATGTCCCAACCTCTGGCTGGTGGATTTCAGCGGGAACCCTATCCAGGAGATCCCCGGGACGCCAGGCTCCATTCTGCCGGCGCTGAGGACTGGCTTCTTTAATGACTGCGAGTTCACGGTCTTTCCAAGAGCGCTTGGGTCATGTCCCAACCTCGTGAGCGTGGCCTTCCAAAACAATGAGATGGAGGAGATTCCCGAGGATGCTCTCTGTCCAAGCCTCGTGGACATAGACCTCACCGATAACTGTCTCACCCGCCTCCCCTCCACTATCGGGAGATGCGTCCGCCTGGAGACGTGTTACTTCGGCGGCAACCAGCTCCAAGACTTACCGCCAGAGATGGCGCAATGCGGAGCACTCCGGGAGCTCCGTCTCAGCTTCAACCGTCTCTCTGCCCTTCCTCCATGGCTCTTTGAGCTCAGGAACCTAACCCACCTCTCTTTCGCCAGAAATCCCTACGTCTTGGGCATCAGCAACGGCGTCCACACTCCCCCGGCTGACATCGCTTGGTCTGATCTCGACGTGACGAGGGAGCAAATCTCAGATACCTTCCGAGGTATCTGGCACCAACCCCACCACGGCGACAGGGAAGTCTCCATCAAGCTCTTCGACGACTTGGCCACCGATGTCCACGGCTGCCCGGCAGCCGAGATGGAGGCATGGGTCGCACTCCAGCCATGCCCCACGGCCGCACGCGACAGCCTGCCCACAGTGATCGGACGCATCCAGGGGCATCCAGAAGAGGACCGTACCACATTCCATGGTGGCATTGTAACCGAGCCCATACCGGACCGCTTTTGGCTTTCACGCATGATACCCACGCGAAGAGCGCTGCAGATGCTAACCGGCCTCGCCAACGCCATGGCCCACCTCCATGCGCGCGGCATCGCGCACGGCCATGTAGTCTCAGAATGCATCTTTGCCAACACCGGCGACGCACATGCGGTGCTGGGCAACTTCTCGTCTTCGACAGTCTATGGTCTCGGGCTGCCACAGGGGCAGCGGAGGTCGATTGAGAAGCTCGAGGTGCGGGCTTTTGGATTGCTGATAGAGAAGTTACGGCGGCACCTTGATGTGCGAGACGAACCGGCGGTGTGGATCGCTTTGGGGGGGTTGCAATCACTGTGTGCGAATCAGCCGGTCAATGATAGACCAACGTTTGCCAGGGTGGTAGAGTGGTTGGAGGAGATGCGGTCCTAGCTGTGATGATCCGGATGCCTGAGCCGGGTGGTTCCGGCGGGCGGGCCGAGGTCCGATGTTCGGGACGGGGCATTGGCGGCTGTCTATTCAACCCGTAATACGAGATAACATTCTTATGATAGGCGTCTTTCCGGGCAATGGAGTTTATGGGATTACCGACCGACTCGCCAGTCCGTTCAAGTTTCTACGTTCGTTCGGGATGATATGCAGGGCAGTGTTTCTGCTGGTCCTGGGACGGCGGCGGCGCTGATGAACTTGGTGCGCCAACCCACCAGGATCCTGCAGCTGCATTGACGTGGTCCCGCGACACCCAGTGCAACTGATTTAGGAACTATGTAGGTATGTATATGTCGCTTGAGGGTCCGTAAACCTCGATGTCAAGTTCGCTGTTCAAGTGGGAGAATAGAAGAACAGGAGCAGTTCCGTCTGTGCGCCGCTGCTACTGTTGAATGTTCGTTTCCCTGCGGAAGTCAGACAAGTTGCGTCGGTGAATCTCTTCTTTTTACCCTCTATCATTTCTTCCCTCCGACCGCAGACCCCTTCCAGCAAGCAACTCAATCTGCTGGAACCCCTATTTTCATTATTCTTTCCCTTCCTCTTCCCCTTCTTCTTATTGAGATCACTCTCCAGCCAGTCTCGTGTTGGACCTGTGCTTGCTATTCTAGCTTCAGGGCGATCGCCAACGGCTGCCGAAGTGTCTGCCGGCCGTCGTGCATATTGCATCAAGGGGTCGGCCTCTCCCCGGCGCGGAGGGTTACCTTTTTCGAGCAATTAACCGGGTGCTTGCTGCAATGCCTGCCGCGTTGGAGTGTCATGTGAACAACTTGACCATTCCAGAATGGCACTGTTGCAGCTTCGCCGTTTATCCCTTTTGGATACGTGGCCGCGGTGGTCTCCGAACTGTCGACGGTCGTCCGGTTGGGTTGGGGGCTGGAAATCCTTCTCTTGCAGCATCGTCGAAGAGATCGGACAACTGACTCTGCAGGCCCGCGGCCTCGCCTGCAAGGTGCTGCCAGCGTCGTGTCGTATTGGTCATATGCGACCCTCTCCGCTGAGAAGCTGTCGTGTTGGAGGTGGGTTGCACCGGGTGATTGGACGCAGCTGTCGCAGCACCCCGGGGATGCATCTGCATACCGGGCGGTTAACGCTGCCGTCTTACGTTTGTCCGATGCCTAATAATGGATGCTTCTACCGACCAGCCCCCAACGTTCGATCTCTGGAAGCCGTTGGGCGCTGTTGGTGGTGAGGGATTCTTCGACATGCAGTGCGGATGCATCCCACTCAATGCGGTGTGCTCATCTTGCTTGACGTTAGTACCACCAGAGGGATGCAAGCCACACAGCTTCGCCTCCGGTTGAATCAGATCTCCCGTGAACATCATGATTTCCCTCATCTCGTTTTCATCTGATGGTGGCGGGGTTGAAAAGGTCAGGAGCCAGCTCCGGCGGACTGTGGTTGGCCAATCGGTCAGGGACGTTCGGGTCGACTTGCCTTCCGCGAGTGACTCGGATGGATGAGACGGGGAGTCGTGTAGGCTAAACACCTCGAAGCCCAGGTTCAAAGATCGGAATCGCGCAGACCCTGACGGGAGAATAAAGGCTGTAACGCTTTGAACGAAAGGGTGAAGATATTCTATTACAGGGACATGTGACCTGTTGCACCATTGCTTGATCGAGGGAGCCGAAGTCCCCGCTCATGCTTTCCTTGCCTGGTGGGGTCTCCAGTGCTACCGTACGTACCTACCTACAATTCCATACGGCCCTGCAGCTTCCCGTTCTCCGCTTCCCTCCTACATAGGTAGTACCGTAGGCTCCCCTCATGCCGTTGGCATAACACGAGCGGGATGTCGGGGAAGAGCGGCTGACAGTGTAACGCGGCCTGCGTTTCTCGAGCGCTTCTATCCAGGTTCTATGCTGTGCCGCATGCGGGCCAACCTCCAACCGCCTCACCACCACATCTAGGACGAACCATTTGGCGACGCGGAGAATATTCGACGGAAATTGCGCCGCGGCTGACGGACTGCTGTGCACAGGCAACCGGATCGCGCCTGCCGTGGAACCTCCGACATCTCAAGAACCTGCGTTCGGCGACCTGGACGAGACACGCAGCAGCGGGTTTGCTCACCGGTGCAGCACAGGCGGCCAGGGGTCCATGGATTGCAAGCCGCTTGAGCGTCACCACATCCACCTCAGGCTTGAAGAAGGTCGCGAGGATCACCTTGCATTGACGGGGGCTGGCTGGGGACGTTGTAGTGTGATCTGCAGTCCGTGCCAGCGTTCTGGACTCGACCAACAACCACGCGATCTGGCTCGCAGTTGATCTGGGTGCCGCTTGTCGCGGAATGCCCGCTGCGCGCATCCGCGGCGTCAACGGTCTGCGCCGCGCTGACCATCACGAGAAGTCTGAGCGTGCGGACTTGGCGGTATGTACAGTACTGGTCGGAGTTGCCAGCTCCAGCTCAGGCAATACATTACGAAGTACAGATTACTGTGTGATGTGTTTGTAACTTGACGGGCTTTACATACAGGGCTGGTGATCGTGTGCAGCGGCTGCTGGTGTTGCATCGTCCTGCCCCACCATCTCTCGTCTCTGCCGCTCCCGTTCGCTTGCCCCTGTTCCGGACCTGATTCCGGAGTGGCATGTGCAACTGCATACATAACCACACCACATAAAGGGCTTTCCTGCCCTCCTGGCGCAGACTTCCTGCAGTGTACTTTCTCGCTGCACTGTGACTGCCAACGACGAGTCCGAGGATGCAAGTGACGCCGAGCCGCCCGTTACCCGCCTAGGTACAATACCTTTACCATTCGCAGCTGGTTCCGAATTCGGCGCCCTCTCCAACAAGACTTACGCTATATATATCGACATAGGTTTGGGTACATACATGTACTGAGCTACTGGTCGACTGTCGTCCTGCTAGTAGACGACGGCCTCCACTTCATAACTTAATTTGACTTATATAGCTAGCCCGCCCCCGGGAATGACCAGAGCTTAGTCCTGAGCGAGTTCCGTGCCGTGCTGTGCCGTGTGTGGGGTTCCGGCATCCGTTGCCCGCTTTGAGGGTGAGTTGAGCCGGCATCCGCTCGACCCAATGGCCGAATAAACACGCTGATGGTTTCTGGCAGATACTATATCCGCCCGACGTTGTTTGCTTGCCCACAAAACCCGGCAGACGGGTAAAGCTAGCACCATGCCGTCGCCGTTCCCCTTCAATCCCTCCATGATCCCAACCGTGCCGACGCGGAAGGCGCTCTTGATTCTGGACCTGCAGAACGACTTCGTGTCACCGGACGGCCCACTGTACGCGACGGAGCCCGAGGACTTCGTCAACCGTACCTTGGATCTGGCCAAGGCGTTCCGGGACTCGGGCGCGGGCGATGTGATCTGGGTGCGCAGCGAGTTTGAGAGCCACTGTTCGCTATTGGAAGGCGGAGACCAGATCATCACGGCCGAGACCATGCTGCGCCCCCAGAAGATGGCGCCGTCGCGAGGGCGCCAGCCGACCTCCACCGCGCATGACAGCGCCGCCATGGAGGCCGACGAAGAGGCCTTCCTGAGCACCGGCGCCGACGGCGAGAAGCAGCCGTGTGTCCGCAAGGGGACGCGCGGCGCCGAGTTCGCGCCGGAAGTGAAGGCGGCCATCGACACGGGCCGCGATATCGTCTTCACCAAGACGCGCTACAGTGCGTTCGCCTCCGGGCAGCAGCAGCTGGTGCAATTGCTCCGGAGGCGGTTCGTGACCAAGATGTATCTCTGCGGTGCGCTGACAAACATCAGCATCTACGCGACGGCACTGGGAGCGGGCCAGCACGGCTATGAGGCGACCCTGCTCGACGACTGCTGCGGCTTCCGGAACACGATGCGGCACCTCAACGCCGTGCGCCAGCTCGTGGATCTGACGGGCTGCGAGGTCATCAGCTCGGAGACGCTGCTCGAGCAGCTGTCGCCCGGCCACGCCCCGCAAAAACAGTCCACCGGCCTCTCACCGTCCATCTCCAAGATCACGCTGGATCTCGGCAGCAGTGGGTCTCCAGAAAGGCCCCCCGCACCGGCTTCCCGGCCAACCACGCCCAAAGCTCCTTCGCCGCAGCCGGATCGGGCCGAGCGCGAGAGCACAACACCGCCCGTCCCGGGAAGCTCCAGTCGCGGCAGTCCAACAGTGGGCGCGACACGCCCTTCGAAAGACAGCGGATCGCGGGACGCCGACTCCGACACGTCATCGTCCGAGAGTGAGTCAACGCGCGACCCGGAAAGGAAGTCGGGAGAAGCGCAGAGAAGTGAGAGTCCTGCGAAGGCTGAGTCGAGCAAATCAGAGAGCTCCAAAGGTCCGATCCCTACCCCCGAGGCAGGCAGCACTGAAGCTGAAAAGCCCAGGGTAGTCAATCGGGTCGCACGGCGCGTGAAGCGCCCGAGTCCGGATAAGAACTCAGAAGCCACCAAAGAAGGCACGACTCCCGCCCACGACGCCGAACAGAAGCGATTGCCGCGAGACATGGCAGCGCAACCCGCCCCCGTCTCCTCCGAGCCTCTGTGCGAGGGTGACACCACCATCATCACGAATGTGCTGTCCCCCGCCCTCGCGGCCGATGCCTTCGAGCGTCTGCTGGAGGAGGTTAGCTGGGCAGGCATGTCCCACATGGGCGGCGAAGTACCGCGGCGCATAGCCGTGCAGGGCGCCATCGCCGACGACGGCAGCATGCCCGTGTACCGACACCCGGCCGACGAGTCGCCTCCACTGCTGCCCTTCTCGCCGACCGTGTTGCTGATCAAGGACGAGATCGAGAAGCACCTGGGCCACCCGCTCAACCACGTGCTTATCCAGCACTACCGCACCGGCAACGACTACATCAGTGAGCACAGCGATAAGACGCTGGACATTGTCCGCGGCAGCTTCATTGCCAACGTCAGCCTGGGCGCCGAGCGCACCATGGTTTTCCGCACCAAGCGGCCACCCAAGGACAAGGAGAGCAAATCCTCTCCCACCAACGACGCGAAACCAGCAGCGACAGCGGCAGCTCCCCCCGACCCAAAACGCCAGACCGTCCGCGCCGCCCTCCCGCACAACTCGCTCTGCCGCATGGGCCTGCAGACCAACGCGCGCTGGCTGCACGCGATCCGGCAAGACAAGCGCCTCGACCGCGAGAAGACCGCCGCCGAACTAGCCTACTCCGGCGCGCGCATCAGCCTCACCTTCCGGCAGATCGGTACCTTCATCGACGCCTCGCAGTCCCGCATCTGGGGCCAGGGCGCCACCTCCAAGACGCGCGAGCGCGCCAGGCCCGTGGTGAACGGCCAGACGGAGCAGGCCGTGCGGCTGCTGCAGGCGTTTGGCGCCGAGAACAACCGCTGCTTTGTGGAAGGGTCTGACGACTGGAACGACGTCTACGGGCAGGGGTTCGACGTCCTGCACATGGGCACGCCCAAGCGCTTCTTTGCGGCGGCGCGGGACTGCCTTGGCAATCTCTGCGTGGCGCTGGCGCTCGCGGAGCTCGGGCTGGGCGCGGCCAAGGGGAGCGTGGAGGCCGGAGAGGGCAGGTTCGAGGATAACGACCCCGGCCGGACGGTCGTGCATGGGTGTGGGAGTGTGTTACGGTACCTGGATGCCGTGTATGGCCCCGGGAGGAGGTGCGATCACATGCTGCCCGGGGAGGTGGCGCGGCGGGTGGTGAGGCTGCAGAGGGGGCTGGAGCTGCTACCCAGGTGGAGGCGCGCGCTGGAAGAGGCCGGTTTACTACTAGTACTACCATCCGGTGGGGATCGCGATGATGATGATGATGATGATGGAAAAGCGAGCGCGGAGCAAACCAAGATTGTCGCAGGGCTCCTGAGCAAGGAGCTGGCGGAGTGGGAGGGGTTCGCGAAGGAGGCTGCTGTTACCACCACTGCCGCGGCGTCTGCCATCAGCACATACCCGCAGGATCCCGGCAGCTCGACGCAGACGAGTGCCGACGGCGCCTTCTACATCGCTGGCGGCAACCAGCCCTCACCGGCTGACTTTGCCGTGTGGCCGGTGCTGCACGACATGGTGCGGGTCTGTGGTGAGAAGCTGCTGGGGGAGCACCTGGGGCGGTATTATGCGGCCTTCAAGAAACGGAGCGCTGCCGCAAAGGCGTTGGATGTGGTGCGGTCCAAGTGAGAGCGGAGATTCGGCAGTGATGGATCTTGATGGTATTGTGTTACGTGATGTACGCATGATATCGTAGTTGGATATCGGCTGGATATGATATTGGGCAGTTGACTGAAGTTCCAGCCGGAATTTAGGATAGGTCATTCATGAAGCTCTTGTGGATAGTACTAGGAGGTTGGCTAAAAGTAAGAAGTACCCTTAGTGGTTACGACAGATCCTATGTGAGATGTCGGAACATCTCTAACCCTGTCACACGGATGCGCTCATCTATTGGATGTATGTGGGCATGTGATGATGATGCGTTTTTACCTCTGTCTATCAGCCCTCGGTACCAAGGGGAGGACGGGTGAAGGGCAAGATCGGACAACGGCAAAGCCTTAAACTTCCCATGCCCGACCACCACCGCTACCTACCACTCAAGACTGACACCTCACTAACCCATCATCCTCGTTAAGACACACCGACCAGGTTGAACATTGTATTGCTGCTCGACTGTGAACCCAGCAGAGTGAAAGATGGGAGGGCAAGTGACTGTTAAACCCGCTCGCCCGGCGAAAACGCCTCATCAAAATCAGCCCAACAGAACCTACATACATAAGCGTTTCTTACATTTCAGAACCACCACCACCACCACCTACTCATCCCGTCCGGTACTAACTACGCCTTCGCATCCCACGGCAGGGGATACGTGTTCACCCAATCAGCGACCTCGCTCCGCAGCTGCACGATCTCGGTGTCGGTCTCGCCGTTGCCCAGATACTCCAAGAAGGTCCTGATGCGCCCCGCCGTCTTGGCCTCGCCCTTCTCCTCGGCGGCCTTGCGCGCCGCCCTGTCGATGCGCACGGCGATGGTGACGGCGCGGTCGACAATGTCGGCCACGCGCTCGAAGTCGTCCTCGCCGAAGCCGCGCGTCGTCATGGCGGGCGTGCCCATGCGCAGACCGCCCGGCGTGAGGGCCGACTTGTCGCCGGGCACCGTGTTCTTGTTGGCGGCGACGCCGACCAGCTCCAGCACGCGTTCGACGCGCGCGCCGTCGATGCCGTGCGGCTTCAGGTCGGCCAGCACCAGGTGGTTGTCGGTGCCGCCGCTCACGAGGCGGTAGCCAAGGCCTCCCTTCTCTTTGGGCTCGCCGAGACGGCGGGCCAGCGCCTTGGCGTTGGAGAGGACCTGGGATTGGTAGGCGCGGAACTCGGGCGTTTGCGCCTGCTTGAGCGCTACGGCGAGCGCCGAGATGGTGTGGTTGTGCGGCCCGCCTTGGTGGCCCGGGAACACGGAGATGTTGATAGGGTTCTCGAGGTTGTACATTTCCTCCGCGCCGGTCTTGGGGTGCGTGCGGCGGACGCCGCGGCGGAAGAAGATGAGCGCGCCGCGGGGCCCGCGGAGCGACTTGTGGCTTGTCGTGGTAACGATGTCGGCGTGCGAGAAGGGGCTGGGCAGCACCTTCGCCGCGACCAAGCCCGAGATGTGCGCCATGTCGGCGAGGAGGTAGGCGTTCACCTTGTCGCAGATGTCGCGCATGCGCGCGTAGTCGATGAGCCGGCTGTAGGCCGAGGCACCCGCCACGATGATCTTGGGCCGGAAGATGCCGGCCAGCTCCTCGAGCTTGTCGTAGTCGATGTAGCCGGTCGACTCGTCGAGGCGATATGGGACAGTCTCAAAGTACTTGGAAACAAACGAGATCTTCTTCGTTGGCGTCTGGTAGCCATGGGACAGATGGCCACCGTGCGGCAAGTCGAGGCCCATCAGGCGGTCGTGTGTCTCCATCAACGCGGAGTAAACGTACAGGTTCGCCGGAGCGCCGGAGAGAGCTGCGAATGTCAGCCACCAAACACACGCGGCAAATCACCACCCCCGACACAGAAACGCACCCTGGACATTGACCCCCCATTGCCTCGGGTCGAGCCCGAACGTCTCTAGCGCCCTTTGCTGGCACAGCGTCTCGGCCGCATCGATGAACTCGTTGCCCCCGTAGTATCTAGCGCCCGGATACCCCTCGGAGTATTTGTCTGATGCCGCATTAGCTCCAGCCGTTCACCCTAGGTAAGGCGCAGTCCCCATACGCACTCTGCATAGGACTCCCTAAAGCATCCAACACAGCCTGTGAGGTGAAGTTCTCGGACGGAATCAGGTTGATGAACTGCTTTTGCCTGATTTTCTCCTGTCCCGCCGACCCGGTCAGCATCTACTCACCCTAGAACCGTCAGGGCACAGTGCACAACCAACCTTCTCAATGATATCGTACATGATCGGATCGGCCTGCTGCAGATGAGAAGCGAGCATCTTCTGTTGCGTATCGCTGCTAATCGACCCCACCGCTCTCCTCGAGCCGGCCGTCGGCCTGAGCCATTGTCTCTGCGCCGAGCTCTGGAAGCGACCCGCGAGTATGGAGGGGGATGATACCGAAGCCGCTGCCGTCCGCAAGGGCCTGGTGCACGCGCGCACGGCGGTGCTCCGCAGCGAGGGGACCGAGGCCGACATGGCGCTTGCGGGCTGCTGACGCTGCAGGCGGGCAAACCACGAATTCTGGTCAGCCGGCTGCCCAGTGGTCTGGAGACTGGGTGTATGGTTCGATCGGAACGGGGAGAGATACCGATTGCGTATCAGGTTCAGCGTCCGGCGAACTGAGCGCACCCGGAGGAGGGGAAGCAACCGAGAGCGAGGTAGACGTCGACGACAGGTGATCCGATCGTCCCAATTGGTAGAGAGGGCTTACATGGAGAATCCGGTCATGACGCCCTTAAGTGGTACCGGCCGAGTCCGTGTGGGGTTCTCTCTCGCACCCGGTAAACCCGGGGTTTATCTTATCAGGGCCCGCACGGACCAGACGGCGCCACAAATCCTGGGGGATATCAACGCCCAAAAATTTCTGGGCAGGAACTTTCCTTTTCTCTTTTCTTCTGCAATCAACTAACTTGGGGGTGATGAGCACGCTTCCAAACGGCAGATGCAGGGTCCTCCGCCGGTAACGCGGCCGGGGGACATGCTGACATGTCCTGGCACAACCTCACCACTCGAGAGGGACAATTTGAAGCCTCTGACCCAACTGTGTTGATGCACGGCGACGTAGCCGTAGGACTTGGCTGCTTTTTGCTTCATCTCAACTTTGTTCCTCGCGGCGTATGCCGACCCGTGTGGATATGTATAGCGGGCCATCTAGGTAGATGTTTTGAATCTGGATCAATGGCTTGATTTGACTCGGGGCCTGCCGTACGCCCTCGCCTTCTTCTATTACACTGTACTCAATGGCTCGTACTCCTCCCGACCCCTCTTCTGCGTTGTAGGCACTTTCATTCACCCTCGTGCCAGCAGTCCACCTGCACCCAAGCACCGCGACGAACTCCGCATGAGCAGTGTTGCATTGCACCAGACCCGGCAAACCCATTGATTCCGTTTTTCAATGCCATACATGCAAGCAACGTCTCGAGTCTACCGGTAGAGACCGCGCCACTTCGCAAACGAAGAGCGCACAGCCGCCGAGGGCCGAGGCCACGTGTAGGAGCCGAGATGTATAGAGAGAGAAAAGCGTGCCCAGGAAAGAAGCCCAACCCATTACGCCGAATGCAAGGCCGCCGAGAAATCCACGTTGTCCATTTCAAATCGTCCGTGATGACATCTACTTGGACTCCTCCTCGGCCTCGCCCAGCATCGCGTTCCGCTTCGCCGCCTGCCTCTCCTGCTTGCGCTCGCGAGCAGCCTTGGTCCGTGCGCGCTTGGCGTCCATCTCCTCCTTGATTTGCCTCTCGCGCGCCTTCTCCGCCTTGGCGCGGTGGATCTACAGAGTTTTGTCAGCACACGCGCACAGCACGGCTGCAGGCCAGCCTGGGGCTATGGTTGGAACGTACGTGCTCAACGAGCGCCCGCTTGTGCTTGAAGGTGTTACCCTTGGCGAGGTGGTAGAGCTCGTGGTAGAGGTGCTTGTCGATCTTACCGCTGGCGCGGTACTTGACGAGGAGGCGACGGAGGACCCGCTGGCGGCGCATCCACAGAACCTGCCTGCATCCCGGTAGTCAGCAACGCCGTCCGGCCTCGCGTTCCTTATTTCCTTCTGCAGTCTCTCGCGTCGCCTGCTATCCGGATCCGGGGCGATGGTGGCACGTACTCGGGCATACGGGCATCGGCGGTACCCTTGCGCTTACCGAAGCCGCGGTGGCGGCCGATCCGGCGGGCGAGGTTCAGCTCACGCGCGCGCGAGCGCGAGTGCATGGTGACGGGCTTCTTGATGATGAGGCCATCGGCGACGAGCTTGCGGATCGTCTGCCGCGAGTTGGCGTTGGAGATCTCGCTGACCTCATTGGGGTCGAGCCAAATCTTGCGCTGGCCGCAGCCCAAGACGGACGACGCCAGCCGCTTCTGGGTCCTCAGATTAACCCTACAGTCGGACCAACAGTCAGCATTCCGACTAGCAAGTCAATGCCGGCAGGGTCGATGGCGTGGATGGGGTGGTGCAGTTCGGCGTTGCCACGTCGTGTTCATCGGTGCATAAAGGTGTCGACAAGTTCCGACGCAAATCCAGCCCCAGATCCATCGTGCAGAATCCTCCTCTTGCTGCGCCGTCGACGGAACGATGCTCGGGGTACTCACATCTTGACGGATTGATGCTGCGATGGTTAGTATGTCGAGGTTGTCGATGGGTTTGGGATTTCCGCTGAGGGGAAGTTCGGCGTTAGAATTTCTCAAGCAACAGTTTGTGGGATTTCGTGGTGGGGCGGCTGGCGGGCTGTGATTGGCAAGGGCTAGGCAGGTCACACGGCGGAACACGTGCACCGTACGTCCCAAAAGGGTAGGCCGGGAAGTGTGTCAACACTCAACGATGAAGTCTGAGATGTTTTTCCGAAGTCGTGTGCACGCAATCTGCGCAGCAAAAATTGGCCAGGCCTTCTTGAGTCCTCATATTCGACTTTCTTGGATATGGCCTTTGGGACTACTATCATATCCGGTCCCACAGGACTGTGACCTACACATAACCCCAACCCTAGCATATATCTACCCTCCCACGTGCCTCCCTACGTCACTTAACCACTGCATGCACCATGACCCGTTTACTCCAGCTCTTTGGATATACAAACAATACGTACCTGGGGTTGGCAGTCTAACTCTAACGCTGGCGGTTCTTCTTTCCTTGCTGCGAACCCCCCCCATCCCAGAGGCACTCCTATCTCTACAGTATTGCTAGGCACGTAGAAACCACACTGCACTTGCGCATTGGAGCTGAAAGCCTGAGGCCCTGAGACCTTAGTACAACGGCGTCAAGTAAAAGGCACGCAGGTATCCGGAGCTCTACAATGCTAGGTGGACAGCATGAGCTACCTAGTCCACAAGAGTGCTAGAGGGTTGAACACAGGACGTAGAGAGGATACGAGAAAGAAAAGGAGAGAGAATGTAGAGTACAGTTGGGTTTATGTGTTGGGCAAAAGCTTGTGATGGACCAAGCATCACAATCCCAACAGACCACCGATGTGTCTCATCTTCAACCCCGGACTTTCAACATCTGTTCGATCCGCAACTTTTGCTTACTTCAGCTACCAGTCCTCAAATTCATGCGAGATGGATGATACCAGGAGAGTACTAGATCCGGAGTAATTCACGCAATTCTCAACTTGGTTTTTTACCTGACCACTTCTCAGAGCGCCAGACACAGGTAACAATAGTATTTCATGCATCTACATAACATACCCTCATCCCTCAATCCATGAACCACCCCTCTACCCAGGTGCCAGGACCCAGGACCCAGTCAAGACTCAAGAATCAGCAGCAAAGACATCCCCCACATCGACCTTCCCAACAGCCATGATCTCCTTCTCGTCCTCGACCTCATCATTCGACAAGCCCAAACCGCCGGCGCCACCCTCTGCCTCTCTCCTCTCCCTCACCTGCGCCCCCAACCTGAGCGCAACCCGCTTGAAGTAGTCCTGCATGCTCCTCTTGACATTAGGCGGTAGCTCCGCCCCTGCCCCTCCTCCAATCCACTTGTCAAACACCTTGCTCTCCTCGTCAGCAACCGCAAACAGCTGCACGAACGCGGCCTCGGCCGCCAGCTTGACAGGGATGACCATGTCGCGCACCGAGGCGAACACCGGCGGCGCGAGCAGGCCGAGGTGCGGGCGGACCAGGTCCGGGTGGGTGCGGGCGATGGTGCGCACCAGCACGAGGGCCAGCCGGCGCGAGTCGGTCGGGGCGCCGGGAGGGATGAGCTTGGAGAGGGTGGTGAAGATGGGCTTGGTGGGCTCGAAGGATTTGGGCGCGTCGCTGAGGAGGTACTTGCCCGTGGCGACGATGAAGTTGTCGGCAATGAAGGTCTGTGGATGAAACTTGTTAGTTGCACATACTCAAGACGGCAAAGTTAAAAAGGCGGAGAGATGTGGCTGCTACTCACGTCCTTGCTCTCCATTCCCTGGCAGAGCAGCTCGGGCAGGTCATCCACAAGGGGGGAGTCCAGAAGGGTAGCCGGGCTCTCGAGAAGGACCGCGTTCAGCGCCAGGACGCTGGAGTTGCTGAAGTCCCTCGTCATGACCCTGTTCTTTAGCAGGCCGGTTGCCACATCAGGCGAGACATTTTTGACCAGCGCTCCGAACAGCTTAGCGTAGGTGATGGTCATCGCTTGGTCGCGCTCGTCGGTCTCGGTGTCGATCAGGCTCAGGACGGCAGCGCGGGAGCTCTCGCCCATGTTGGCGCCTGCCTTGCTGATGACCTCGTACAGGGCCTTGAGCATGGCCGTCCTGACTCCAGCATCCGTGGTTTTGGACCCGGTCACCAGCTCAGCAATCAGAGGATCAACGCGCGGCGTGAACTTGATGAGTGTGCCGAGCGCCCGGGCGGCACGACTCCTCAAGACGTCGCTCGAGGTGTCGGCGAGCGACTTGGCGAATGTGCGCTGCAGCTGCGGCAGGAACGGCTTGAGTGCCGTGGGCATCTTTTCGAGCAGGTTGTTGAGTGTGAGCAGAATCGCCGACTTGACCTCCGTAGAGCGCTCCGAGACCACACGAATGAGCGGACCAGTAATCTGCGTGACGAAGGGCTTGAGCGAGTTCTCGCTGGTCCTGTCGACAATGTCTGAGATGGCCAAGGCAGCGGAGACTCTCTGATCGGGCGTGCCGTTCATGAGCCCCTGCAGGAAGATGGGCAGGATGGCGTTGATGCCCTTTGGCAGCTCGAATCCGGCGAGGTTGTGGCCCGCAACGCCGACCTGCAGAAGAACCTGCCGGGTCGACTGGACGAGGGCCTCCATCTCCTCCTTCTTGAGCCTCTTGGTGAACTCGTGGAGCGCACTCCACGCGGCCTTGACGACCTCCATGTCTCTGTCATCGAACGAGATCAGCAGGGCACGGACGATGTCCTGGTTGTACCTCGAGTAGTCCACGTCGGCCGCTGCGAAGAACTTAGCGAGATGCTGGCCGGTGGCGGATCTCTTGCGGTGGTCCTCGTGCTTGATGAGCTGTAGTAGGACGTTCATGACCACATTAAGGCCGTCGTACTCATCAATCGATAAGATGACCGTGTCGAACGAGTCGTCGAGATCTCTGCGCAGCTCCTCATCGGTACAGTTGACAATGTTGTCCATGAGCGAGTTGATGATGTTGGGCAGCCGGCGGTTCATAGCCGCACCGGCGACCTTAGACAGCGAGGCCAGGGCCTTGGCATTGAACGCCGAGATGGGCGGCGTGATGAGGGTGGGGATGAGGTTCGGCAGGATAATGTTGGAGCGAGTGGACTCGGTAAGCAGCGTGAGCAGGGCGGCAAGCGCGTTGTTCGCCTCTTCTTCGGACCGGAGCAGGTTGAGCAGGTAGGGGAGAACCTGGTCGACGGCGCGCTTGCCGAGGATCTGCTGCAGCGAGTCGAAGGCCTCGGCCGCTGCTTCGCGGACATCGTCGTCCGAGTCGGTAAGAGCGGTGCGGACGACCGAGATGAGCGTCTTCTCGTGGTCCTCGAGCGCCTCGGCGGAGGCTGACGAGATGAGCTCCCTGAGCGCCAGGCAGATACCCTGCTTGGCGTCCACATCCCGCGACGTCTGGAGACCCTCTTCGAGCGTAGGGAGCAGCGTAGCCAGGACGCCGTCGCCCGCCTTCCTGATGAGCTCGCCGAGCGCATTGCTGGCAATGACCTTGTGCTCCATGTTGGAGCTGCCCAACCGCCTGATGATGAGCTGCGTGAGGGTCGGGACGAGCTCCTTGAGCGTCCGCGGGCTGTGGACCAGGGCCTTCCACACGCCGACGGCAGCGGCGCGCACTGCACCGGCCGTGTCGCAACGGCAGACGTAGAGAGCCGAGAGAATCTTGTTCCGCTTCTCCTCGCCGAGGACCTCGCGAAGCGACGAACCGGCTTCCTTCGTGATGTCCTGGTCCTCCTCCTCTGTGGCCTCCGCGTTCGCTTTGATGCCGGCGAGATTGAAGAGCAGATCGCCGACCAGCTCCACCGAGCTGAGGCGGATGCGGTAGCTGTCGTCCGCCAAGCCGCGCTCCAGTTCGGGAAGGAGGAGGTCCACCGCGCGCATGGCAAAGTTCTTGACCAGCAGCCGGCCGGCACGTAGCGCAGTGTCCCGGATGGCCTCAACGTCGTCGGCAAGCCCTGATAGGATCGGCGGGATGATCTTGCCGAGATAGTTGGCGAAGCTGTTGCCGAAGCAGACGGGCAAGAAGATGAAGAGCGACATGAAGCCCTCGCGGACGGACGCCTTGGGCGATTCGACGTTCTGCAGGATCGTCGGGAGCGTCTCCTCCAGTCTCGAGGTTCCCAGGCCGGCAAGGACTTCGCTGAGCGCCTGGGCCGAACCAAGCCTGTCGCCGGCGCCCGTCTCGGACTTGAGGGTCTGCATGAGGCCGGGGATGAGATCCGGCAGCGCGTCCTCGCCCAGCTTCTCCACGAGAGACCCGAGAGCGCGGGAGGCAGTGGCACGAGTTGTCGGCACCGGATCGACTACGGCGACCTTGAGGCCTGCCACGAGAACTGGCAGATGAGCGACCAGGTCCTTGCGCTCTGTGAGATGTGCCAGACTGCCGATGACCTGCGACGCCTTGCGCTTCGTGTTGGAACGGTCGCCCAAGCCACGCTGCAGAATACGGCTGACGAGGGCCAGCGACGGGGCATCGAGGTAGTGTACGAACTGGACCTTGATGAGCGAGTCCAGAGCCTCGTCGGTGTATTTCGTCGGGTCGCTGAGCGCCTTGAGGAGGATGTCGACCAGGTTCTTGATCTCGGGGTTGGTGATAACCTCGCCGAACCTCTTCAAGCTCTTGTTTGCCGCCTGTCGCACTTCCTTGTGGCTGTCGTTCAAAACGGCCGTCAGGGGCGGGATGATCTCCGGTAAACTCTGAGCGAGCTGCTGCGGGTCGAGGTAGGCCATGGCACCGAGCAGGTCGCAGGCGCCCTTCTTGCTGCGCCACTGGTCTTCCTCGAGGCCGTCAAGGAGGGTCGGAAGGATCTGCTTGACGCCGAACGAGCTTAGCTGGGCGAAGCACGCCTTGGCGGCTGCCAGCGCAGCGTCGCGGACGTTCGGGTTGCCGTCGCCAAAGCCTGCAAGAAGCTGTGGGACGATCTGGATCACGTACGGCTCGAATAACCGGCCGAGGATGGTCGACATGAGCTCATACGCGAGCATGGCGGATTCCCGTTGGTGGATCTCTTTCTTATTCTCCAGAGCGCTGTTGAGCGTGATCATGATCCGATACTCTCTCAAGACGCCGATTCCTCTGCCAAGCACGAGACCTGCCAGACCGTAGGCGGCGCCACGCTGCTCGGGGTATTTTTTGGACGTCAGCAACGTGTCCAGGACCTGGTCGAAGTATTTGGGGGACTTGTCACCGCACGTGCGGACGAGTGGCGGCAGGCACTCTGCTACGGCGTACTGGACCGTCTCGGACGGGGTGCTGAGCGTCGCAAGGAGCCGTTCGATGACCACCGGGATCTTCTTGTCCCCAGGCTTCAGGTGCCGTGCGAGGGCACCATACATGATAATCACGGCCTCATTGACGCGGTCCGACGCCTCCGAGTTCTTGTCGGGTCCTTCGAGCGTCTTTTCGAAGGTTTTCATCAGCCTGTCCAGAATACCCTTGCCGTGGATCTCGATGATGGTGTTAGCAGCCTCGAGCATCTCGGCCCGGACGGTGGCATTCCGGTCGCCGAGCGGGCCTTGCTCGATGAGGAAGTTGAAGACCGGTTCGAGCTGCGGCTTCTCGAGATGCGGCGCAAGGTGCTTGAAGGCGAGGGCGATTCCGTGTCGAGCTTCCCAGGGGTCCGACAGGTCCATCTTCTTGGGCATGCCGAACTGGTCAAGTTCTTGTTTCCGCGGCTTGGCCAGCTCGATGTATGACGACTGGAGCTCTCCCAGAACGGGGGGAATGGCCGCGGGATGCTGGCCGGATGCTTCGGCGAGGGCCTTCGCCGCTGCACGACGCAGCGGCGCATCCTTGCTCTTCAGGTAAGGCAGCATCTTCTGTGCGAGCTCCTCGGAGGTCTTGAATTCGCTCTCCTCCCAGATCTCGTGACCCAGATCGACGTTCTCTGCAATGTCATCATGGCAAGCGAGCCAGATCTCTTCTGACACGCCAACCTCGCTCATGTCGACCTCGGCGCTGATTGCCTGGAGCACGGCGGTGCGCACGCTGGCCTGGGGAACGATGGTGCCCCGCGACAGGACGCCGATCTCGTCGGGGTTCATGTTCGGAGCCACGCAGCGAACCATGTCGGAGAAACAGTCCTTGATGATCTTGTAGTGTTGGCTGTACTTCTGCATTGCGGAAATCAGCGCCGAGAGTATTTCGGCACGGGGAATCGCCTCGTCTGCCGCAGCGTCGGTGTGGAACGAGAGGACCTCGATGGCGAGAACCAGCTGGGCATCGCGGTCGTCGGCGCTGGGACCGAAGCCGCCCTTGTCGAGGACTAGCAACAGAAGCGGCAACATGTAGACGAGCGTGACGGTGTCGAACCGCCGCTGCTCACCGGCGAAGCGTAGACGGTAGAGCACCCTTGTGACAAGGTCCTCGAACGGCTCCTGAGTCAGGTTCTCCGGAATTGCAGACACTTCGTGGGCGCGGAGAGTGGCCACGGCGATGAACGGCCGGATGGAACCGAGGCGCGGCGATGCCTGGTCGGCACATGAGATGAAGGCCATCGGTCCAGTGTCACCTGTGATTTGGGCAGCGCCAGCGTTGATAGCAGCAAGGGTAGCCGCGACAGCAGGCCGCATCCAGCGGCTGGTGTCGGAGGGCGGTCCGGTAGCAAGCGCCCGGACGATGCCGAAGCCACGCAATAGCTTCGCTGCGATCTGCCGGACATTCTCGCGAATCTCGGCCTCCTTTTTCAACTGCGCGTTGACCTTTGCCGTCTCTTCTGCCGTCAGCTTCTTTTGCAAGCCCTTCTTTTTCGCTAGCTCTGCCCTGAGTTCCTCCTCCCATTTCAGCGTCTCATAGTCCTTGACGTTCTTGTTCGGAACCACATTTTGCTTCTTTGCCAGCACGTCCACGAACGCCGTTCCTTCCGGAGTGCGGAAGATGGCGGCCTCAAGGGGGCCAACGGTCTCCAGCTGGGACGCGTCTAGGTCCTGCTCGATGAGGGCGACGATGCGGGAGGTCATCGAGTCAGGGGCAACAAATACCAGCTCGGCAGCCGCGCTATAAGCCGCATTTTTGATGGACTCGGACTATGCTTTGTCAGCATGAGATTACCTGCACCATGTAGGCGAGCGGCTTACCTTTTCTCGAACTCTGGTCCGCTCAACGATTTCCTGAATCAGCCTCTCCTCATGCTTCCTGGCCAGCTCCCCGGGATCCAGCTCGACTTTCAGGCAGAGATCAATCCAACTTGCTCGTGGAATGAGCTGGGGCTTTGCAAGCACGACAAGAGAGCACATCTGCGCCTCTAATTTCTCCTTATCCGCAGCGGTGCCTGCTCGGTCCGCGGTCTCTTTGGGACTGAGGCAAATAGCTTTGAACATCAGGTGGAGATTGGTATTCCCTGACTTGGCCAGCGCAGCAGCGCTCTCCTTTTCAGCTGTCTCTGTGGCCTCGATCCAATGCCACATGCCATTGATAATTTCCGCCGCAACGCTGTGGCTGCCAGAGCCAACGGACCGGGCGCACAGGTTCGACAGCGTCTCAATCGCCAGCCGGCGTACAGGGGGAGATGTGGCTGACGAGCAAACGAGGAAGATGTATGCCTGAGCCCACGCGACCCTCACCGCCTCGCTGTCTGAACCTAGAGTGCCAGTGACGGCGGACAGCGCACGGCAGAACCATCTGAGGTCGTCCTCCAAGAACTTGCTGTATATCCGCTGGTTGAGCAAGAACGACGGCTTAGGGTCCACCGCCAGGCTGTTCTTCTGGATCAAGGCTTTCTTCAGCAGAGACTGGACGTTGGCATTCTCGAGTCGACTAAGCAAAGGATTCAAACCGCAAACCACCAAGGCGCCCGTGACGAGCCCGCTCTGCGCGGCAGCCGCGGGGTTCGCCACGACCTCGTTGAACGTGGACAATAAAGGCGGTACGACTGCTTCCGCGAATGCCACAGCTCCCTTGGGAAGCTCTGTCTCTGAACTCTCGGCAAAGGTTTGCAGCAGCTCTCCCGTGCGGAGAATCCAGATGCGCCGTATTGGGACCTTCTTGTCCGCCAGACCTTTCGTGTACGCATCCAGAAGTGGCTTTTGCACCTCGGCACTGCGAAGGAGAGCGATGGTGCTGGCATTGAGCGCTAGGGTCTCGGCGCTGAGAGCCGCCTCGTTTGCTTCCTTGCCCACTAGAGCGGGAAGCCCGGCAGCAATCTTCGTTGCGATCCCTGTAGATGCGGGCAGCGCAACGAGCATTTCCGAGTGGAGGACTCTGTGGTCAGCAGAGGCGAGCTTGCCAGATTTCAAAGGGCCCAACACCTCGTCCGCTACCTTCTCGAGTTCCGCGACGTCGCTGCAGGACGAGGCGATCACGCTGAAAGCCCCAACTGCACCGTTGCGAATCGTGGCATTGGACGACTTGACATTAGATAGCAGAGGCTTGACGAAACGCCCACTTAGAGCTTTGGAGAGATCGAACTGGGGAAGGGAGCGGACGAGGGGTGTGATTAGGTTGTTCAGTACCACTTCAGGGGCTCTCAGCAAGCCCTTTTCCAGCGCCGGGAATACCTCCTTGTCGAGGTCCTCGAGTGAGACAAAGTCGGAGAAGAAATCCTTGAGGCCGTTTGCGAGGTGGGCAGCGACCGGCGTCCGGGAGCCAACTATTTCGCGGATGTAAAACGAGTAGTAATGGCTCTTCAGGCCCTCGACCACCGGCTTCGCCTCGGGCTTGCGCGAGCAGACGCCCGCTATGGCGCCGAGCAGCACGGCATTCTTGGCGGCTGGTTGGCTTCCTTTGGCGGCGAGGACCTGGACCGCCTCGCCGATAGCCTGTTGGTCGGCCGAGACCAGCTTCCGCAAACCCCTCCTCGAGATCACGAGCGCCGAGCTACCAAGCGTGCTCTTTGCCGTGGGCTGCAGGCACTTTTCCAGGCTGTCTGCGGCCGCCAGTACGACGTCCTTGCCGACCTTCTCCCAGAGAGGTGTGCCTGCGATATTCTGCATCAACAGGCTGCACCACTCCACCAGCACAAAGGCACTGTCAGGTGCGATGCCATGCTTCTGACTCTCCTGGCGCACTGCGGCGACCAAGGGCGCAACGGTGTCGGCATCCCCTGCCTGGCAGATCGAGGCCAGACATCGCTGGACAGCTTGACGAGAGGGCCGGTCCGTGTAGAAGGCATGGGTCCAGAAGAGCACTCTGAGGATGCCGAGCGTGACTGGTCTGTCGAGGGCTGGCCAGGGGGGTCAGCTCAGTTCATTTTTGTTCTCGTTCCTTGCCGAAGGTTCAGGGGCAGCAGGGGCTCACATCTCTGCGAGAGCTTATCGTCAATCGCACGCAATTGGGCGATGCGTGCCGAGGTCGAAGACGAGGTCAGCGCAGCTTTGGCTTGCTCGAGATCGAAGCTGCCCGACGTGCCGTTGATGGCTGCTTCAGTCATGTTGCTGCGTCCTTGGCTAAGGGATCGTACAATGACATCCTCAGGCGGCAGGAACCCGCAGCCTTGCTCTGGTGGTGGCCGTGTCGTTTGGGCCGTGATACTTTCAGAGGCTGATTTTCGGCGGGGACTCACATTTGGAGAGTGGGTTGTCGTGGTGGAGTTCCTGCTAAATCGACAGTGTAGATGGAAGCCGCCGAGCTGTGCTTCGATGATGCGCATCGAGGATGGTTGGTACTAGACACACCTACCTGAACTTTCTTAAGAAAAGCCCTATCGCAACAACATCTGAAGTTTATAATAAGCTGATTCCTTCCCCTACATACCTACAAACACCGTCTCAAATTCGTCTCTTGCAAGTCAATGGGCCCCCTCGAACACCACGAACAAGAGCACTCACTGTGAGGATAGAGAGCGTCGTGCCATTCCAGCGGGGCCCAGCTCCTGAAACGGCAGGCGGTCGCGTTGACCGCCTCCGGGACCCAGCAAGCTGCCGCAGCTGTCGCTAAAATTTCCAGGCTGCTTCAGGCTCTGACGTCTTGCTCGGTGGAAACAAGCAACGGCGGAGATTCTCTCGCCTTGGGACCCGCCGCTCGAATCCAAACCTCCAGGGCAGCATCGCCTCGCCATGGCCGGCAAGAAGAAGTCGAAAAAGCCCGCGGCGAACCCTGCGCGCGGGTTCGCTACCACCTCGATCGCATCGAAGCCCAGAGTCGACCCCGCTGAAGCTCCGGGTGTTAATGCCCCGGCCGGCAAAGCCAACGACGCCGCCGCCGCCGCCGCCCCGCCGACGGGCGATGCCCCGCACGCAGCCAACACCAACACCAAAGCCGAGGAGAAAACGCCAGCCAAGGACCTGAGCCCCGAGGAATTCGAGCGGCAGCTGGAAGAGTCGGCATTGCAGTATCTAGTGGAGAAGTTCGCGCAGAAAGTGAGGCGGGATGCGCAGCGACAGAAGACCCGGCTCGAAACAGACCGGCGCCTCTTGCGGGGGGCGGCCGAGAACATCAACACAAGAAGATGGCTTCCGCCGGAGCTAATGGAGCATGTCCTAGATATTATCAAGGCAGAAGGCCGGTTTGCAGCCTCCAGCATATCCTCAGAGGGCGGAGCTAGTAAATTGCCTCCGGAGGAAGACCTCGTCATCAAGCTATGGACGTTGCAGGAGACCTTGCAGAACTCTGGGTTCTCGGAGGAGAGGATACAGCCGGCGCTGCAGTTTGTTTTGGATATTGCGCCCAATATTCCTCCCAGTCCCAGGAGCGAATTTATCTGGGGGCTTGAAGAGGTGCTCGACTGGTTTGCGAGAGAGTGTCCCAGGGAAGAGCTGCCCGATTATTCGGGGCGGAGAGTAGGGCCCAAGTCGCAAGCAGGTATGCATGTCAGAAGTATGGTTTCTTGTCCCATTCTAACGGTCGTAGACACCCCAGCAGAAACACCCTCGAGATCGGGGACGCCCTTCGAAATCGACCCCAAACTCGGAACAAAGAAGAAGGGCGCCGCAGCCCACCGGTCTCGGCCCGCGTCACCAACAAAACGGCCAGCCGTTATATTTGACGAAGACATCGAACCAGATCAACTACTGCCGTTTTATCTCGACACTAAGACGAAACTGTTTCAGATCCAGCGACCGCGGCAGGACGCAGCCAAGGGCAGGGGTGCGAGGGACAAGCCCAAGAGCTCCAATGACCCGGAAGAGGCGTTGTTACTTGCAAAGCTCGACAGAGTCGAAAAGGACGTCCTGTTCGACAAATACGTAGCTGAGCAGCAATGGAGGGCGAAGAAGGTCGCCCTGGAGAAGGAGTATGCCGCGGCAAAGGCCGAAGAAAAGAAGAAAGAGCCGCCGGAAGCGCCATCCCCGGCAAACGAGTCGGACGAAATCAACGCGGAAGCTGAGCGCATCGCAGCAGAGATTCTTGCTGAAGAGGACGATGACCAGGCACTGGCGGACTTATTCTCCAGCCTGCCTGTCAGCGAGGTTGATCCCGTGACTGGCAAGACCAATACGGTGGTCAACGGAGTCGACGGATCCAAGATCACAGTCCGCGACTTTGGGAAATGGACCGGAGTGACTCCGATGCGGGCGTTGGAAGAAGCCTGCCGCTCAAGGTTGTCCTATCCCGCCCACGACTGCTTGAGAATTTGCTAACGGCATCAGGGACTCTTCGGTGAGGATATCGTACCATCTGTTGTCCGACGTCGCCTTTGCGAACCGCCACGCGGTCAATATCGTCTGGTCCAAGCCGCAGGAAATCCCACCCGCCCCTGAGACGTCCGACCTTGAAACATTCACATCACCCACGCAGTTCGTCTACAAGATGATATCGATTGCTACTCCCGATGCGAAGCAGTCCGAGGCCTACATAGCGACCACGGCCTTGTTCTTCGTTTTCGGGACCTCGGCCAAGGACGAGAAGGTCGCCATGAGATTGCCGCCGACCTGGAAGGACTTATGGTCAGAGTTTGCGGAAGCGAGGAAGAGCAAGGCTGATGAGCAGGACCGGGAGATTGTGCGGCATCTGCGGGACCTCGTGCGCAGAAGAGTGGAGCAGGAGCTCGAAGATGGCGTGCTCATCCAGGGCTTCAAGGGACGGGGGCAGTCCCGGAACCAGACGGACTCGGAACAGTCCGACCAAGAACGGACGAAGCGGGATCCGTACGGGCCCGAGTACTACCAAAACATCTGGCTGCAGAAGAGCAGCTCTCCTAAGTTTCAGCAGATGCTGGTGAGTCGATAGCCAACAGGATCGAAGACGCGCCGGCCATGTTCTGACTTATCAGGTATCGCGCATGCAACTGCCCATGTGGCAGTTCCGGCAACAGGTGGTTGACATCGTTGACCAGAACCAGGTGGTCATCATCTGCGGTGAGACCGGATGGTAAGCACTTCCGCCGCGGTATGAGGAGCGAGCTAACAGCATGCAGCGGCAAGAGTACGCAGGTACCGTCGTTCCTCCTTGAGCATCAGCTGCTGCAGGGCAAACCATGTAAGATCTACTGCACGGAGCCGCGACGTATCTCGGCGATATCGCTAGCTCGCCGGGTGAGCGAGGAACTGGGTGAGAACAAGGGAGATCTCGGCACAAGCAGGTCGCTGGTCGGCTACTCTATCCGCCTTGAATCCAACACTGCGAGGGAAACGCGCCTTGTCTACGCCACGACCGGTATCGTTATGCGCATGCTGGAGGGATCCAACGACTTACAGGAGATCACCCACCTGGTGCTCGACGAAGTTCACGAGCGCTCCATCGACAGCGACTTCCTGCTCATCGTGCTGAAGAAGCTGCTGGCGCGGAGAAAAGACCTCAAGGTAGTGCTCATGTCCGCCACAGTCGATGCGGAACGGTTTTCCAAATACCTCAGCGGCGCCCCGGTCTTGACGGTTCCGGGCCGGACTTTCCCTGTCCGCGTCGCATACCTGGAGGATGCAGTTGAGCTCACGGGGTACACGGTCGATCAGCGGAACCAAGAGAAGCTCACCGACCTGGACGACGACGTGGAGCCGGAGGTGGACACCTCGTCGAAGCCGGAATTACTCAAGGAGCTCAGGCAGTACTCGGCGCGCACGCGGAACACGCTTGCCCAGATGGACGAGTACCGGATCGAGTATGATCTTGTGGTGCAGCTGATCTCGAGGATAGCGGTCGACCCAGAGTATGCTCCGTACAGCAAGGCCATTCTCGTCTTCCTTCCCGGCATTGCAGAGATCCGCACGCTCAACGACATGCTGCTTGGGGACCGCTTCTTCGCCGACAGCTGGCTCGTGTATCCGCTGCACTCTACCATCGCGACCGAGGAACAGGAGGCAGCATTCCTCATACCACCGCCAGGCATGCGCAAGATCGTGTTAGCCACCAACATTGCGGAGACAGGTATCACCATCCCCGACGTAACGTGCGTCATCGACACGGGCAAGCACCGGGAGATGCGGTTCGACGAGCGGAGGCAGCTGTCGCGCCTCGTCGACTCGTTCATTTCTCGCGCCAACGCGAAGCAGCGCCGGGGTCGCGCCGGTCGTGTTCAGGAGGGCCTGTGCTTCCATCTGTTCACGAAATACCGCCATGACACATCTATGAACGACCAGCAAACACCGGAGATGCTGCGTCTGTCGTTGCAAGACTTGGCCATCCGGGTCAAGATCTGCAAGATCGGCGGCATCGAGGAGACGCTGAGCCAGGCGTTAGACCCGCCCTCTGCGAAGAACATCCGCCGGGCCATCGATGCCCTTGTCGATGTCCGCGCCCTGACGGCCACGACCGAAGAGCTTACGCCGCTTGGACTCCAACTCGCCCGCTTGCCGCTCGACGTCTTCCTGGGCAAGCTCATCCTCCTCGGGGCGGTGTTCAAGTGCTTGGATATGGCCATTACCGTCGCCGCCATCTTGTCATCCAAGTCGCCCTTCGTGGCCCCCTTTGGCCAGCGGAACCAGGCCGATACCATTCGACGGGGCTTCCGCAAGGGCGATTCCGATCTCCTGACCGTCTACAACGCCTACCTCGCGTGGAAGCGTGTGTGCCAGTCGGCCAAGGGCGGCGGCGCCGAGTTCCAGTTCTGCCGCAAGAACTTCCTCTCGCCCCAGACGCTAGCCAACATTGAGGATCTCAAGGGCCAGCTGCTCGTCGCGGTCGCGGACTCCGGCTTCCTCCAGCTCACCGCCGAGGAGCGGCAGACGCTAAACAGGCTGCGCTTCAGCGGCAGGCGGCGCCACCAAGCCTTCTTCGAAGTCCCCAAGCGCGTCGACAGCAACAGCGACAACGAGGTCGTCGCCCAGTCCGTCATCGCCTGGAGCTTCTACCCGAAACTGCTCGTCCGCGACACCGGCAGCAAGGGGTTGCGGAACATCGGCAATAACCAGTCCATCAGCCTGCACCCGAGCAGCGTGAACAAGGGGTACAACGACCTGCGCTGGTTGAGTTACTACCACATTATGCAGTCCAAAGCGTGCGGCTTGCCCACTCCATTCCCCCCAACAGCCTTATCATCGCTAACCATACCTTCTACGATATAGATTCTACAACGCGCACGAAACAACCGCCGTCGACCCCTTCGCCATCGCCCTCCTCTGCGGCGACGCCCGTGCCGACATGTATGCCGGCGTGATCGTGCTCGACGGCAACCGCGCCCGCTTCGCCGTCCCCGACTGGAAGACGATGCTGGTCATGAAGGTGCTGCGCGCGCGCCTGCGCGAGATGCTCACCCGCTGCTTCAAGAGCCCCGGCAAGCTGCCCACCGCGCAGCACGAGCGCTGGCTCGAGGTGTGGCAGCGCGTGTTTGCGCTCGCGCAGGAGAATCGGGAGAAGGCCGCCATCGCCGCGGCCGGAGCTCTGGGGAATGGGAATGGGAACGGGAATGGGAATGGGGTTGGTGGTGGGGAGCGCTAGGTGCGTTCTTCCTACGCCCATGCTTCGGCGAGGTCTGTGGTGGATTGCGGCTGGGGTCTGTCCTTCCGTTGAGGTGGTCTGGATTCTGGAAGGGGGCGGGACCTAGATAGTAGAGGGGTTTCGGCGCGTCGGGTCGGATGTGAGCGGGTAGGTTGGGGTGAGGTGAAAAAGGAGGGTAGATTTGGTTCGCGTGGTGTTACCTAAACCGGTATTAGAGCGTAAGACGGGGAGGACTGCAATAGAAGCGTTTCTTTCCGATAGGGTGTGCCATCTCGAAGGATATATGGTGGTGGTAATAGAGAGATAATATACCTCGGTCTTATACCAGGGGATCTGTCATCCGTATGTCGCGTAGATTTGTCAAGTTCATTCCCAGTCTGAATCACCAAGTTGCACGATCAGTGCACAGTATAATATCATACAGTTCGTTGCCAGCGTAAATCCCCGTACAAGATGCTATACATGGTGGTTATGAGCGGCACAAGCATGTACCGATTGTCTCTGGGTTCAACCTCAGATTATACGGTTGGTGTACAAGATTGGATATATAGTGGTTGGAAAGGGTACAAGGGTGTACGGCCCTTTTCCAGCTTAAATCCTAGGTTATATGGTCGGCGTAGAAGATGCTCTATAAGGTGGCTCTAAGTAGTATGTGGTTGGATAATCTTAAGCTTTTAAACAATAGCGTTTCTAGCTCGTTGATATAATAATCAGGTGTCCCTAGAGAGTGAGAGCATGTATAAATATTGGGAAAGTATATGAGGCTCTAGTTAAGACAAGGTAAAGAGAGCAAGTCACGAGCATGGTATATATATAATATCACTTTCATATCTGTGCTAGGAGTCCTCGTTAACCTTTGTCACGCTCGTGCTCTATTCCGAGAACGTCCTAGGCTAATTTTACGGAATCCGCAAGCTATTGTTCTTCTTCAGCAAAGGACGAGATATCCGGGCTGCGCAGTACCTCAACGTTCCTGCTACCCGCGACTTCTGCATTGTAGGCCTGGAGAGCTCGTCGGGCGTCTCGGACTACATATAGCCACTCATTGGCCTCATCGTACTGCTTCTTAAGGGCCTGGAATTTCTCAACCTCCTTCTCGAACGCCACTCGATACTCCGTATACAGGTCCCTCTCAGCGAATTCCTTGAGCTTGGCGAGCTCGGCCTCGATGCCATCGCTACACGACTAGATTGCCGCTAGGTCATCTAGCATCTTCAGGTATATTTTCTCCTCCTCCTTCGTCGCCGCCCTATTATGCATGAAGCCTTTTTCGATCTCCTTGCGAATGCCAAGCGACGACCCGGGCTGGTCGATGTTCAGCCTACCTTGGTAGAACATCGAGCTTGCAAGGATGGTCACAAGGTGATCACCAAGCGGAACATGTTCAGCACGCCAGGCCGGCACAACGCATTTTGCGATGACCTCTGGCTCCAAGTTTGGAAACTCGTGCTTGATGCACCTCAGTGTCAGCGCAAGCAACGGGCTCGAATTACACAATCCGCCCTTCGGATCATGGTGGGCGGATGCAGAGGCAATGGACTCGCCGGTGCATCCAACGTATATCGGGGACTGGCGCTGCGACACCGCCTTGGTTTCGTCGAATGCCTGTCCCCGCTCGGCCCTTTTCTGCAGCCACGAGATATACATCATGGTCTTTTCATAAATGGCAGGGCCGCCCACGAACCGTGGCGTCATATCTTTGTTCACACCCCGGTAAACTGAGTCTACCGCTGCGGCGTGGGCCATGTATTGGCGCTCCGGCACCGTCATCTGTGACCAGTCGCCACTACGTGCCTCCCACGTCTTCCAGACCTGGCAGTAATCTACCATGCACTGGGACACCTTCTCGATTCCCGCGACGGTGAGGAACTCGCCCTTTCTTCCTTTGATCGCGATGCCGATTGCATAGACCCCAGGGTTGGTCATTTCGTACGAATCTTCATTGTAGAAGTCATACGCGACCGTCCCGAGCACGAGTGAGTTGCGTAGCCTGGCGGGAATCACATTCATGAGGCCCAGCCAATCGGCGCTGCTTTCCCTGGATGACTCGGCCGTCTTGCTCATGGAGATGCCTGCAGCCATGGCCGCCTTCTCCGAAGACTCGATCACCGAGGGCAAGAGAACCCAAGAAAGCCGGTAACTACTGGCCGTGCCCGTCTCGTTGATCATCTAAATCATCTCGAGACGGTCGCCATCCATCAGGGGCAGGCGATCGGACGCCTCGTCTGGAAGCGGCTCCCTCATTTCCATGATGAACATAGAGCTGGCACACTTGAGAACAATCTTGTGATGTTCGTGTTGCAGGTGGGTGCGCTGGGCAAAACGTGACTGGATTTTGTCTTCGGTCGGTTGGTGGTAAGAGGGAGGGTTTTCCGACCGTGTCGGTGCTTGCAAAATGCCTTATGCCCCGCTCTGTAGGTAGCCTGTTTCAGTATTACTTGGAAACGAAACGTTGAAGGGAAGAGCGAACGAAGGAGGGCGGCGAAGGAAGGCAGTGAAGGACTTCTTCCAAATGCCGGACGCCTGTGCCCTACTACCAGCAGTATTCCGTTCAGACATGTTGACAACAGTAACGCTAGCGGTCTATGGTTGGGGACTGGTCAATATCATGTTGTTGAGTTTGCGTAGGGCGATAACTATGGGGTTAGCATACGATCCTTGGGCTAGAGGTTCTCGAGGGGCAGTTCCAGCGCAGCAGTCACATCAGGACTTATCTCGAGGCACAATCATCAAAGCAACAGTTATATTACTAGAATAGGTTGACGAAAACCCAACAGTCTCCGTCTAGACCACGATACTTCACGACCTAGCCCTGCTCCGTTCCCCGTCTATGTTCGCGGAGGTGGACTGTTGATATCGAGTCGAAGTCATGGGGAGCTACCAGAGCGTTCCGTCTCGGTTCCGCTCTCGGTCTGCTCAACGCTCTCAGTCTCGCTCCCAGTGCGGACCCGGATTGTGCCAGCGATCAACCACCGGTCCCCGCCGACCGGTTCGCCGGCGAAAGGGTTGGGGACCCAACTGGTGACCGCCCACCACTCCGCGTCTGCGTCATCCCAGTCCATCAACGTACGGAGGATGTCTGCCAGCACCACCCCCTGGCCGCGGATGACGTGGATCGAACCATCACCCACGTAATAAGTCGTGTACCATGCGGTATTACCCGACTGTCTGTTCAATGGGCCGAGCTCGAACAACAAGCTGTAGTCTACAGCGCCGGGTTCGATCCTTTGCAAGATTGCTGGCTGTATCATTGGCAGCGTCGCCCTACGTGTGGCACTCGGCCTGTAAGATGCGGCGAGCCCGGTCATCATGCTCACGAAATTCTGGACGGGATCATGCTGATCGCCTTCGCCCGAGGAGCTAGAGTCCGAGAATCCCTCCATACTGGTGTCTGATCCTCAGCAGAGAGAGAAAACGCGTGTAGACTTCTGTTTTTCTTGTAAGAGCGTGGGTTTCTTTCGCTAGTTGCAGACCAGAAACGCGTTATGGAGGAGGGTGGGAAAGAGAGAAGGAGCTTCACAAACTTGAGATTTTATAAAGTCGGTAGGCAGGCACAAGGCGAATCTGCCTGGCAGAATACCGCGAGCCAAATACAAGACCCGAGTGAGTGGCAACACCGAATCCAAGTTTCTACTATACATGCTATAGTTCATAACCTAGGGAAAAGCGGGCGTGGCGTACAGAATGCCAGGAGGCTGTAAGTTCGTGAGAGAGATAAATCTGGCATGGAGAGAACAAGTTGAACAGAAGAAAAGGACTACGGGATAGGGGATGGTCATGACGGGAGGCCTTCAGGGTTGCCATTAGCAACGTTATCCGGCAGCCACGCCTGTTACTAGTAGTGCTTCACTGTCGAGATCATCAAAGTTGCCTTTGCATTCCAGGTCACCAGGTCCAGTTCAAACAGATTTGGCGGCGACCGGAACGAGATGCTGATGCTTAAGGTACGGTACTTAACAAAGTCGGTTTGTTTCCAGAACTTTTCACCTCGTCCTCCGTCCACCGTCCTCTATCCGCTCAACCGCCAAAAAGTAAAAAAAGCGCTGGTTCCAAGATGGATTCCACTCCTTGCCGTCGCCGACCAAGATCAATACCATGGTAGAGCACACAACATACGCGTGCAGCCAGCTGAATGCTGAGCACGAGGAGGCCACCGTCGCAGACTCACTCGACGACGCCTCGGTCGTTGCAAAGTCACAGTCGCCTCAAGCAAGGAGCGGTGACCAGCGTCGCCACAGCCCAGCGGGAGGCCGATATCAAAGACAAGGTTGCAGCCTTAGAGCAGCACCTCAGGCAGGTGAGGTGGCTCCTCGAGCGGGAGCAGCGGACTAAGCAGCTGACCGTGGAACAGCTCGAGCGGCAGCTCCACGAGGAAAGGGTCGCCCACGAGAGGCTGCGGACGGACAAGGAAGATGCTGATGCGCGGTACGCCGCTCAGCTTGACGTGGGCGAGGAGGATTTCAAGACTCATCGGAGTGGGATCTTCGCCTTTTGCAGGCTGATAGCAGGCGTGGAACTGAGCCTAAATGACTGGCTCTATGTCTGGTTGGCCATTCAGAAGGTCAGAGAAGTTTATCGTGTCTAGACTTCCACGGCCTTTTAGAAGGTTAGCCGGACCGACAGCGATATACGCTACCGGAAGTTAAAGGATCCCGAGCTACTATAACTATAGTTGGTAGTGGCACTCCGCAAGGAGCGGTAGAACAACCAGGGCATAGCCGCTCTAGATATGCTATCCGACAAGGTTAGAATAGCGACGGCGTTGCCCATACAAGGCCTGCTAAAGTCCTGATTGCGGGACTTAACGCCGCACCATCCCACAGATAGGATATCTTTCTCGTGTCTCGATGGTAGCTTCTCTGGGGCGCTGAGACTTCCATTGGCTGGGATACAAGATCCGCGTTCAGTTGCCGTATCTGACATGGGACATGACCAAACTGCGTTTCAAGTGGAGGGAGTTTTGGAAGAATACTAGACGGGTGGGACAGTGTCAGCCCTCCACCGTTACGTGTTACCAGAAAGGTGGTAGTGGAGTCTACCTATCTCACTTACCAGTGAACATGTCCAAATGGTAACCTCCTTAGCTCGCGGCTATCCTCGTGAGCTGGCCAACGAACAGAGGACGCTCCTTGTCGGTTGCCGCGGTGAGGTCAACAAGAAGCCTATCAGATCAAGATTAGCATACGAGGTCCAGTATCCGAAGCGCAACTTGGCAGCACAAGCGCGGGTCAGTCAGTCTGGGCCAAGGTGGAACGTACAGCCAAGCGTAGATTTATGGAAGACCAGCCCATGACCTGACGCCGGGGAACCGGAGACTGCGGTGCAATGTCCGCATATCCACGTGATTGGCGCTGTCCTCGAGTCCGCTAAGTCGCGCGAGTGTGCGGAAGAAGATCCGCGAACCGAGGGCGCAGGAGTGGAGGATGATCTGTGCGACATCGATCTCACCCTCGAGCGTTCGGCGGTCGGCTAGTTCGTCGAGGTCGGGCGATGCTCCTCGTGGTCGAACGGGGCTGAGTCGTTGATGCTACTGCTTGGCGAGCTCGCCGCCGAGGGAAACGCATCTACTTCGGCAATCGGGCTGGCAAAGAAGACGTGCTGGATGCTGTCAAATGTGTGTTGCAAAGTGGCCGCGAGGTGGTCGGCAATGTTGGGGTCGATGAACTTGGATAGCAGAGAGAAGTCTTGGTTGTTGAAAATCAGGAGCGGCGAGCTGGCAAAGAAGTTACCTTCTTCGCTTGTGCTTCGCGAGACTGGCGGGGTCTCCTCGACGAAACGAAGGCGTGTGTTGAAGGAGACGGCGTGGAGCATGTCGACTCTACATGACGAAGTCAGTAACGGGTGGCATGCAATATCGGGCCGTTGGCATACAGAATCATTGTTTGTCGCCTCGGTAGGAATTTGAGTCGGTCAACAGCCCTCTCCGTTGCAAGGATCTTTTCGAGGGCAACCATGTGCTTGGTAGCGTGCGACCCCGACCGGACCATATTAACATCCCCTAGAAGGAGGAATTCGTAGATAAGCCTCTTTTTCTACTAGTATACCTAGTGTTTTATAGCTATAGATATAATACCTCCTTATTATAGGCTATTATAAGCCTATCTACCCTTATATTTTTCGAGTTAGTATTAGAGCCTATATAGATAACTACGTTACATATATTATTAACTAACGTAAGATTGTATAACGTATCTTATAAGCGAGCCGGCCATATAAGCGAGCCGGCCACTTTACCCGCGACGCGTCACTTCCGCGCTTAAAACCAGATTTTCTTTACAACTTAACATGTCTTCTTCTTCGTACGAGGCTAGGATAAACCTAGCCCTCGAAGCGATACAAAAAGACCAAAAACTAAGCATAAGGGCTGCAGCGAAGTACTACGACGTTCGACGAACAACCTTGCAAGACCGACTAGCGGGCCGGCTTGCACGACGCGACACTACGCCCAACTCGCGCCGGCTCACCGATTCCGAAGAGAAGGCTCTTGTTCAGTATATAATTGAGCTATCTGAGCGAGCTTTTCTGCCGAGACTGCGTGGTGTGGAAGATATGGCCAACCAACTGCTACGTATATATGTGACGAAACCACGGGCAGTCCTGCCTCTGAAAGGGTTCGCCGGCCGAAGGTAACTGCTGGTCGGACTGTAGGTCTCGGTGAAGCCAAAAGGTTCACAACAATGCTTGTTGCACTGTCTGCACAATAGGTAGAGGCTATTGCTTGTATTGCTCACTGGAGAACTCCCAGAGTCCTCCAGAACGAGTGACTATATACTAGCTATCTTCTTGGGCGCTCAGTACTTTGATTCGGATGAGCACCCAGGTGCTCATCGTGATATGCCCCTAATCACTCTGATCGCTTACATCCTACAGAGTGCTCAGCGACATTGGCACCTTAGCACCTTTGCCTGTCTCTGACTGGTCCGCCTAGTTGTCCAAATGATTGGCCCGGGACGCCCCCGCGTCCCCACATACGGCTGTCTACCCTGCAGCCTGCCGTTGGTTAATTCGTGACAATATACGACGCGCCCCTGTCGGCAAGCTCTAGGCGTATAACTTTGTTAAACGCCAGCCAGAGCTCCGGA